AACACCGCGCCGTCGACCTCGGACCCAGCTCCCCGCCGCCATCCTAGCCTTTACTGACCACAGGTACCCGCAGCTAACTTCCTCTGGCCATGACAGGATAGGGGTTACGGTCTTGTATATAGAGCGTTGCTTTCTCACTTCTGTTCTCTTTCCACGCTTCGTCTTGTTATTTAGGCCCATCTATAGCTCTCCTTACAACGACTCTGAGAGTAAGGTATGACGTTCTTATAGTACTTATAAGCAAGAGTAATAAGCTGACGATATTTAGGAAGCAGATTCTGATTCTCTATATATACTAAGGGATTCTTTATAAGGCAGTAAGAATGAGATAGCTCTGAAGCAACAAGACAAAAACCCTTAACACTAGAGCCGCGCTTACTAATATCCTTAAAGGAGCAGAAAACGTACCAGATACACCCTTTCTGCTTGGTGTGGGTAGCATCTCGTTGTTGATTACTGATTATCTTACCCTCAGAATCCTTCGTAACGTGATGCTCAAGATCTCTATTATTTCGAGTCTCATCTCCGTGGTAGATACACTGAAAGCGCTTACACAGATTTCGAGGGTCTCTAGCGCCTCGAACAGTCACAGCGAAGCCCTCAACCATTGCGAAAACGTTTAAGCGCTCCTGGCACTGGTCGAATGAGTCGAATACCTCACCGTTACGAGGAGGAGGGAGGCGCCAGGCAGGGTCTCTATCGTTTACGAAGCGCTCAACCGCATCCCGCAGATGAACAGGGCACCCGGGCTTTGCTTGCCAGGGTAGAGTCATCGTACAAACTCAACACCAAGGTCTCTATATCAATACCTATTTGGGAAGCACCGGTGGCATCAAATTACACAAATGGCAGTAGTGAGGAACTCTTTAGGAACACTACATACAAATTACTATGGTGCGGTCACATTTACCATGCCAAGGCTGCCGAAACGCCGACATGCCGAATCTGAAAATTCTGAATCTGGCGCTCGAATCTGGCTCCCCGGAGACAAGCCGTCATCAGGCACCTTAGCCTAGCGTATGTCTCCTATCAATCCATTCAACTAAGCATGGTATATCGTCTCCATTATGGATATTCTCCTTTCGGGAATTGCTATTGTTCATTGGCAAACTATGCTATGATTTGATCTGCTTTTCGCTAAGAAATTCTTCAGATGGTTTCCTACTACCATGGGGACCGGCGTCGTCAGCGTCCTCCTAACCAGCATCCCCTATGAAGAAAATTGGCTTTACCATCTTTCAATCATCATCTTCGTTCTGAATACAATCCTCTTCTTCTCCGCGTTTATAATCTCCATCCTGAGGTACACTCTAAATCTTGAAATATGGGGAGTCATGATCCGGGACCCCACCAATTCCTTGTTTCTCGGAACAATCCCGATGGGATTCGCGACACTTGTTAATATGTGGATTTATGTGTGCGTTCCTGATTGGGCATCTTGGGTAGCTATGGTTGCTTGGGTTGGATGGGTGGTTGATGCTGTTCTATCCGCTGGAGTAACCTTGTCGATGTCGATATTGTTGTAAGTCCTCTTCTCTTAACGATCATGCGAATTTGAATTCCTCGGACGCCCATTACCGATTGATATGGCACCCAAGCTGAGGTCCAGTAATTGACTTGTCCAGGATGTCACAGGAGCATCAGAGCTCGCTCGACAAAATTACTGCGGCGCGGCTTCTTCCTGTCGCGGCAACCATTGTCGCTGCCGGCACTGGTTTTGCCGTTGCTCAAATATTACCAACTTGGATCATGCTCGCGATACTATCATGACATCGTATGTAATGTGGGGTATGAGCGTTCCCCTAGCCATGTCAGTCCTTGTTATGTACTATCAACGGTTTGCTATCCATAAGCTCCCTCCTCGAGAAGTCATTGTGAGCTGTTTTCTGCCGCTAGGTCCGCTGGGGACGGGAGCATACGCGTATGATAACAAACCCTTATTTGACCCCCATGACCTGACTGTTCTTCCAGCATTCTAAATCTTCGAAGGGCTGCGCGCTCAAACTTTGCACAGACGAAAGTGCTGCACGATGTCGCCGGTGACATGGCGTATGTCCTCGGTTTTGTCGTAGCCCTGATTTTGTGGGGTTTCGGGCTTGTTTGTTTGGTATCCGCCCTTGCAAGCATTTATAAAAGCAAGCCTTTCCAGTTCAATATGGGCTGGTAGGGATTTACGTTTCCGCTTGATGTATTCTCCATCAGCACAATCACTCTCAGCGTAGAGATGCCATCGACCTTCTTCAGAATCTTTGGAACTGTAAGAAGATAGTGTCTTCACGCTGATCGCGCTGACGAGAAAGCCAGGTCCTAAGCGTGGCCGTCATACTCCTGTGGGCTATCGTTACCCTCGTCACTGTCAGAGGGGCATATTCTGGGCAGCTACTGTATGCACCCTGTCTTGCTAACCTCAAGCCAAGAGCAACGGATGCACTTCAAGACAACGAGAAAATTCCGGAGTGAGATTATGCATACTTCAATGGTTTCCTCGAAAAGTATCAATGAACGAGTCATGCCATCAGGAATTTGCACTCCCAGGTATCCATTCGACGAAGGATCTATTGAGGGGGTCCAATGGAGTAAAGTAACGTAATAGGAAGAGCCCTTAGAACAACACCAGAGTTCGGCAAGGTCGATTGCTCTATGCTACTCCGCGCTATGATGAATGAGCCAAGCTCAGAGGAAGAGGTAGAACCCTGAGAAATCCTGCGACTCTAGTACATTTATGCTCACATTTCATCTTGCCAGCCACTCCCTAGCATCGCTCCTTGTCTTGTCGCTGTGGTCTTCGGTACACCATGCAGCCTTGAGTATTCGGAGTTCGAATCAAGGCAGATCAGGCCGAAAAAAGCTTCGTGTTTGCAAGTACTTGATGAGGTGGATGGTGTCGACATGGAACTTGCAGAATGCGTTGGCAAAGGCGGCGTGATTGACGCAGTATTTTCAGACGTGGGCCTATCAAGACATCCCCAGAACCATCCAGGTTTTGAGCAATGACGCGACAGGGGGGGCGAACTCGATGTTGGTGCCGCTGGGTCAAGACAATCGCCGAACCAGCCAGGATGGTGGCAAGAATAGGAAGATGAAACTGAAGATGTTGTTGCCGTGCAGGTGGTAGTAATTGGCGGTGCCGGGGCTGCACTTGGGGATGAAGTGGCCGATGTAGTGGTAGTAGGATCATTGCATCCAAACCAGCCTGGAGTCTTGCACGTAGAGGTGGAGCTGTTGGTACTGGTAGAGGATGTGGTGGTCTCCGTCGTTGTCTTATCGAGACATCCCCACCATCCAGGGGTTTGGCAGGTCGAGGTACGTGTTCTGGTCGTCGTTCTGGTGGATGAGGAAGAGGTAGTAGAGTCTGATCCATTACTTTCGAAATACTTCCAATTGAAACAATCCACACATTCATCATCCGTAGCACACTGTGGGACGGTGTCGTACTTCCGCAGGACATTATCAATCACATTATGAATCTTATGATATCCAATGCCAACACGCCACCCCTTATCGCTGACAGTGTCATAAACACATTGAAAGCCAGTGTGGCATTGAGATTCCATGGCATATCCTCCGAGTGTGCATGCGGCTGTTGCTCCATTGCAGGTACCCATGAAAACAGGATCAGCGGTGTGACCAAAATGATAGGTCCCTGTGTACTTTCGGGTGGCCGGTCTGGTTGGATCGGAACCTGGCGGAGCAGGAAGACCAAGTCGAGACGCTGCCAATGCTTCTCCGGGAGCCTCAAAAGTGACAGTTGGTATCCCGAAAGTCATACCCAGAAGACTACTGACCGACCCGCCAAGGGAATGACCTGTCAGCCAGACATTGGAATTAGGATATAACTCTGTGACATTAGTATAGAGCTCGATGGCTGCGCGGTAATACCGATTTTCTTTCTTCAGTGCTTGGACCAGACATGTTTGATTACAGGTGTAAGTTTTTGAGTAGCAGTCACAAACTTGACGCCAAAAGTACTGACCCCCTTGGGCGCAGCAACAGCTGAAGAATAGATTGTCGTTGACCTTGTCTTTTGTAGTAGTACCTTCACCATCAAAAACAGCCGGTGAGGTGCCCTTTAAGCCCACGAGGATAGTGGCATTGTCCTTGTCCGCGAAAATGTGTCCTCGCAGCCCGTCTGCTTGCCAGCCAAAGCTTTGTGAGAGGTTGAGTCCATTTCCAACATCTTCCCATTCCAGGTCGTCCCGAGTTTCCACGTACGCATCGGCCGCAGCCCTTGCAAGAGATAATATCGTCTCCTTGTCAGTCGTATTCGGCGCAGGCATTTCGTCCATCGTCCATTGTGATGCTGCAAGTGAAATGGCCTCACCGTTGGTGCGGGCATGAGAGAGGTGCGATTCGATCGTGGCAAGCCGCCTGTCAGAGAGGCGTTGAATGTTAATTTGATGGGAACGGGCACGGAAATGGTTTGTTGATTGTTGCTGAGATCCGTCTTTGCCATTGAGGACCCATATGTTGTAGTCAGGCGGTACATCAAGGCGCTTGTGAAGCTGGGGATCTTGATAGGTACCTTTGTGGAAAATGTGTCGCAAAGTCTACCTGGCATTTAGCATTCTACCAAAACGCGGTAAGGACTGTAAGACATACGAAGTCATGATAGGTGCCATCTTGTGTCTCTGGCAACAATGGTAGTTGTGGTAGAATTGTTGACGGTGTCGCTTGTCCTGAAATGGCGGAGGCGCTGTTCGTGAATGCCAGAAACGATAACAACAGGCCAGCTGTCACCCTCGACTTGGAAGAGCAGTGTTGCTTTGGTGGTTTACTCCTTCCCATGATCAAGAGATTCCCCGCCTCCCAGCTTCCTAGCAGACGTAGACACTGCTGTTTTATCGAGAAATATCGAAAAGTGCTGAGTGGGGCGACGACGGAATGAGTGACTTCAGTTTCAACTTGATGGTTCGAATGCTGCTTTGTTGCTAGAGTAATCGAGACTGTCGACCATGTTCTAGCATGTTCAGGACAACTTCCAGCTTCGATGCACAAAGCACAAGCGGATCAAGGGACGAAGGTGGATGCCTGCGGGCTCCCCTAAGACGCATGACAACGACTACGTAGTATGTAAGTGGCACATGTTCACGAGCCCAGCCTTTGGCTGATCACTTGTGCCCAGCAGTCATTGTAAACCAACCACATCTGAAATGCAGGGGTACAATGTACCAGAGTTCAAACAAGAAACTTGAAGTGCAACACGTTGAGTCGCGTGGAACATAAAATACAGAGTAAGAAAATAATAGAGTGGTGATTATCCTTCATCTTTCCTCTAATCTTCCTGTCCACAACTTACACCAGATCATCTCCCAGAACATAGTCTCCCAGCAAATGCTACTGTAAATTGCGACATCCATTCTTCCACCCGAGACACCACAGATGGCGCAAGAAATGCATATTGGTACGAAAGACCGGCCGGCACTGCAACAGATCAAGTCTTTCACTCGCTTTGAGCCGGCGGAACCATCCAAATCTTCAAGGCTGAGGGCAAACACAATTCAAGTCAGAGCAGCTGAAGGCCGGAATGGAACCTCATATCCTGTATCGCCAGGCCGAGCATCTCAAATGTCACCAGAAGATGTCTTCGAGAAGAAAACTCAGATTAGTCCAATGCCAGATCTGGAGCAGTCGCTTAATCGTGCCCAGAGCTTACCGGCGCGATTCGATGAACTTCCTGTGGAGCTTGCCAGTCTTACAGACAGGTGAGATGGTCATTACTCTTCCTTTGGACATATATACTCATCCGTGCCCTTAGATTTATCGAGTCATTGACAGCCAGAGTCTACTCTGAACCTCCTACCATAGACAAGCTTTCTGATCTATTCCAAGATTTCTATTCGAGGGCCAGCTCACATATTTCTACTCACATAGCTACATTGGCGCTTCGCATTGATCGAGATTCGTCCCACTCGTCCCCGAGCCTTGAAGCACTGAAGGGAACAATGCCTTCCAGGAGCAAACAGCTTGCCCGGAAGCAGAGTAAGGAATCGATAGCTTCACTTGACTCTAATTTCGAACATCAAATGTTGACGGCCTCCGAGGTAGCAGAGAAGAAAAAAGCACGAAAGCTGCTCGAGTACAAGAAGTTGGCCTTGGAAGAGGCGGTGGAACGAAGAGCATGTGAGAAAGTGTATAACAGCATCTGGCGCCACAAAAGCACATTAGATGAAGTACGTGACGAGAAGCTGAGATCAAAGACCGCAGCACTGGCGTTGGTCGGAATTGGATTGAAAGATCTGGGGATTGAAATCGATCTTAAGAGTACACTGACAGAAGATGATATCCGTGATTCACTTGCTCCGGCCAGGGACGAACTGGGCAGGATGAATCAAGAGAAAAGTCCTCTAGGGAAATTGCAATGTTTAACTATTGCACACAAGACAATAGTGGATACTCTGTCCACAATCCACCCAGCATCCTCCTCAGCTGATGAGGTCCTGCCTACTCTGATATACACTTTGATCACATCCCCACCCGAAGGCATCAACATCATCAGCAATCTATCCTTTATTGAAAGGTTTCGTACCTCAAGTAAGATTGATGGTGAAGCGGCGTACTGTATGACGAATCTGGAGGCTGCCATAGTCTTTCTGGAGAATGTTGATCTTGCCAGTCTTCGTGAAGATGAGCTCCCACAAGGTCCACCAAAATCTCCAAGTCGGCCAGCTACGCCAGCACAGTCTTTGCAAGCACTGTCACGGGCGACTTCTTCGTCTCCTGCACATTCGCCTGCAGGGTCAATATCTGAGAGGTCTGATAGCCCGCACCCATCTAACATGATGCCACCTCCAAGTCGACCTACCACAATAACCTCTACGTCATCAACATCCGCCCAATCGTTACAAACACCTTCTCGGGCGCCACCCCCATTGCATCAGCGACGACTAAGCAGTCTCCTGAATCCGCCAGCAAAGGCTATAGGGGCTGCCAATGACGTTGTCCGCAATACTGCCGAGGAAGGGTTTAAGAATATCGGCAATACCCTAGATAACAGCTTTAAATTCCTGTTTGGCCGGCTCAGGGAGCACAACGCTGACGAATCGCAGCCTTCTATGCCACAGACATTGGAGGAGGCCCGCAAGCTGGTGAGCCAGCCTTTGGTTCTGGATGACACCATCAGCGAGTCAAGCTCTATTGCAGAAAAAGACGCTGAGCAGCCGTTAAAACGTGAAGACAAGCTGCTCGGCATGATTGGCGGTCGGAAACAATCTGCAGCGAGAGAGCGCAGCGTTGATAGCCTTCATTCCAACGGAAGCGGAAGACGTGTTGTCTCTGCTGCAGCGAATCCCTCAAGCTCAGCACCCACACCGACAACTCCCAACGCCCTTGAATCGGTGAAAAGCCTTGGCAATTCGCTTAATCCGCTGAGCCACCTAGGCTCCGCATTTGGTGGAGGTTTCAGAGGGTTTGGAAAGGCGACTCCAGCAGCATCATCTGTGTCTACTGAAAAGGAGGAAGCAAAAGTGTTGGGTGCCAGCGCCGCTGCAACGAAAGCTGAGTTGCCTGCAAACATCGATCCTCCTATACAGCGATTCATGGATCTGAAGGACGCAGGTGAATTGGCGATTCGAGATGTTTCGGCTCTGCTCAGTGATTACCAACGATTAGCAAAAATTGTTCAACAGCTCAAAGAGGGTGAGACTCTTGCTGGTTGATGGCGTTATGCACAAAATGCATAGCGATGATCTCGTCCAGCCTTCACTGGACTGCTGATTCCAGGCATCGACAAGTGGTGTTATAAAACTTACCATTATCAAAATGGTTCAAGTAATATTGTGCCCCGAAAGCCCTTTACAGTACTTTCTGGGTCATTGGTTTCCGATCAACGTGTATCTATGCGTCTCCTCGGCACCTGAACCTCTCTGGGAGAAAGCGGGATCCTTCAAGTTGTACGTGCTCTGTTCGCGAAACAGGAGGGTCGCACCTTCCTTCTGGGTACCCTGGATTTTTCTACCTACTTCTGAGCCGGATCTGTCATTCGCAAGCCCTCTACGCCATGTCAGATTAGAATGTGCTTTGGTTGTGACGATGACGAATCTGACATCTGGCTCAGCATTGAGAATGGCACATATGTGCCAGCTCCACCTATGATCTACATGCCAGGACTACGACAGATCCACGACCGCATTCATCATCAAGCAGGCAGCAAGAAGTCTTCTTACCTTCCATCTAGCCATGATGTAGTCCGGCTACCCGTGACTTTGAACGAGCCACCCTCCGTTCCACTATCTCTAATCCCTGCTCCGCAACCTCAGAGCACGGAATCCACGCCGTCGACTTCAACGCAGCCCACTCCCGAACAGTTAACCCCAGAATCAACTACGCCAACTGTCACCGATGATCTGGATCAGGTGTCTGCCTCAACAGCGGATAATACCCTTCCGGAATCTCCAGAAGTGCGCTCAGGCTCAAGCCCACGCCAGAAGCGGCCGGAAGCATCAGTGCAGACGTCTTACGAGAATCAGGGTCAAGAGCAGCCACATAGTCCACTCCCTGTGGACGCGGGAGCTCCTGCCTCAGTTAACAGTGCCGCTTCTTCATCGTCAAATGATACTCCGCTGAGCCCATCTAACTCGTCCTCCTCGCTACACTCGATCCTGAAGAAACCTTCTAACTCAACATCGGAGGGCATAGAATCCGAGACAAGCAATCAGCTTGGTAAAGGGAAGCATAAGAACGAGAAAAGGGCACCGCGACTCAAAGTCAAGAAGTCTGTTTCATTTGCTGAAGATACGACCGTGCCAACACCTGAGCTACCGCACGAAACGCAAAAGTCATGTCTAATGACGGCAGCAGAAGAAGGCGCGATTATTGCAAGGAAGCTTGCTGAGAAAAAGTCTGCATCGCACGGTAGGGGAAAAGTATCCGAAGATTCTGGAGGCGGCGATGGAAGCGCGGATCTGAGACGTAACTCACGTGTTTCCAGGCACGAGCACGGCCTCATGAGCTCAGCTCCGGGAATGAAGAAGATACTGAGGCAGACCATGGCCCCGAATGGTGGGACGGGAGCCTTGCGCGGTGAGTGTGAAGGCAGAAAGGGAGCTGACAGGCAACAGGCTGGGAGAGTAGGACTGGCTCGATCTTTGTTCCCTGGTAAGCACGACGAGAGCTGTATTGATGATGAGATACCAAGGAGGTGGCCATGAACAAAATTGTATGTAAAGTTAATAGGTGTGCATTGTCTACCAACCCGAAATGAGGAGTACTGTCCTAAGCATCGAGGGTCTAAAGGCACGAAGATCGAGAATAATTACATACCAGTAGGGTACTTGGTCAAGAAGAGGTACTTATCCTTTCCGTTTGTCCTTTCGGTATTTTCTCCCATTGAATCCTGGTTGTCGCATGCCTGATGATGCAGATATGCCACCACTCCTCGGCTTCTTTAGATTGGTCTTGCCCATCTTGTTATCGTCTTGGTCCTGCCGTCGTTTGCCTGTCGGCTTAGCACTGTTATGTTCCGTTGCGCCAGACATTCTCTCGCTGTACTGTTCGTGATTCTCGTCTGAATCTGCTGAGCTGAGCGAACCATCCGGCTCGCCATCTCTGGTTTTGGCCTTCTTCTCACTGGATTTCCTCTTGAAATTCCCAAATCTGCGCCTCCCAATCGCTGTGTCTGGTGAGGAAGTGTATTCGAGCGGCGGGCTAGGGGCATGTCCTTCATCAGTCCTCCGTGAGATATTTAGTACCCAGGGTGTCTCAGCTGCATTTCCACCATAATTTTGGGGCATGTAGCTCTGGTTCCCTTCCTGTGACATTGGTGTACTAGGATCATTCGACTGATAGAAAGAGCGTGGAGTCGATATGTTAGGACTGGGGAACGCTGGAACGGAGGAAGAAATTTTCTGTCGCTTTGTGGAATGTCCATCAAGCTCTCGGGGACTGGCAGGTAGAGGGGATGATGTGGAAGGAACTTGGCTCAAGTCAGAAGCAGCCGCCCTTTGCATGAACTGTAGATACTGTAATTAGCCTAATAAAGCTATGCCTTTCCTTCCTGCCCACCTTCATTGTAAGCAAGCGGGAAGACATGACTTTCTCTGACTTCCCGCCCACGGGAGTATTGGATCCTGACATATCTCCACGACGAGCCTACCGAAGAGCAGGCACTGAGGTCACCGAACGTTCTCACAGATTCCGCGATTCTAACACGATATATTTGAGCGCTCCTTTAAACACAATGTCGTACTCGAAGTATTGTGTACTCAGATCTTCCCTTTTGCAGGAACGAATATGCATGCGTAGAAGCAAAATTGCCACACGCAGAGATTTGTGCGAGCCTGCGGCTTTTTTTCCCATGAGTTCCTGGATGTGCAAGGAAGTGATAAATTTCGAATTTTGTTCCACACTCTACGTAACATTACATCGGCAAACCTTCCCTGCTTAGTTCAAGATTACATAGTTATCGATAACTTGCATGCAAGTTCTTCTGCAGATCGAGTTTTGGGATTTCAACTTCTAATCAAGCGGCTCTGGGTATTGAAATCCTCGCCGTAGCACGCTCTGTTTAACCTAATCCTATTTACCGGTTTCAAGGAACTTCCAATGCGCGTTAGCACGTTCTAACTCATTATTCTACTTGATCTCTCAATAGAGCTCTCCCCTGATGGCTCCCGAAAGCACTGAAGCTGGCTATGGCACCATGCAGGACCCTTGTGAGAGCAATGCTCCCCCCATGACTCTCAAGCCGAATACCCATGAGAGCTTCGTCGTGCGTCTGAAGCTCCGAATGAAGTCGGAAGTTGAACCTCAAAAAACATATCTCTTTCTCATTAGCTTATTCTTCGTCACCGGCCTTGTTGATAGCGCTGCTTACAATATATGGTCTTGCTTTGTGAGCATGCAGACAGGTATGGACCAGTCCATGGAATTATCATGGTGCTTCGAGCGGGAATTTATCTCCGACCAGTTTGGCTCTCGATAGAAATCCATTGACGCATACTAGGTAACACTGTCTTCGTTGGCCTGGGTGTATCGGGTCAACCTGTGTCTTCTCCAGCTTTCGCTTGGACGAAGTCCTTGCTGTCAATTATTTGCTTTATGCTCGGTGCATTTTGCTTCAGCACTTTCCACAGAAAGCTCGGCTCCACCCGGAGGGGTACCCTGGTCACATCTTTCCTCTTCCAAGCTGCTGTCACATTAGCAGTTGCCATTCTGGTCACTACAAAGGTCGTCTCCAGCCATGTCTCCGATAGCAGAAGGGATGATCGCGCGGCGGGCGTATGGATCCTGACCATGTCAAGAGATATCAATTGGAAAGACCTTGCGCCAATATCTCTTCTCTCTTTCCAAGCTGCTGGACAGATCGTGACGAGCAGGGCCTTGCGACACAACGATCTCCCCACCGCGGTTGTCACCAGCATGCTCTGTGATACGATGTCGGACGCCCAGCTGCTTACTGGTGGGGTTTTAGAGAACGCCAAAAGAAATCGCAGAGTGGCATCGGCCATTTTATTGTTCCTTGGAGCAATTGTAGGAGGTTTCTTGACCAGATCATGGGTTGGACTGGCTGGGGTACTGTTTATAGCAGCAACACTGAAAGCCTTGATGGTTATAGCATGGCTCTTATGGCCTCACGCGAAAGAAAATTCATAGTTGTAGCTTTCAGTCATCTTCCTGGGCGTGCCCTTTTTACAGGTCTCTCGTCATAATTCACCAATCTTCTTCTGCTCCCATTCCGGCTGTCCTGTCGTGGTCACATGCGTACCAGTAAGCTCCATCAAACCGTTAGCAATTGCTTTTGTTAGCTTCAGCAGTGCCTGGTGAGCTTGTCGATAAACTGGAGGAGTGGTTGCGGATGCGTGTGGTGCGGACGGATTTTAGGTATGTCAGGATCTAGAGCTTATGCCCACCAATTGTCTGTCCTAGGACGAATACCGATTGCGTATCTCTTGCTACGTCCTGGATTGAGTCTTGAGATCCACGCTGGTTGTCTGTCATGGTTTACCCGGCAATAGATTCACGACCCAGAACTTGCTGCCGGCGCAATAGAATTGCCGAGAGAATGTTCCTGTTGCCGCATCTGTCAGCTTTTTTGAACAACAAAATGATAGAAGTGCTGGAACGAACCCTGAAGTACTCGCTTCCTTTCTCCAGGTACTCATCTCGAGTGATTGTGGCCGCATTTCGCTCGCTCAATGCTGATTTGCTCCACCAGCCTGCCGCTCCTTTCCAAGCATCCAATACCGGATCAGAGGCCCTTCTCACATTTATCATAAGGCTGGCATCCACTACGCCTCTCAATTCTCGACGCAACCTATCCTCAAACCCTTTAAATAACGTATTTCCGCCTGTGACGAAAACGTCCCTCAGCAGCGCTTGCTGCTCTGCCGGATTTGTCCTGCCCATGACGATACCCTCCGCAATCTCGGCCAATCCGGCTTGATCGACACCTGCTATTCCGGGCTGAAAAATGACCTCCGGTACACGTATTCTTTCCACATTAAGATGTATTTGATGTGCCTCTTTCTGACTTTCCGGATCAAATGGTCGAGCTCCGCGAAGGAAGGCATGAATCAGACTCTTCGTCCAATCGTTCTGGGCGTCGAACGTCTCCTTCTCCGTGAAATCAGGATCGTATCTGAGGAGCTCTGCTTCTAAGCTTCGAAGCGCAGCAGCTGGATCTTCTTCTTCTTCTTCGTCACTTGCGGGCTCTGTGGCTACCGTGCGATAGACACCCCAATCCTCATCGTTGGCGCCAAAGTCATCATCATATTCGCCACCTCCTCGTCTCTTCCTCTTCGGTCCGTCCGAAGCCAGATTGGCAAGTGTCTTCATACGCATCTGGCTGGCTAGCGACTTCCTGTTTCCTGCATCTTGTTTCAAACGCTCACGGTCCTTGATCTTGGAGAGCAAGATGTCTCTTGCTACCCGTCTACCAGCTATCCAATCGTCAAAGTTGTTCTCCCGTTTCTCGAGATCCAACCGTTCCTCCTCGGCCACCCGAGCTCTCTCCCGCTCCTTTTCCGCCTTGGCCCGAAGACGAGCTTCCACTCCAGACTTCAGCAAGCGCTGGTGTCTTTTGTCCTTGATGCCTTGTTCGTCAAGCTCTTCATCAGGTACGTCAAGGAGAGGGAAGGTCTGCTGTTCCATGCCCTCTTCCTCATCTGCTGCACCTAGATCTTTGTTGCGAGATTTTCGGATCTTTTTCTCAAGTTCCCGAATTACACGCTCGAGGGCTGCTTCGTCCTTGAAGTCGTCGGCATCCAACAATCTGCGCTGCTCTTTCTTGGTTGGGGCATTCACGTAATTCATGTGCAACTGTTTGTAGTACTCCATTTCTTGCTCTTTCTTGATAAGTTTGTCCAGACGCATCTTTGCTGCTTGCTCTTGAAGGCGTCGACCTGATTCCTTTTTCCGTTCAGCAATGCGAACAAGCTCCTCGGTTGATTTCTCCGGCGCAATGTGCTCCGTGTACGGATATTGAATGATGATGTCGCGCTCCTCCTCAAGGCCTGACCAATCTAGATAATGAGAGAGTTCTTCATCATAGTCCTGCGAAATGTAGCAATATCGTCTGACATATTCCTCCATTTGTTCGATATTCATTTTGCCAGGGAAAGTTGGGTACTTCAACCGTAGCAATTTGAGCAGGAATTCTTGAGCCTGTGACCCGCCCCAGTTCAGTCTTGCACATGACTGATAGAGAGGCTTCCCCGCCAGAACGGGTACGAGATGCGTAGCTGTGTGTGAAGAAGAAATGACAAGACCGGATGCTCCTCTGTTATGGCGGTAAGAGAACAGGCTGTCGATGCCATATGTAACGCTTGGTGCAGAGTAGCATTCGAACACCACCTCATTCATCATCCTTCTGCTGTAACCCAGGTTCGCCATCGGCTCTGTCATAACTACAGGTCTTCCGATCCCTCCCTCCTCGTCCACACCCAACTTGATGAAAACATAGTCGAGCACGCCTTCCATGACGTCCCAATTGGTGACGATACTTGTCCCTGGCTCAAAGGCGCTCCTGATCTGCCCTCTTGTCGTAGCGTCGGCATACGCATCATGGCCAACAAAGGTGCAGGCTTTATTGTTCTTGCGATCGCGGTATCGAGCCATGATTGGGGGAACCATGAAGCGAGGGACTTTGTCGAAAGAGAATCCCGCTTTAACTGTGCTGGAGCCTGTGAGTCATGACTTAGCAACGTACCTTGACAATAAGATATTCACTCACCATTATCTATCACAAATGCGGTCTCGATCGAGGTGGCAGCACTCTGTCTGTAACCTTCAGGCTGAGGAGGCTGCCACCCTTTGAAAGGGTAGTCCGGAGCGTCACAGACGCGGGGAGATGACGGTCTCAAATCATCTGCTGGAGGCGAAGGCAGCTGCCGAGTCGTGGCCAAGGTGCGGACTGACTTGATCGTCATCCCTTGAAAAGAATGCTGGAGAGATTCTGAGCACAACTTGAAGGCTAACGCCTGCAATGATCTGAGGGAGGTACTCTTCTCAAAATTTACATTTTCACAGAAGCCACCAGATATACCATGCTCGAAGTGTGAGGTACGATATGCAATACGGAGTATGCAAGTGCTAAACTTTAGGGGCAGGCACACAAGGTTGTGGCACTTGTTTAAGTCTAGCAGCATTGTCTTACTGCACGTTGCATAATTGTTGCGAATTCCTTGGCATTATGTAGAGAATTGCCAGCGTTGTTCTGCCAAACAGAAAGAGCTCTTGAGGATTAAATATGGATCTGTACTATGTAGAAAGTATATCAAAATGATGCTGAGTTCTTCTTGAATCTAGTGATACAGATTTTAAGTATAGAGAATCCTTTTTGATAAAATAGATTCTACTATGTAAGAATTCAACTTTATTGATTAGGATCTGTATTAGTATTGACCTATATCATTAGACTCAGGAGAAACTCAGCATCATTTTGATATACTTTCTACATAGTACAGATCTATATTTAATCCTTAAAAGCTGTTTCTGCCTGACACGGCTGCAACGCCAGCGCCAGCAATTCTCGATATATTGCCAGGGGATTCGCAACAATTATGCAACGCACAGTAACCAGTTTGTGCTACATTTCATCAATACGTTGATCTACAAGGCATACTACAGTTTGACATTGGTCTTCAGATTCTCTCACTCTTCTCCCTCTGATTCTATGCCTTTTTGGACAGTGTATTGCCAACCTTATTCAAGCATTAAAGCATGGTGCTACATGTTCACGCCGCTTCAGTAGACATCCATAATCACCGGCCGACTGTTCAGAACCTGCAAATGATGCTTGCACTTTTTGAGTTTTCCTAATGCAGAGCAGATATTTCCTTAACCTAGTCAAACGTGATGGTTTACAAAGGTTCCTGTAGATTGTTTGTGGCTGCGTGAATAGTCAGTAGGATATTGTATCCTCAATTGCTTCTAACATACCTTCGAGATGGAACAGAACATTTGACTGATAGTTTTTGAACATTTGAGCCACGAGCTCTACGTTCATGTTTTGAATATTGACTTCCTGGAGTTGGATGAGGATGATAAAGAGTTGCAAGGAGCGAAATGTGCAAACCTGAAGACTCTTATTCATAACCATGACAGCCCCGTTCAACTTTTCCTGTGACGAACTTCAGTATCCCATGCGAAGATTTGTTGTTGGTTGCTCAAACTATGTTTGTTATGATCCGTGACAATAGCAGGTTTTGCTGGTGCTCATGAGGTGACTCCTATTGATACCATTAGATCATGAGAGCGGTGATAGTATATAGAACTGACCATCTCCTGGGATATGTGTCAATCCTGTAATAGTCCTGGTCTTGTAACTCACGGGTTCTTTGATGTGACGGGCTGTAGTATGGAAACACTGAATAGAACATGAAGCTTGAATGCGGAGCTATGCCCACTCCGATTGGCCAGGGAATTTTAGCTTGGTGTTGCGAACCATAGCACATAAGTACTAAGTTAGCTATTGGCCCTTGATAGTGAGTGAATCTGTTTGATGGAGAGTGTCCTGCCATAATTTATGCAGTGCCTCTTTGATAGGCATCGCACCTCGCTGTCTGGCAAACCCATTGACTGCTCTTGCTGCACCACCTCGAGAATCACTACCGGAAGAAAAGCCTAGTATGGCACTGTCTACTCCTCAACCCTCCGATGACTCTCACCAACAATTACTTGATCAAATCGATATTACCGCTCAACGAGAGCGCATCCGCAACCGAAATTGGAAGCCTTCGCAACGGCGCAACAAGAATGTTAAGCAAATCATATCCGAGAGCCAACGCAAGGAGGCTTCAGTCCTCGCATCACAAAACGGGTCTGGAGCTAGCACACCATTCCCAGCTACAGGAACGAATACGGGCGGGGCAATGACTCCTGTCAATACAAATGGCAGTACGAAACAGCCCAACATAGCCCAAGCCGCACAAAATCTCTCGACCCTTGTCCTAGAGAAAAATCTACAGCGCAACGCTTTGCCAGTGGGACCTGCCGTCACCTACACCAACATCGAGAGTGCTCCCTCCCTCCATCCTGCCCATTCAAAGCATTACTGCGACATTACAGGATTGCCATCCAGATACACGGACCCGAAGTCACGGTTGCGATACCACGACAAAGAGGTTTTCGGGGTGGTGAGAACGTTGCCTCAAGGTGTTGCTGAGAACTACCTAGCAGCCAGAGGTGCACATGTTGTCCTGAAATGAAGATGTAAGGAATGCGCCAACCAAAATTTGAAAAGGGGAGCGGCAGAATTTTTAATGGTGGTGTTGGAGAAATGTCAGACCCTCAAAGTCAAACTCCTCCCACCCATCGACAACCTCTCAGTTGCAGATTCAAGGAGATGCTCCGGCTTAATCGTGGCCTTGATGTCTTTCTCCGCGAATCATGAAGCGCTACCGAGATCTCACCGATCGAGAACCAGTTACAGCTTTCAAAGACTGTGGTCATGGCGGTCTGTGGAATCGATGGCTAAACGAGGAAAATCAGGTAGCGAAGAGAATTTGGTACCGAAACATAATCAGCCATACTGTGATAGCTTAGCATGTAGCTGAAAGGCGCTGAGAGGTACTAGTGCTAGCCAATATTATAATAAGTTTTGCTTCGCATGAGCAGAGCTGTCGAAAGAATCCTATATCGCGAAATGGGAAAGCTCGACTCTCTATCGTACCCAGCGCAATGCGATTCGCGATACTTCGGTATCTGCCCTTCGCCTTAGTTTACATAGTGATATGTACTTACCGAAGACCTATTTGGACGCGTCAACACCTTGTATTGGGATCATGTGCACAACATAAGATATAGGTAAGCACTGCAAACTCATCAGCTAAGATGCGAATTTGGCCCCGAACTGAAGGTCAATGAAGCTTGGCACTTCAAAAACAGCCCTTCGGAATCCGTTGCGGTCTCCCAGGCATTCGGCGCTACAGCTATGTATACCTCTCACTTTTAATGTGAATATACCCTGTTGCTACCGAACGAGAAATCTGCAACACTGGATATGTTCCAGGTTGGTTACCCCAATTCTTCCACAACAATGTACCAGACTGACCATTTGCCAGCGCCTTAAAGGCGCAATTGACAGTCGCATAGCCGAAGAACAGGCCCGACAAAGAGCAGCGGTTACTTCAGCGTCTCCTTCTCGATCAGGCTCGACGACTGGCCGTAGATCTGTATCACGCAACTTATCACCGTCCAAGAGACCAAAGCCCAGCGAAAGAGCTGAATTATCCACAGGAAAGGGTCCTGATCCCAGCGAGTTCGACTCAGACTCCGTACTCGGAGATGATAGTGCTAGGAATGGCGTGCCAAAGGGTGAAGTCTCCGGTAAAGATGTGGAAGAAAAAAAAGCAGAGGAGCCCTTTGTAAATACACCTGAAATAAAGATGGCTCCTAAGAATGACGAAGCTGCAATGCCTACTGAGCACGGTGGAGAAATGTCTACCGAAATCCGAGTAAAGCTGCGAAAGTTGGAAAGACTTGAGAGCAAATACCAAGAGCTATTAAAAGCCTATCGTATAGCGCATGCGAGAGTGCAGACAATTGAACCCTTCGAGGCTTCATTGCGCGAGAACACACCTCTCACATCTATTAACGATCCCGGTGCGCTTCTGGAGTACCTCAATCAAATTACCCTCAAGAGTGACATGGCCCTGGATGAGCTCAAGCGAGTGACTGCAGAGCGCGACGAGTATCGCAAGAAGCTTGGGGAATCAGAAAGAGAAGCGCAAGCGTTGAAAGCCGAAGTCTCAAGCTTGAAGCAGCAAGAAGAAAAGTCAGAACCAGCAACAGAACCGTCGGTCTCTGGCCGACAGTCGTACGATTTATCAAATGCAAGGGAGCCAACTGGCGATGTGGCTTCGGAGCCCTCAGCGACTTTGAAGTCTCCCACTCCTTCTACGCCTTCTCGCCTACCTAGCTTCTCCTTATTTTCCCCCAAAAACAAAGCGGTCAAGTCTCCACAGGAACAGAAAGATCCTGGTGAGGAATTCTTTTCTTACGACAGTGAGCTTCCTCGACTTCAAGCTGAGTTGCAGGAGCGGCAAGTCGAGATTACGGACCTTAAGAAGCAGATCTCTACCCTTCAAGGAGACTTGTCTGTTACCAGAGAGTCGACGGAGGGTATGGTACAGAGCCTCGAAGCTGCAACGCAAGAGCTCCATTCGTTGCGAGATATAAATGAGAAACATCAAATGGCGAGACATGACCTCCAGGCAAAGATCGATCGACTCGAGCAGGATATCTCTTCGCGCGTGCCGCCTAGTGCAGCCATAGAGCAACAGGGCTCCAGTGTGGAAACTCAATTAGCGGATATGAAAGTAATACTAGAGGAGAAGGATACGACCTTGTCTTCAATGAAGAAGGCCGAAGAAGAAAGAAAAATTCAAATGACTGCCTTGGAGGGAGATGTCCTGGAGCTTCGCGAAAGAGCTGCTCAGAAGGATGCTGCTGTAAAGGATCTGGAGGAATCGCTGGCTATAGCCCACACAGCTGAACGTCAACCAGGACAGCAATCGTGGTCGGAGTCAGCAAGCAAGAAGCAGATTGGTATTCTCAATAATATCATGGAATCTCTACGTTCCCAATTGAAGACAGCGGAGGCGGAAATCACAGAATTGAAGGAAGTCAAGAGGAAAGCGGAAATTGAGATTAAAGAATTGCATGAGCTCAATGCACATAATGAAATGCAAGAAGAAGCGCATGACAAGACCTCGGCTGGAATGACTGACGAATTCGAAATGAAGATTGCCGAATTGCCGTCAATGAGATATTTTGGTTTTGTCAACAGCGACGATTTTTCCTTATCGGGTGACGCACCCACCGCCTTTCGGCAATTCTCCGAAAAGGTGAAGATCACACGACCAGAGCTTTATGAAGCATTGGTTTCTCCCGAAAAGAGCAAAGAGAAGTCTGTAGCGCCGACCGAGCTTGCAGTTGCAACGAACGATAACACCAAGAAAAGCAAGAAGAAAAAGAAGAGAAACAAGGGTAGGCAAGATTCAAGTGCTGAGCCGAATATTCTTGAACCGCCAGCCAAAGTCACAGAGACCTTAGACGAGGCTGAAGATGAAGCCCAGAAACTCAGCCCGCCCCAGTTGGACGCAGCGCAGCATCTCGAAAAGCAAGTGAACGATCTTGAAAAGCAGGTGGAGGAAAAGGTAGCGACGATTGATAGCCTATGCAGCAAGTTGAAAGATCAAGCCGCATTAAATGAGGAGATTGAGACACTTCGTGATGACCTCTTGCTTCAAGGCGAGGGGCATGTGGAAGCTCGAGAGGCTCTCAAAGCTGCGAGAAAGGAGAAGTCTGTGCTCGAAAAACGTATTGCCGATCTCGAGACAGAGCTCACGGATCTCAGAGCACACTCTGCTACTAGCTCGGCAGAATCTGAAAATGCGCATCGAGACCTACTATCAGAGCTTACGGAACTCAAGGTAAAGTCTGGCGCTTTCCAGAGAGATCTAGCGGCCGCGGAACAGCTAGCTGCAGCGCGGTTCAAGGATATCACTGAATTGCGTGAACTTCTATCGAAGGCGCAAGCGGAGCTGAGAAGCTTTCGAGCTGAAGTGGAAGAATTGAAACCTGCCCGGGAGGATCTCAACAACAAGATTGGTGAATTGAGGCGACTTGAATCCCGCCATGAGGATTTGAAAGCCGATATGAAGAGTTTGAGCAGGAAAATTGGGGAGAAGGACTCCGCCATCAAAGATCTGCGACAGAGTCTCACTGATGCAAACACCACCAAAATGAAGGTAGAGGAGGACCTTCGGACAGCAAGATCGGACCTCCAAAATGCGGAGGCATTGCGAGTGGCGGCCATGAGCTCTCAGAAGCAGACTTTAGAGGAGCTCTCAAACACAAGAGCAGATCACAATGCATCCTTAAGCAGTATTCGAGAATTGGAAGATGCGATTAGCAAACACGTCAAGGAGGTTCAAGATTTGAAGGACGAGGTTCGCCTGAAGACATCCTTGCACGAGTCCACCCAAGCGATCATGGCTGGCCTGAGAGAACAGGCGCTAGAGCTCAGTACTCAAGCTCGAGAAGCCAGCAGCAGAGCAGATAGTCTCGAGGAAGAGCTTGCAGAAGCACAAAGGATGCTTTCCGAACGCAGCCGCGAGGGAGAAACCATGAGGCGTCTTCTGGCAGATGCTGAAGGACGAACGGCTACCAAGATCCGGGAGATGAAACAGAGGATGGAGACTGCCATTGAGGAGCGGGATAGAGTAGAAGACGAAGCATCAACGAGCAATCGGCGAATGGCGCGAGAAATTGAAGACTTGCGGAATAAGACCAGGGAGGCCACCAGATCCTTGAAAGTGGTCGAAGAGGAGAAAGAGGAGCTGGAACGCTCGCAGAAAAACCTCAAGCACAGAAGGGATGAGCTCGAAGCCATTCAGAATAAGAGTCTAGCAGAGGTTGGCGAGGCCCAAGCGGCGATACAGCAATTAAGAGAAGCCTTAGACCAACGAGAAAGGGAAGGCATGGAATTTGAACGGCAGAAAACGGACATGAAACGTTCATTAGAAGATGTTCAGGAGAGAGTGGAACGTTTGCAAAAGGCCAACAAGGCGCTGACAGACGAGCTGAAAGGCTCTCAACAGCAGCGCAAAGGGAGCATACGACCTCCAACAGGCTTTGAATCAGAAGTTAAGTCATCTCGCTCGTCGCTTGACTCGACCGGCCCCAACGCTCGCAATAACAGTGTGATTGGGTCTCCAGTACCAAACATTCGGGACCGATTACCCGCTAGCCGCAGTTCTACCCCTACGGGTGCAAACGCTTCTCCCGTTGATTATGTGTATCTGAAGAATGTACTTTTGCAGTTCCTGGAGCAGAAGGACAAAGGCCATCAGAAACAGCTGATACCGGTACTGGGAATGTTGTTAAATTTTGATCGGTAAGTTACCTCCAACGACCATCGCTGTTGATCGAGGTCTGATTGTTCATCTAGCAAAGATGAGCAAAAATGGATGGCTGCAATCACAGCAAGATAGTGTTCGCTGAGGATGATGGATAATCTCATGAAATGAAGTTTTCAGCAGCTGAGCATTTGGGGATGGATTGGTATCTAATTGATTGCGATGTACGGAGTAGATGTCGAATGCGATTATTGCATTAGCCTGTGGCGTAGGGAAGTTTGACCACGTCGAACGGGAGAATGTCATCAACAGACTCCGCACAAAACTGCATAGGTATCTCTACTTCATAGACTGGAAATGTCAGGCAGAGGTTACTTTCCCAGCTTGCAGGGTCGCACAACGTGACTTCTGATGTTCAATGCTGCTGGTTGCTGCCGCGGCCTGCGTGGAAAGTATCTGACCAAAAAGGAACGAAAAGCCACGAAGCTTTATTCCACCCTCTCGAAGAGCAACCAAAGTCGCTATCGAATTACTGTCGTACCATCATACCACGTCACTTTCATCAATGCTGACTGCCTGGGATGCTAAACATACAGGATTATTGGCTCGCCATGAAGATGAGGTTCCAGGCCTCCGCTATAAAATCAGCCCCAACCATCCACCAAGTACAAACACGATCCAAACCTAATCATCCTCGCCGCCCACCGCGATGTCATCTCCCAGTTCCCCCAAGGGCACCCGTCCTTTCAGATATCTTAGCACGGCCTCCGTCCCTTTGTTAAGGACATCCCATCTCGGCACTCTGAATCTATTTCCACTGACTTCTAGGAACTTAAGACCAGCTTTCCCGCCTAAAAGACCCAGCTTCGGCTCCAGGTGGCCGATATCGTTGTTGCGTATGTCGAGAGTGGCCAGGCCTTGAACGGCGGAGACTTCGAGCACACTATAGCGGTTGTCGGCTACGAAGAGAGTTGTGAGGCTCGGGAAGTATGTACGAAGTCGTGGAAGGCTGCCGGAAAGTTGGTTTATTGAAAGATTTAGCGTTGTCAGGCTGGGAGCAGAAAGATGGACAGTCAGATCATCAAGGCTCTTGAGACGGCAGGAAGCGAGAGACAGATCCTTCAGTTGAGGAAGACACAGGGTTGAGGTCAAGTGAGGAGCTTGTAATGGGTTGTGCGATAGATCCAGCGACTTTAGGATATCAGACATCGAATTATGAGTGAGGAAGGACGCCGGAATGGTGTTCAAGTTGTTGTGATGGAGGCGAAGTTCAAACACCGAGCTATCAAGGTGCTGGGTGGGCAACTGACTGTTGGACATAGATTTGGAAGACAAATCAAGGATACCTCCGCTGCTTGGTTTCGATATTGACGGTCCCACATCTGTCTCCACAGGACCTTCAGATACAAGAAACCGTTTTCGCAAATCCGCTTTGAGACCATCCGTTGACAATGTCAGGTATTTTCGCTCACAAAGAGGATTTCCTGCCAAATTGATCGAAGTGAGACCTTCCATCAATGCAATGCCATCGTCGAGCTTGGTGATGTTATTGTTTGACAGATCAGCATTCCTCAATTTCCGAAGCATCACAAGACCGGATGGTACCTCACAGAGCAGGTTCTCTGCAACGGTGAAAGTAAGAAGTTCTTTCCAGGATGATATATCAGGGAGCACTTTGATTCGGTTGCCATTCAAGTTCAACGTCTGAACATTGAGCAGTTCAACTTCAGCCGTACCAACAGCATCCAGCGCATTGTTGGACACATCCAGCAGCTTCAGAGATCTTGGCGCTGACAAGATCTGTGGCGGGAAAAAGGAGCCAGACAGACGATTTCCTGATAAGTTCAACTCTACCAAGGTCGAGTTGGCTAGAATTTCGCATGGTACACCAGACAATTTGTTCTTGGCCAAATTCAGAGTCTTGAGGTGAGTTAGTTCCTGTAGGCCTCCTGGAAATTCAGAGATTCCATTCCCATGTAAGTCGAGAGCTTGAAGGTTCGACAAATTCTTGAGCTTCTCGGGAAGTGTTCCAGATAGTTCATTTTCGGACATTCTCAGATCAGTCAAGCTATTGCCAATTTGACAGATAATGTCCAAAGCTAGCTCTCCAAGCTTGTTCCCAGACAAGTTGAGGGAACGTAACTTTTGAAGCCTCCTCAAACCAAGTGGTAGCACTCTCAATTGGTTGTGATGCAGGTCAAGCACCTCCAACCCTCTGAATTGACCATTCTGGTCCACACCTTCGCCGCACTCCAGCTCGTCATTTGTGGCGTCTGGGAACAAGCTTTCATTTAGACTTTCGAACTTGTTGTCCGCCGCGACAAATTTGGTAAGATCAACACATTCGGACCAAGCGACATGGAATTGCTCAGAGGCATCGTACATATGCTCGATCTCGCTAGGAACAGACGTTAACTCCATGGCCGGCAAGAGCAGGTGACCACTTAGTAAAGCTGCCCTAATTCGTTGCCTTAGAATTTCGCCATTCACCTTAGGCTCAAGAGCAACATCTCCTGATTCGACTTCAGATGGGATATCGTAAAAACTGCCAGGGTATTTACTGGCACGATCTGCAGAGGCTTTGCGATTAGCCGCCTCTTGCTTTGCCTTGATAATAGCGCCACGAAGAGCTGCCGAGGATTTGGAGAAGTTTTTACGTGGTAGATTGGCATTTGTTTCCACCTCGGTTGACGAAGATTGCAATGATTGCATCGAAGATCGCCGAGAGCTGTAAGAGCTCAGGGATGTCGTTGTTGGTGTCGAAGTTGTTGGCTTTTTTTCTATGGCCTTGGAAGCTTCCATCGGTTTGGTATGACGAGGCTGTCTTACAGTGACAGGCTTGTTGGAGAGCGGTTTTGACGAGGACTGCCTTTGCTGAGCACCGTGGACCTGGCGAGTCGTAGGCGCTGGCTTGGAGAACATACGCTCTCTATTTGACTTAAGGCTCGCATCAAGTGGCTTTTTTGGTTGGTTTGCCACTTTATCGGCTGGAGGCGCAGGAGATGGCCTCGCTGGCTGAGTCAGCGACTGTCTGCTAGTCAGTGGTTGAATGTTTGGTTTTGCAACAAAAGACGGAGGTATAGAGGGCACCGGAGGCGGTTTGTTTGGTGATGAAGGTCGAGATCTCGAAGCACCCATTGCAGAGGCTGGCCGAAGAGGAGGCCGCATGGGACTTGTGCTCTCTACATTGAAGAAGCTCGATTTTCGTCTAGTTGAAGAGGGTGAAGGCGATATCTGTGAAAGAGTCTCTACAGTCCTATCTGATAGAGATGGTCTTGGCTTCCGCTTTGCTCGAGGCGTCTCTGGCTGAGCAGGTGTAGGATCAGTCTTGGTGGCCAGGGCTCTTTCATCAGTCTCATACAACAGTGCATCATGAGACGAGATGTCTTTAGGTGCATCGTGAAGGTCCCCGCTCGACGTTACCAGGCATTTTGGGAACCCCAATCTGTCGCCAGCTTCTTGTTCTGAAACAGCAATTTGGTTTCCACCACTGCCTGAAGTCAACTCTGTTCGTGCAGTATTACCGGTGTGTTGTTGGCTTTGTTGTGCAGGCTTTTTTGCATTGGGCACATCCTTCGCCACCAGTGGTATGACACCTTTCCTAGTAGTAGTGCCCACTGATTTTTTGACTGACCCGGAGAGAACGGGGAGTCTTGACAAACGAGGAATACTGGTAGCTGGCTTGGGACGTTGCTCCATACTGCAATTCATGATATGTTTTTATCAAAGAAACATGTTTCGTTCACGCTCCGTAGACGAACCATTCGGTTCAATCTATACCCTCCGGTCTTTGTGATCGCTTCTACAAAGGAGGTACTATCACACAATGATATCCATCACCCTGGTAGTTCTGGTCTGTTGTCACCAAAACAATGCCCAGGCGCCGGAGGTTCGGCTCAACTTCGGACCGACATTCATGGCCCCTCGCCCACTGGTGTGAAACCAAATGCTAGAGAACCGCGACCGCGATTTCAAGACCCAGCCACAGCCTTTCTCGTGACCAACCTCTATGGAGACGCAGCAGTGATCACACTGGATTGTCCGAGACGATTGTATCCGCAATCAATACCAATGAAGCTGTGTCTGACAGCTTTGTCAATTTCGGAACAGCATATATCGTCTTCCACAAATTTCACCATTACCACGTTAGAGTGTCCTGCATTTGTCGATCCAGATCGGCATCCTGACAACGCTGAATCTGGGTGAATCAGCAGGCATACTCGCGAAGCAGCCTTAAATACAGGGCTTCTTGAACGGGAAATTGCAAGGAAAGATCCCCTGAGGTGCAGCTATACTCTCAAAGTATCCTGTAACTTTCATAAACTGCTCACCTGGTAAGCGGAGAGTGAGGTCAGATAGTACCAGGGTGTTCACGACATATCAGCAAAGTTCTTAAAACACGCAACGAAATTACTTCAGAATGGCTGCGATAAGCCCAGACTCAAAGCATCTGTCCGCAATGCCGGATATCGTGGTCCCGTCTACGCCGCCACCTCAACCTATCCATACCTCCAATAGTGCAGAAATGACACCGCCTCCCTCAACACAACCACTGAGAACAAACCCTGCGACCACACAATCCAAGTCTGCACAAAGAACTCTCTTTCCACAATCCCCCCCAACCACAATCAAAACAGGAACCGACCAACCCCTACCAACACCAGATGACATTACCAAAGCTGAACATAACGAGCTTCGAAAGATGGCGCAGGAGCTCTCTCACGCGGTTGCAGAGGCTCGCATGTTAGCTGCACACTACAAGCTTCAATACAATTTTCTCACAATCGAATCTCAGGAATCAGCACAGCGTGCGGATATCGAGCATCAAATGACTCGTCGTGAGGTCGAGGTCCTGCAAAGTGCTCAGCACAATCGCAGTGTGCACTCTGCCGCTCTGCACAATATCATGCAGCCCTTAGCACAGTCACAAATTGATGCCTTATCGAGAACCTGCAAAGATCTGGAGGAAGAGAGGGATGAGCTGGACCATAGACTTAGGAATGCGAAGGCAGTCATCGAGCAGCTCATGGACAGAGCTGAATTGGTGGATGAGGAGAACCTGATGCTGAAAAAGAGAATTCGAGAAAATCGTGAGCATTTCAACGAGATGAGACGAAGTCCGGCTTTTCATAACCTTGCGCTTACGCCACGCAACGACTTTGCAACACCTCAACGAAAACCAGTACCCCAATTCGCCGAATCTGCTCGTCCACATGATAGCAGTCGCAACCAAGATCCTTTTGCTGCTTTACTTGCAGCCGACCAAATGTTGAATAGCGAGGCTGCGAGCCTACCCGCAACGCCTACAAAGGACCACTCAACAGGGTTTCGTCAGGGCCATAATCGCGGGGCGTTCTCTCTGTCTTCGCTGCAAACAACGCCAGTGCAATCGCGCGCGGTCACGGCTGGCGAGATGGATAACAGAAATAAAGGTTGTGCAATCCAGCGACTACCTAATTCTGCTCCTAGCACACAACTAGCAGGACTGCAGGAGAGCAGGGACCACCGTGATAGAGACAGCACAATTTCTGTTTCGGACGAAGAGGCTTTGACAGATGAAGATTTACCTCAATCCCAGGCAAGTTCTTTGGCCGCGAGCATGCTTCGTCGAAACCCTGGAAGCCAAGACAGCCCTAGAATCCCTGAGAAAGCAGAGAAGTCTAGCAAAGCTCTGCAAACCAAGATTTTTGGACAGGTAAAGAAGGCAGGAATCGAGCGGAAAAGACACGCTAGCTTTGGCCAAGCTGATGGCATGAAGAAAACAAAACTTGCTGAAGGAGTTGGTCTGGGCATTGGGACATGGGGTACATGAAAGGGCCTGATAGAAGTGTAGATATTGTTGGCGCCCGGAGTTGGTGCTCAATCATATGGAAGTTGCTCACAGGCAGGCAAGCACAGGACTATGAGTCATTGATATCAGGATTCATGACGCCTGACAGACACTCTTACCTGGCTTTCAGAACCATCAGCACCGACCAGAAACCAATGAACATGTCCATAGCCAGAGAATGAAAAGCAAAATCACAGACAGAACTGTGTCGTTTATCTGTATTATAGAACCTTACTAAAAAAGTAAACACCCAGAGTTCGTGACTGTAAGCCCACATACTGGTTTTTTCTTGTACTACTGGTAGTTAATACTCCCTACGTTTGGTTTTCAGAAGGCGTGCCAAGTCATTCTCCATTTTAGGATGTAGGGTTGTGGCCACTAGGGCTTTGTTAGATACTAGTAGCAGCCACCACTATTGTCTACCTGAATTTTGGCAGGCACCAAATCAATACTTGATCATTTGCTGCAATCTCTAAAGTCCTCTGATAGCCATCTGTTCACCATGGTAAGCGATGTGTAACTTCCTGTGGCTGTATACGCTCTCTCTGACTTCACCTGCAGGCCATCAAGCACAACCAGCAGATCCCAAACAATCGTAAGGATACATCCAGCAATTTCCCCAGCTACTGGAATGCATTGATTCCTAACCCCACAAATAGACTTCCACAAAGACTGGCAGCGTCGCGTTCGAGTCCACTTTGACCAGGTACAATCCAAGGTATTAGCTTCGCAACAAGGCCCACCTAACGCACTATTCCACAGCCTGGCCGCAAACAACGACGAAGACAAGCGCGTCTTGCCAAAGCCTCAGCTGTCGCTCCTCGTCCTGTCGACAAACTTCGACCAGTTGTTCGATGTCCTACGCTTAAGTACAATCGACGTCTTAGAGCTGGGAGAGGTTTCACTCTGATGGAATTAAAGGTGTGCCAGAACGCGAGGTCTTTACGGGATGAATTGGAAGTAAGATGCTCATAACGTGGTTATAGGAAGCTGGAATCCCTCGCAAACTCGCTCGAACCATCGGCATCTCCGTCGATCCACGCCGTCAAAACCTCTCAACAGAATCTCTTTCGACAAACGTCGAACGCCTTAAGGCTTACAAGGCACGACTCATCCTCTTCCCTCGCAAGAGCGGGCAACATAAGAAGCTGGATTCTAGCAAAGAAGATTTGGAGGGAGCGAAGGATGCTGTGAGACACGTGGGTGCTGTTCTGCCGATCGACAGTGGCGTGGGTGTCAAACATGGTGTCTCGGAAGTCAAGAGGAGTGACATGCCCCAAGGCACTGAAGATGGTGCGTACAGAACTTTACGGCTAAAGAGAAGCGAGGCTCGATTAGTGGGTGTGCGGGAGAAGCGGGCGAAGCAGAAGGCAGAGGAAGCTGAAGCGAAGAAAGGGAAATAGATGATTCGCATGTGAAGGAATCTTTACTGATTTGCAGCATGGAGAGAGTGGCGGCATGCCGATACTGGCAGAAATGGGCAGAGCAGCCTGTCCACTCCCAGCAGTGGTTATGGCTTACGACAGAGTCTCAACCAAACATCTTTCATAGCTCGAGTCGCGTTAAGGAGAACAAATCGAAGCAAGTGATGCAAGAGGCTGAACATTTCTTGTCTATCCGATCTTGCAAACAAAATCTACCAACGAAGGGCTGGCTCCCAACGAAAATCCAAGCAGCCCTTTTCCCCGACTTCAATATATCTTCCTCTTCTTCCCACTTCCACCCATACAAATTTGCACAACCTGTTTAACCGCCCCATCTAGCCCACTCCTCCTCATCAACTCTGGAAAGATTTTCTTCAGACCTTCCTGCCCCTTCGCACTAACCTTGGTCCCCGCAACATCAATTTCCGTGTGCACCTCACCCGCCCAATCAAGCACTAAATCCCATTTCAGCAGGAGACGGGGCTGTATGTATTTCCTTGCTTCATTCGTTGAAGCGCGGATGGGGTATGGTTCTGCGGGGATGAGCTCGACGAAGGATTTACCGATGTATGGGATCAGAGCTTGGACGTCTGTTGCTTTGACTGCTTCATCTGGCATGTAGGGAGCCTGTGGCTCAGGTGTCTTGGTAGCGATTTTCATGGTGTCAATGTGATGGAAGAATTGGGCGCGGGTGACGGCTGTTTTCCACCACATCCCTAAGCCCCAAATGAGGGTTCCAGCGTCGAATTTGTGGAGCGGGTTTTTCAGACGAGCTTCCATCCAGTGGCGAAGTTCTTTGATGCCGGCGCCGTGGCGTGGTCGGATGTCGGCACCTCTGATGGAGACGATGCTCTTGGCTTCGATGTCGCAGCTCACTCTGAAGGTTGCGTTGAAGACGTGGGGGGGCCAGGGCGGTGGTGCGGAAATGTTGATGGTGTGCACTTGATGCAATTCGCCTCTCATAGAGGAAGATTTGGTTGTGGTAACAAGACGCAAGTCGCCAGGTGCAAAGGCTCTGAGGAACGCGAGAGGATTAACGTCCAGATTTACTGGATCCCTGATACTAGGCAAGGAGGGGCGCGCGTACGCATCTGGGAAGCCAGGGTCACAGGAAATGTTTGGTGTAGAGAGAAGAGCTAGGACTTCCGGATCAAGGTCATCCTCTGCGTCTTCTCCGCCATCAAGGGCACTTTCTAATTGTGCCAATTCCTCCTGTAGACGAGTAAGCTGAGTCTGCAGATCATTACGTACTTTGCGCTTTTCGACAGTATCTGCTGGCACTTCGTTGTCGTCTCTTGGACGCTGGGTTTCGTGTTCAGGAGGTGGTCCATTCTCCCGCCGCTCAACATCACTTTCGGGTGTTTCTCCGGCAAGCATGGCATCCGGCGTGTCTCCAAGCATTTCTTCTGTCCTCGCTGGCAACATTTTCCCTTTTGGCTTTAAAGGGCTGCTGGTCTCTAACTGTCCGCTCCTCAGCCGATCACGCCTTGACCCACGACTACTTGGGCTGCTGCTGGCTGCTAAGCCCCGAGGGCGATCGGGTTTTGGCGACAAACCTAGTTGTGTTGGGGTTGGCGGGAGCTCAGGCTCTGTCGCGTCGATCTGTCTAGCAGGGAAGCCGTGACTTTGGGGGTTGGCAACTGGGAGCTTCGAGGATGGCAAACTCGCAGGAACTACACGAGGCTTTGTCGGACTGGCACCCTGACTGCGAACTGTAGGTTGTCGTGGTCTCAGCGGTGAGCGCTGCGAGTCGGGCGCTTGGGCTGAATGTGCAAAGGGACAACCGACTTCTGTTGGAGGGCTCTGCAAAGTCGGAGGGGTTGTCCTCGGACCTGCTGGAGAGCCAACCGTATCGCCTCTGACCCCTTCATCGTGTTTCTGAGCTGGATTTGGCGTAGATATGGGATGTGGGTTCCCTGGGCTTTCTATGACCGTCTTCCCTAGCAATATATCGTCTCGCAGTCCCTTTGCTCTTCCTTGGGAGCTTCGTCTACCAGGCGAGCGAGCGAGTATCGTTGGATGGGATCGCGAGAGAGATGATTTGGTGGGAGACTGGTATGAGGCACGACCCGAAGTCGAGGTACGGGGCTGGCTTCTGGATTCTGACTCTTCAAGACTGACAGCAGCAACAGAAGTCGTTGGTGACGTCTTGCGACGTTTTGCTGGGGATGGTGGCATTTCTTTGCGCATATGCGGAAGGAGTGACGGCTACTCTGCGTCTGTAATTGCTTTGGTCGCAGCTGTAGGTTTTGATGTTGTGCTTTGATGTTGTGCTCCGACGAGATTTGTGATGCCCTTGGTCAAGAAGACGCGTCAAAAGCCATGCGACAGAACGCGACAGATTTCCGCCAAGCTTGTTACATATCGGATGACATAATACAGCGGCGAGCGAGCGCCCCCAAAGATTGTAAAAGACATCCGGCAGCATTCAATCGCCAGACTCGCAGCATGCCTGTCTCGAAGCGAGTCGTAGCATGTCTGTGGAAATACCCACCCTCTCTCCCTCAGATGCCAGTCTGCGCTCTCCGCCGAGGTCACCAGTTTAACCGCCAGGGCAGAGCCTATCATTCCTCTAGAAGCCATCTCAACGACGCTCAGAGACCTGATCAGGCTCAGCCTCTTTCAGGGTATTACGCCGACCTTCTCTCCACGCCTATGTCTACGCAACCTCCCCTCCCCACATCCACATCCAATTCCAATTCATCAAAATCATCGCAGTTGCAGGCAAAAGAAGAGAGAGCGAGAGTAGTTTTTGGCTCTCGTCTAGCCGGCTCTGGCTACGAGAGAAGGTCTTCTGATACGCCTGATGCGACATGGCGCACTATCAATGGAGTTCCCGTACCGCCCCGCCCTGCAGAACCAGATAATTGCTGCATGAGTGGATGTGTTCATTGTGTATGGGATGATTACCGGGACGAGGTCGAAGGATGGGCTCTTCGATTAAAGGAAGCACACGCCAAGGCAGCAGGGGGATTTGGCTCAGGAGGGCAAGGGGTGAGCGCAAAGGTAGGGATGCACAGAAACGAAGTTGCAAGCGCGAGCACGAGCATGGATGATGATGGGGGCGGAAGCGAGACCCATTGGGATGGGATTGGTGCTGGAGAGCTCTTTTCTAGTATACCAGTAGGTATTAGAGAGTTTATGCGGACTGAAAAGAGGTTAAGGGACCGGCATAAAAGGGAGAAGCGAAAAGCATAATTTCATATGACGTGTTGTCAGCGAATGTCTATACCGCACCGCACAGATGGGTTCAAGGGACTGGACAGCATATTTCAACAGCATAAAAAGCCTCCCCATCCCCGATCGTCAGGGGTGGAGTGTTTGAGTAGCTTGCATACTGGGCAACGACATCCAGAATGTTGGGTTTGGATGGAGGCCGAAATCAGACACTGATTAAAGACCTTCAATATTCGATTAAGGACCGAGTTTTGTAAGACCTGAATCTAGGGGGTCTTCGCCTAGCTGAACATCGTATATGAGTGCCATAATGCCAAAAGCGCTCCATCTATACCACAACACGAACAGCACGTTTAAATATAATATATTCTCCCTGCTATAGACCAAATGCTTAGTCCACGAGGAACCCAATGTCTAGAAGGCTGGTGCTGTACAGGCATCTAGGCCGCAGGAGCCATCACCGGCCACATGGCCGGCAGTCCCACACTGCTGGCAGCGCTCTCCAGGAAAAGACGAGTTGGTTTCGGAACGAGATGGCTTGGGAACAAGCGAAGCTCTGTCAGCATTAAGCTGATATTCTGACACGAAGCGCGCTCGCTCCCTTCCAGAGCCTTCTCCATCCCCTTTTGTACCGCTTCGTCAGCCAGGCAGTCCACGACGAACGGTCTTCCGTACTCCCAGGTCGAAAGAGCAGCTAGACCAAACCATCCTTCGCCGCGTACCTGCTGAGATGGCCCATGGATGGTCAGGAAAGAAATCGGAGATGCGATGTCGTCGGCACTGCCCAATGCCTGGCGAACCGCACCCTCATCGAGTGCAGGCTGGCCTCGAGTGGAGTGTCGTAAGGTGCGACAGACTTCGACTACAAGTCGACCAACCTCAGTTTTGATATCTCCGTCGCCAGTTCGGCGAAATAGATTCAGCGCGGCAAGAAGGCCACTCTGCTCCGGGTTTCGCTCGAGAAGTTGGCTGTTTGTGCGCGATCCTCCATTTGCAGCTATGCCGACACCGATAGCAGACACGTGCTTCGGGAAACCAATTATGGCTTTCCGCATAACTGAGACAGCTTCGCGCTGCACCATAGGTTGAACGTCAAAGTCATTGACGAATCGTAGGAGCTCAGAGATGATGCCACCATCAACAATGGCAACCTTGTTCTCGGGCGGGATAGCAAGTCTGTCTAGAAGCGCCAGGGCTGGAAACACCGTTGTGGAGTCCTCTCGCTGTCGCAAGATCAGACCAATAGCAAGATGAACCTTTCTATGTTGAACGAGAAACAGAGCAAAGTCTGTAGATTTAGTCAGGTTTGCAAGGACAACGCAAGCTGAAGTAGCTGGGATCACCCCGACTGACACCTTGGTCTGCCGCATGTTCGATACATTGCCAAGCGCATCGATGCAGCTGCTGACGAGCCTCGGACATTCACTGACCTTTGCGTACCTTGCAGCAAATTCAGCTAGTGCGGATACATCATATATGGTTTTGAACAAGGACTGCCGAACCATTGTCATTGCCCTTGGTACTTTATGGCCAGCGGCGTTATGTTCCGATGCGGTACTTTCCCAGCTGGGAACCTCGAGAAAAGTGCTGACTAAGTCCTCCCGGATGAGCTCTTGTTGCATCTCTTCTTGTGACAGAAGTATTGCAATAGCTCTCGTAACGTCGCAATTGCATTCGGGATGAGACATGGCAAGTCTCCGTCCAGATCCTGTCAAAAGCTCTGAAAGGAAATCCTGCGGTCGAAGATCAGGTTTGATCAATCGTGTTCCGCGCGGTATGATGTTCTTGACACTCCCTGTGGGCGGTATGTGGTACTGGCCCGACGCTGCGCACAAGTCTCAGCCTGCTGGGCGTGGTTGAAAGAGCGTAATTGACCTACTAGACCAACTTGCCTTTTCAAGGAGCTCTGCGACCATTTCCTTCCAACTTCCATCTGTGACAGCGTCCGCCAGGCCCAGCAAATCTTTAATGGTACTTGCATGACGACGTCCATCTTCTATCTCACCGGCAAGCAGACTCATCCCATTCAAATCATCACATTCCCGGATAGATCTCAAAGACAGCTGTATGCAGGCTATCGTGGACATATCGCTATCATCTTCATTGGCAGACTCAGCAGCCGCGCCGGCTTCGGGCTCCGATTCGGCACATATGTTCCATAAAGCGGTCGTAACAGTATCTGGCCACAGTTTCAAGTTCGCACACCTGAGCAACAATTCAAGGCCACCACATTCAAGCACGACCTGTTTATTTGCGTCTTGTGCTGATCAGACATATCCGTGGCAAGACGTGGAGTGTGTTCACTTACCGTTGTCAGCACAGCAGTTTGATATGAGACGAAGTGCATGATAGCCAGCGTGTCCGAGATGTCTAACCTTACGTGGATGCAACGTCCTAACAGCAACTTGGAGGATGGACTCGGATTCAAACGCCAACCATTGTTCATGGCTGTAACCATAGGACTCGTGTTTGGGGTTCGGCGGCCAACCAGCATGTTTCGATCGCGATTTACGTTTACCAAGGTCATATCTCCACTCCGCTGCAATACATCAGCCAAAGTCAGTGGTCTGAGAGTCCCACCCACGCTTCCTGCTGGCATCTGCGAGGATATTGAAGGCTTCCGAAAGGTAATCCGATTTCAGTATCCGAGCTTCGTCGAGACAAGTAGCAAGACGATGAAACACGATCGCACAAGATTCGTCATTCAAGCGCGTCCTTGCCAGGTCATCGACGAACTGGGTGCTTTGTATGCCCTGGAGGATTGCCAGGGACTCTTTGAAGCGCTGGGAAGTGCCTTCAATCTCTTCCAGAACTGGAAGCAATTGGTCGAGGATACTTAGCAGGGAAACAGATATTTCTGATGCCATAACCATGAAGATTCACACAGCTAACTGAAAAAACGCAATACTAGAGATGTAGATGGAGAATATGAGCCTGTCAGTTTCAATCAGACGTATTCTGGCGAAGCCATTCACATTGGCCCGACCACCGCATGGGGCAGGATCGATCTGCCCGCAATAGCTGGAGATCTATCAGCATGGTCCATTACCTTTTCGCTATGGAAGTGGCGAAAGAGATAGGAACAAGCGCTGAAGAATTGTGCAAAGGGGAAGAACCGGTTACGCAGATTCAGAGGAACGTACGGAGTAGCACCACTGATCTAGATATGTACGGCCACCGTAGCGGCATCTCGTGCAATCTCCATTGCTCCGGTTATGTAAAACACTCTCATGACACCTAGTCCACACAAAATCACAAACAGCGCTGATTTGGGATAACATCTTGTGCTGCAGTCTCTCGTCCCTAGAATGACGCGAGCTTCGCAGACAATTTCTTTTATACTCCTCGCCTCCTCGGTAAGCCAATTGCGTCCCCTGCGTCGCTGTGAGACTGCTTTGCCCTGCTCTCGCCTTGCAGCTTGTGCTATCACCTCAAGAATCTGGGCTCTGGGACCTGCTGGGCCATGCAATGGATCCCCTCGACGCCAATTTGCGATCATCCAGCGCTGGACTGTCTAAACTAACCGCGTTACCCATCGGCAGATCTACCTTTTCCTCGCTCTTCCACTACTGAGCGATCCTCACTCCCTTCCTTCGAGATTCCTTGAGAGTATCAGCATACCCGTGGTTTCGGCGCTGCGGTCGACCAAAGTACCCTCCATACTTCCCCTCCGAATCCAAAACGAGATCGTTCCATACCTACCTTTTTGGGCGCTGATTACACTCGCTTCGTACTTGCTGGGAAGATTGGGATTGGGTGTGATGCGTTTCAAGGATTGTGAGAGCGCGTACACCGAGCTGACAGCACACATCGAGAAGGCGAAGAAGAATCTTGACTCAAGGAACGTTGGTTGGTCTTGAGATGTCTGGCTCTGGACGAGGCTGTCAAGTGCAGATGTGATTATGGGTCTTCTTAAATTGAAGGTCTAAGCTCTTCATTGCAACGAGATATTCTACTCTCTAACCCTATGAGTTGCTTCGTTCACTCTTCGTCCAGCTTTCCCCCTCCCTCGTTATACTCATTCATCACGTTGTGGCTGTCCTTTGAGACTCCCCATCCGATATGCCAGCAGTGGTGATCGCCCTGATACCGTGTGTCTGGGCGTCCTTGTCGTGCTGATCGATATTTTGGGCCTCCCAGGGGTAGCAGATCCATACATCTTCAGTCTCCATTGCGGAAATATACGTTTTCCCGTTCTCCATGTCCTCAGGTAAACGGCCTTTCTTCGGCTTTACCTTGTTATGCAGCACGAAGATGTAGAAGTTTGTCTTTTCTGTTCGGCCCGTTTGCTTCCGGGCGGTCTCGACGTCTTTCTCCAGCTCCCGGACAGCGTATTCAAGAGTGGTTCTGGTGTCGTCGACCTCGTCGACAATCAAGATGTTTTTACCAATGAGAGAATTCATCTGCAAGGAAGATAGATCAAGCCATTGCGTCCTAGTAACCTTGGTGCCCGGCTCCTCAGCAGCATCCGCGCTATCCGAAGACAGGCTTTCGTAAAGCGACAAGCCTATAGCTTGGATGGGAATGTTTGGAGCTCCATCCCTTTTCAAGAACGACCTGTGATCACACCAACGTAAACTTCTACATGTAGGATAACGGACATAACCATACCTTAGAATCCGAGCAGGTACATAGCCACCACCCCCAATAGCAATCATCAAATTTGGTTTGAATGTATCCAGAATTTCTTTCGATCTCTTTTGACACAATTTGTGAACCTATATGAATCGTCCTAGGTTAATGCTGCAGCGGGACAGATTATAAAATGTGAACATACTTCATTGTAGGTGATGTATGCCTTCTTGACCATTTTGCGGATGTGGTACGTGAGATGGATTGATTGCCGTTTAGTTTAATGGCAGGTCAATCTTGTTCTTCGTAGATCTTCGCTGATCATTTACCTGACCGTGCTATTTAAGATTTTGTTCCCCAGGCCCAAATTCAATAATTTAATTCACTGCCCTACAAGGCCCTCCGGCCTAACTAGTTACTGCACATTCATCATTATCAATGCCAACTACCACCGTATCACCTTGTTGTATCTAGCAATGAACATTTTGGCACGAGGTGGCACCGAGACTATTACACTTCGCTTATCTAACATAGCAGAAGGTGATCACAGGCTCCCTGCACTCGCCCTACGTTGTTCTTGATGATGCCTTCGATTTCAATTGCTTACGTAGTAAGCCCACAGCCAAGAACAGCAGTCCTGCAGAAGCATGCCCCAACCGAGGTTTGAGGCTCCAACAGTAAGAAAACCGAGCCTGGTTACATATCGCCTTCTGTCATCGCTGTGAGGCCTTGGCACTTGGCACTACATTCTGTGTATATATTTCATCTTTTGCAGGATCTATCCTAGACTCCCAAGCATCACATATCTGGCATATTATACCATTCAGCTCCACATCGCTACAGTGATGCTTGGCGTGTTTCTGGGACCGAAGGACCTTTCCTGTCTGTGTCGTGGGCCTCCCTATTCCAATCTAGACACTCTAACTTTGTATATAGACGGTCATTCAGTTGAAAGCTTCCGTCAGTTATATGGTATAGAAGCACGTTCTTTTTGACTAAGCTCAAGCTGCTCCAGACACGATGAGATACCAGCGCTCCACATTTCCGCCACCCAACACATTCTAATGCCCAGTATAAATATTCTCGTTTCGCAGCATGCCAAGAAGGATGGGCCATATATCATCTGCAGAAGGCACAATCATCAGTGGCTCGGCTGGTCGCCGAGACAGCGTCATTGGTGATGAAATGATCCCCCAGCTGCAGTTAGTATTGGTGACGAGGCCTCCAGTGGTACACTTCGCGTTAGAGAATACTACTGCATCGGGACCCGCATCCACGAAGCACGCCGCGGCTGTTTGTTGAAACGCGTGCAGAAAATCTTGCCACGCAAAAATTGGGCATAGACTATGATCTGACGTACGGGGAGCTTGCTTCATTTGTTGTACACGTCTCTATACATAAGATGGTTGATTTTCAAAGGACATCAGGCCCACACCTTCCATTGCCTGATATACCAATCGGGCGAAGAGCTCCTTCACACAGGGCAGACATGTCTTGCCATGGCACGCGAAGGGAAAGTCGAGCCGGCTGGTCATATAACCTCTCAATGGATATCTCAAACGTCCCAAGCCGACCCTGCCACGTCTCAGCGGTAGAAGCATCTGCGTCCAGACCCCATTTTGATGGACAGAAGCATACTGGTGGATCACCAAGTGCTTCAGGAGATGTGGTATTTCGCTCGCGTCATGATCGATGTGTACCCAGACTTTCTGCCGCACTCCTCGATGCAATTCCTTGCCAGCAATGGTAACGCAAGAACCTTTGGGACAAAGTATCATCACGAAAGCAAGGATCCATGCTTGACCCGACAGCCCTTGAAGTGGTGGTTGTGCCATCTCGCAGTGAACTGCTGATGCAACGGAGCAAGTCAACCAGCTGCGTTCTGCGAAGCGTATCTAAAAGATGAGGAGATAGGGCCCCTCTACCTAACTCGAAGAAAAGCAGTCGGATCGCAGCGAATTGTTCGGCTAGCATCGTTGGCATATCCAGAATTGCAATCTTACTAGCAACGATCTTATAGGCCTACGCCAGCTGACCTGGACTTGATCTGCGGCTTTGTGACGGTAATAGCTGACCAGAAAGTGTGTTCAGCATTGTTCCACAGTCATTCTCAGTTCCCAGACTCGTCAAGCAAAGTATTATAAGAGAAATAGCGTGTCCGCCTGCGGTTGGGGAGAGAAACGGACGACCATCCCCTTTCCGCCAACCAACCAAACTACCCACTTTGTCCAGGACCCTTGAAGAGCATCGCTGCAGAACTTGAGGCACGCGATCTACATGAGGACCCAAGACGGGAAACATGGATCCCAGCTGTTCGAGTTGCTGCATGGCCGTCGGCTGTACATCGTCAGCCGAGCAAGCCCCAATTATCGCCTGCACAGGACCTAAGCCAGCTATCGCCGTTGTATCGGCACCAGCTTGCCAGGTTATTCCACCAGAAGACATCTCTGATTGCCAGCAAAGGTAAGACCTGGCGTTTAGGATATCAGGAGAAAGCCATAAATGTAGCAAGCAAAATGGACTAGGAGACACGGCACTGGCCCCATGTGATAGCTGTGGTAGGTACCCACGAACAACATATGTGTGCGGTGTGCCATCACTGTGCACCTGAAAATCTGTGTAATTTGCTGTTTCTGCATATATGGGAATATTATAACAACCTGTGGCTAAAGATATCAGTGGCCTATCTGGGAGCTAGGATACGAGTTGAGCACCAATGAAACTACTAACGTAGTGCTTTGGGCCTACAGTAACATCTCAGCCCATAGTCATATCCGCAGCAGCTGCCTTTTCGCAATGTGTGGCTAGTGTTCAAGCTCAGCATGTTTGGTTGCCCTTCGTCATTTCGAGACGCACTGCCGTGATCACAGGCCGAACGTGCTCACCTGCATTAAAGTATCGAGTGAGTTTGCAGCACCAACGCCTCCAACACCCATATGATTCGAGGGCTATAGCTTGCATCAGGCAGCACGGCCATCGAAGGAATGCACAGTCTTGCCTTTTGGACTTGTCAGGCAAGCGGAAGACCATCTCTCGCATGTCCACCTTGAAATAGGCAGGCTAAAGGCCTGAGCACTACCGGGCATTCCTCATCAGGCAGCTGACTGATTTTGCGGAGAGTTGTACAAGATCTCATCTCCAATGGAGACATGATGCAATCACTTGTTCAGCATGGTGCAACCTACAGCTGGTTGCCGACGAGGCTCTACTCGCAAATAACAACCCGTAGATGCTAACATCCTCTACTGTCTGACAAGAGCCAGCACGACCGCTAAAACATAGGATGACGATCCTCCACCTCATGACCACCCCCTTGCATACCAGTAACGCTATACTACCAAAACCCAAGCACAGCCATCACCATTAGTCCTATCATCACCCTATCGCTGCAGACCTGACCCAACACCGCCCTTCCAAAAAAGCGCCGCCCTCGATGACGGGATCTGGTTACCGCCCGGGACAGAAGTCGGCATCGCATTCTGGCTCATCTACCACAGCAAATTCATCTAGGGCGCCAACTTCAGTATCATTTGGCTGGAGCTGTGAGACGGGGATGGCGAGGAGCAGGTGTGGGAGGTGAATGCATTTTAAATTTGCTGTTTGGGTACGGGAGGTTTAAGGGTCTGTGCCATAATATAGTGTTGATGGAGTTGCTGAAGGCGATTGTCGACTTTGTCAGGAGGCGGGGTGTTGTCTTGGGCATCTGTTTAGGCTGTGTAGGAGGCACAGGGAGCCGAAATCACGAAGGCTTTTCTTTGAAATTGCAATCGTAGGAGACTCCGCTGCGTAGAATGTCCCCCTCCGGGAGAAATAGAAATAGAGAATCACGAACAACCCCTACGAGGGCAACACGACTCTGGCGGTGGAAGGTGAATTTTATTTCTCGAAATCGTGCTTCATCTAGAAAAGGTGCGATCATGTGGCCATAGATGTATCGAAATGAATGATCTGCAAGGACTAAAAGATTAATACTTCGAATTATTGCTTTGATAGATATTAATGATACCTGTTACGAGTCGACGGTTGACTTTACGAGCCAATCCCTAGTCTTATCGGTGTTGTAGATAATGGCTTTACAGTAGTAGTAGAAGAGAAGCTCATAATCGTAACCTGTGCGCTTCTAATCTTCTTCCTGCCCTTGCCTCCTTTCCATATGTACCGCCCACAACTATGCATGAATTGCATTCTGTATGTGCGGGTAGACTCGGACCAAGTTTGCATAAAGATCAGGGTGCTCTTTGACCAGGACCTCCGGGTCCCAACTCATAGCAACGAAGAGTGTGTCAATCCCACTAGCGATCGGCGTTAGGAAGATCTGGCAGACTTGTAGGCCGATCAGGAATGCGAATGCCATGATGACAGGAGTGAACGTCCTTCCGTCGTTATATGCGGGGTTGGTGAACTCCAGGTACAGGTACGAAAGCAATGTGCAGAGATAAGCTACGAACAGACTTCCCATGGTCAAGACAGGTCCAGTCAGGCAGTCATTAATCAACAAATCAATCCCTCGATCTTTCATCATCTTCCACGTATCCTTAGCAGCAGGGATGTATGGCTTGCCGTAAAGAGCAATGTGGCTGAAAGCGTATCGATTGAAAAGTGTGACTGCCCAATCGAGGAGGCCAATAATGCAGCTGAGACAGCAGAACATGATGCTGCCAATGATGTTGCCGTCTTGAGCACTCTGGTGTTGCGCAATGCTGCAAGCCTGGCGGAGCATGTTGATGATTGCGACGATCAGCGATCCAAAAGCAATACTGCCAAATGAATATGTGGTCGCACGCTTGAATGCACCTCGAGTAGAGCCGCTGGGCATACCTCCGGGCTTTCCTGCGCAGAAATACCAACTTCCGTAGACACCGGCGACGGTAGTATGAATCGTGTTCTTGATCCACTCGGTGACCCAGTAGCCAGCAAAAGTGACGAAGACCACGAGCCCAATGACTTTGGCGGTCGAGCAGGAACCAGAGCGGCTGCAGGCGGGATTCGCGGTTGACCCAGCATTGCCAGGTTCGTATGCCACATAAATAGCCACCAAAGTCACAGAGAACCAGGCCGCAAAAGCGATGGAGACAACGCCACCAAGTAGGCTGGTCATGAAGACTCCGCGATGGCGTTTCGCAACGTCCATACAAGTCTGAAGCATGACAACACTGAAGGGAATCCGGGGTATCCAGCTGATAAAGAACAAGATAGCGAAAACGGAGAAGATCAGAAAGACGATACCGGCTCCCCATTGTTTGCGATAGAGGTAATAGATCGCAGTCCCCAGTGCCAGAACGCAGTTGAGGAAGCCAGTGATCCAGATAAACTGTTTCGTAAAAGCACGTGCTGCCATGAAATACGCCAGTGATACGAAGAACGCCAATATTAGCACGAACACGAAGAGGATTAGGGTATTGGTGTTGAGAGAGAAGTCATTTGCGCCGCTGTAAATACCGCCGCCAGAAAAGGAATGATGGGTCGAATACGAGTGTAAGGTGAGGCCTGAGACCGCAACAAAGCCCAGGAAGATGAGGATGAGCTGGACAGGATGAGTGTTAGCATCTAGACGAATCAATTGACGTTTCGGAGCTTACCAGAATACCAGCCCACAAATCGTTCAGCTTGGGCTTTTGGACCTTGAAGGTCTGCTCAAAGCTCTGTTTATTGTCCTGCGACATGTGAAAGTCCTGACCATATGTTGGCGGCGCATAGCCCGACTTCATCCCTTGGGCTTGTTGTGGTTGATAGCCAGACTGAGGCAGGTTGTTGTAGTAGCCAGCTGCCTCTCCCTGAAGTTGCGCCATAGTGAAGGCGCTTCTTCTGGCTTACTAGAAGTCAAGGTGATGTTGTTGAATCAGAAAGGAGGGAGCAAGAAAAGCACGCGGTGATGTGGAGCTAGTGATGCGCGACAGCATTCAAGATTTGCTGGACATGGGTAGCACAAGTTGAACATAGAGGGATACTTGAAGTAAAGTCGACCACCAGTATCCCACTGGCCCATTGGGACTTGGGTCGAGCATTGGCTGCATAGTGACGTGCATAGAGAATACTCACTTACGTAGTATGTAGCCACAAATTGCAGGTCGTTCTTGGTGAGAGATCAATCACTCGAGGAGTAAAGTTGTATTGATCTGATCCAGTCTTGGCCTATGTAATTTAATGCTTGTCTAAAGCTTGTTATTCCAGTCAATCTCGATCGAGACATGACTTACTGATCATCACAATCATATATATAATGACAGTTATGGTTTGAATAAGTAGCACACCTGTTCAGGGATATGTCTCTCGAGGGTATGTCTTGATTGTGCCTATATGACCGTCTCACACACGCCCTTCTCTACCAGTTCTGTCATGCTGATGCAATCACTTTCAGTTTTCTCACCATTCTAAGTGTTCAAGGCTGCTTCAAATATTCTGCGTCACGAACTTCCCCGACCCTATCTGAAAGAAAGACTTTCGTGTCCAAGTGTGCCTAGGGCTCTAAGCTATAGGCAACTCACAAGGACGACGCGGGGAATCATGCGAAACTGTGCATGATATGGCTTGCTAATTCTCCAACACCTTTCGCAGCCAACAGATGACACATGGAATCTTCGGTTCTGTGTCTCATTTAGTCGATTGATAAGAGTCATCCGGTGGATGCTCTGATCGACTGATCTGCGTCATACAGCTGCACAGCGTTCTTCCTTCTACACCGAGAGTAGACCTTTCCGTGCATCACGAACATGTGAAGTTAGAAGTGCACCCAAATCAGGGTACGCTGCTACGGACAGCCATCAATTGTCGTCCGGCATGCCCCTTGAGGAAATTTGGAAGCTAGTGCCTGAGCAATCATTATTCACCTCCCTCGCATTTCGATATGCTCTTTCGAGCATACAGGATGAAGTTTCGACTGTGAGAATCACGTCGAGGCCGACTGGCGACAATATCGAAAGCAGATCCATAGCATGGCCTACGACTCTCGCCATTGAACGCCAAACATCTTTGCAACGGCTTTTTTGGGGCTCTTCTCGTCTGCGTTTTCCAGGTATACGGTCGGGTGCCCCTTCACATTCAAGCTCAAATACTTGTATTGCAAGTCCTCGTCTCCCTTTCCCTTCGTCATATGCAGACTCACTACACCAGCGTCTTTTGGGCCTTCTACATGAAAATGCATTTTGAAATGAGTGACTCCTAGTTTGTCGACCTCCACAGAATGAGCCAATGGCCGCGCTCTGGCCCACTTGTTCGACGTTGGTTCTCCGTAAGCTCTAATCTCTTTTGCTGGTCCAAGGAGTTCCGTACAGCGCGAGTCTGCTTTGACTCGATCCACAGCGTGATTGAATTGGCGGGTCTTGCTATCAGCAGCAAAAAGTTCTTGATAGAGGAAATAGATGACCGTCAACTGCAGCAGCCTTGTCAGCAAGAACACTGGAAATGAAAAAACATATAATTCCGTACTGTTCCCACGGCTCCTGCTACCACCAACGCCAGATTGAATGATTGTTGCGTAGACCGGGCTGCTTTTTCTCTAGTACTCAGATCAGACCATTTGTATCTTCCGTCATCAGTTGTGACCGTCACCGCCCTTCGAGGTGTGTTCGTCGAAGAGGATGTGCTTGCCCCAGGACTGCTTTGCGTAGCATAGCCTCGATGTGCAGTCTTTGTGGAAGATTGTGCCGTCGGTGTGATTTGGACTAGAGTTTTGAGTCGAGCACGGCAGGCTAGTTGAAATGCTCGTGCTACCGCAGCCATGTTTGAGCTTGACTAACCAGCAGAAGATCGTGGAGAGCGATCAAAAGCCGCCAGCTTCAGTGCGGGGAGACAATAGGGCCATCCTTGGCGGGTAAGATGAAAGACGCCGATCAGATTGCACGGTCTGTCGTGGGTATGGTAGGTAGTGTCTTATCCTGGACACCAAGCTCGATACATGGGGGTATTAGAGCTATATCATTACCCAATGCTCTGCCGTGCCGTGTGACACTGACAGGGCATTGTTCCCAGCTTTTCCGTCACCACCGCGTAGTAGCTGACAACGTCTTATGCTCTGCATAAGCAGGTGGACACCTAGCCTCACACATTAAGTTCCATTTCGTTCCTTATTTCATACATCTCGTTTCCCCCTCCGTGATTATTCACCCATCAGAGCAGACTCGCCCATTGTGTCTTTGATATTGCCTCGAGATTGCTGTTGGCGCCATCATGGGTATTATGTCCCTTTCTCCAGAAATATTCTGCAGTAGTGGGACATAGTCCCCTTGCCCATAAATGAATCGATATACTGATGAATCTACGGAGCTAGATAGTTTGATCAACTCAGTGAGAAATGCGATACCCCGGGAGGCAGACGAGAATGCCTATTATTTGGTCATCGTTAGTCTTCTACTCCGCTGCCCTGAATATCAGTCCTCAATAGATGTGCTTTCTATTTCCGATGTCTGATATTCATTCCCCTGTACCATCCTAACCCTGCATCAGGCAGCTGTCATAGTCGCATCGAACAATCCAGCAGAAATCGGGTCATTCTATCGCCATCTCGCAGACCACGTTTTCGATGGCGACGCTGAAAAAGCTGCCAAAGCCTCCTCGGAGATACGAGACGTCCTCATGAAGTCCTGGACCTTGATTGGTATCCCGCCTGTTATCACAGCTATTCCCGCACTTATCAAGGAGGATGACAAATCATTCATTGGAGAAAGCGTGCTGAGTGAGAAATGGTATGTTCTCTCCTACTCACCCAGACTTTCAGCGCACAGCGAGGTCCTCCGCGTGGGATGCGTTATTGAGACTACGATTAGGGTAAACCCTGCGAGCATTGAGCATGGCGGACCAATATCAGAGCGAGGCATGGCAATGATGCTCAGACTCTATGGTACAACGCTTCTTCCTAAGATCTTCGACACCTGGGGCAGTTTTCGATCGGATGTCGTATTCCTCGAGGCCTCCATCATCTATGGGCTCCACCTGGCCGACCATTCTGTACTCACAGAAATACAGTCAGAATGTATCATAGTGGCCTTGATGCTCTGTACTGGATTTGGCGCGCCATCACTCTGGCATTTGCGAGGGCTGTGCCGACTCCTGGGTGCAAGAGGGAACACTGTAGCAGAGAACAAGGAAGTAGTCGATAGGGTACAACGTTTCGAGGATGCTATTAAGGCGTGTGTCAGCTACTACAAAATGGAAGACAAAGCTAAGCTTGCTAAGTGGCCAGCTGTAGCGGATGTGGAAAAGGAGCTTGGTGGATTCGGTAATGACGAATTCTAGCCAGCTCGATCAGACAGAATTTCATGAGTAGCTTGAGGACTCAGAGCAATTCTGCCGACGCCAAAATACCCTATTCCGCACAAGACTGCTGCGAATCCTGGTGCTCACTCAAAACCTCTGAGCCACCTTTCGACACTTCCTCCTCCCCTTTTCACCCAGCAACCGCAACCGTTCCTGCATCTTCTCCCAGCTCGTCGCAGCTTCCTCGTTCCCACTCCCGTTTCTCTTCTCCATCCACTTCTTCTTGTTTTGCAGCTGAGAGGAAGGTACAAGCTTCTTCCTCTCCAAAACAACTTGCACTGTATGCTGCACTTCTCGCAACACTTCCAATATCCTCATCTGTCTCCGTTCCATTATCCACGTCCTCTGAGAAGCATGTCATCTTTCTCTTCTCCTTTCGCCTACAATTACTGGTTGACTTTGGCGAAGTGCTGCGGGAGGCCTCCTTGACATCTCTCTCTAGTCTCATCTTGTCAATGCCAGCGAGTATAGTGAGGAGGTGGAACTCTGACGCATCGAGGGTGCTGGCACTATTCTCACTGATGCTGCTGTTGCTGTTGCTGCTCTTGTTACTCTCGCTAAAAACGTTTCTGATATTCTTGGCGCTATTTTTCTATAATCTGCTCATCTTTATGCTGCTTCTGCTGCTGCCGGATGAGGAGGACGTCGAAGAAAAACCACAAAGGCAGGAGGCCAATTGCAGCAGCCAGTGCGGCGGATGGAGCTCTAGCAAACCTAGGGTTGTGTTGATTGTGTGGCGTTGTGGAGGACGCTACACTATGATGATGCCGACTTGATGTGATATTGAGGGTGGTGTGTTGTAAGTTTCAGGAGGATTTTACAGTGAGAAGATATCACAGTGCCAAAGATGTCTGAAAGTGAAAGGTGTTTGAAAATGGAGAAGCGGTCACAATCCGCTCCTAAACCCAGATACTTATATTCTTTGAACTCTCTGTCCTTGTAAGGACCTTTACCAGCCTAAGCACCACTCACCCCTAGCGTAGTACTCCAAACTAGCAATACAGTCACAATGTGCTAAGGTTCGCTCCCTAAATCTCCACCACAACCAATCAGAACTTAATGCTTGATCCGAACGTATCGTACATAATCTCCCACTTAGTAACCGGACCCAAGTTACGCTGGTTAAGAAAATATGCCTTGCCCAAAAGGGGCAGAGTAGTCACAAATCTGTACACTCGGTTTTCTCCACAAAACGATGGGGGACCCAACTTACCTGAATTTAGGAAAGGGTGGGTATCGGCAGCAAACAGATAGTCGATTAGCTCTACAGATATGTGCTCTTACTGCGGTTACAACGGTACGAGGAAAAGACCTTACAGTGGATCTGGTCGGTTCAGGTGTGATTTCCTTACGGAAAGGAGCGTGAAAGCAGGGGCCAGGAAAGAAGCCGTTACCGATCTTGAGCACATCTTTAACAATCCAGTGATGGTTGGTACAAGATTCCTGGAGAGGAACCGAGACTCGCGGGTAGCAGGATGATGGTTCGAAGGAGCGAAGCTTGGGGCTGGGCCTGCATTGGTGCCTGAAGACATACACGGAAGAAGATGTGATGAGCCATAACGATGCCGCGCATATTAATACAGGACATGGCTTGCGCTCTTGCATGGCATGTCTATGTCGACAAGCCACGCTTCTCCGATTCCGAAAAGAAGATAACCATCCTCCACAACTTCTTGACCAGCACTTCGGCTTCTTCATCCAACGCCTATAGAAATGAAAATGTCAGCAAGAATTCGGAATGTATGGAATTACAAGACTCACCCCTTCCAGCTGCTCCACCAGCTGCTGCGGCCCACCTCTCCCTCGCAGGTGTGACTCCACAACATCCACCAACATCTGTTCCTGAACCCCCAAATACTCCATGATCTTCTTCTCCACAAACGGTCTAAGCTGTTCAGTGATAACAGCGTCATCCACAAAGTCCCATTTGACTTCCCAATCCCATAAACCATCTTTATCTGTTGGAATATCTTGAGCAAGCTGTCTGGCAGCCTGGGCTCGTTCTTCCTCACTAAGGCCTGCCGTTTCTGCTGCGCTGTCGAATTGGATAGGAATAAGTGTCCTTTTGTCTCTGCTATCATCCTCTTCTTCATCTTCGAGAAGACCTTCAACTTCGAAGGCTGTCCGACGAGGTTGGGTTGCTGTCTGTGCTTTCTGTGCAGCTGCACCAAGGCTAAGCTTGAATCTCTGCGGCTCACGAGCGGGCATTTTACTCTCCATCTCGTCGGCTTGACGGTTGAGGAAGTCGTCAGCCATGGCACCAGCCCGTTCCCGTTGTTGATAGTCACGTGCGAGATCCCTGTTCTCAGCTTCTCGGTCGGCGTCATCCAGAGCAGCTTCTCTGCTCCGAAAGGCGGCTCGGTTTCTGATCCACGTACCCCGATCAAGGTAGTATTCTTCTACTTTGCGAGTCGCTTCCATATCATCGTTCCACTCTTTCAGTCGGGTAGCCATGGCCTCTTTTTCCTTGTCGGTCTTACCATCTTCTTCCCTGTCACGATTTTTTTCTCGCTCTACAGCTGCTGTTCTTGATCGTTCTCTATTCAGCCACCTTCGTTCTTGGTCGAGATATTGCTTTTCGAGCTCGGCATCTTTCTTAGCTTTCCTCCTCCGCTCGAGTTCTTCATCGCTAGCTTCGCTATCTTCATCTTCGTGATTGATCCATCCGGTTGCCGCACCGTTAATACCAGTACCGTTGACAAAAGCGACTCCTTTCTGGTAGTCACGAGGTATCTGTTGGCCAAAGGCTTTCGGACCTGAGGGTGCGTTCAGAGGACGCTCCCTTGGACCGACAGGAATGCCATTAGCACCGCCAGCAGGACCACTTGGTGCAGCCACAGGAGGGGACGCCAGCCTGCTCGGTCGAGGCCCATTGAGACTCCGTGTTCTTTCCAATGCTTCGAGCTCTTCTTCTCTCTTCAAACGCTCCAGATCCCTCCGTACACTTCTATCTCGAAAGGCTGTGATTTCCTTTGCCACTGTCTCGCGCATTTCGGCAGGTATATCTGAGAGCTCATCATCGACGGTGATAGGAATCGTAACAATTTCGGCATTCGATCCATCCGGTAGTACATTTTCCATGTTGAAGTCTCCATCTCGGTCAATGCCTGACATTTCATCCTTTTGGGTGGGCACTGATGGGTGTTGAAGATCAGACAAAACGGCTTGAAGAGCGTTTCGGGCATGATCCAACCGCATTTGAGTCTGAGCAGTATCTGGCCCTCCTCTAGAGTCTTCCCATTGTTGTAGATAGTTCAATGAGTTGTCGTCAACAACGACCTGAAGCACGGTTAGCCAAGGTCGGTCGCTCAATGAGCCAGACTGACTAGTAGTTTTGACTTCTCAATGTCCTCTTCATCCTCCGACTTCACTTCCTTTGGTAAATGTCTTCTCATGGGTACCTCAACGTCTCTTAGTACTTCAACGGCTGTACTGAGACTTTCGGGGTCTTCGTACTCTGCAAATCCAAACTTGCATGCTTTGTTGTCTGCATCCGTCGCGCGTGTCCATCTATGTAGGTTTCCAGCTGCCCTTAATATCCGCTCAATGCCTTCGTCACCTCCTGCTCCCTCTGTAATACCACCCACAAAGACCGTGCGTATGATTTCTTCTTTTGAAGGCGGTACAAGCTGTACCATAGGTTCTCGGCCCATCGGTCGCGAGTCTTGATTTGGACCAGAACCTAACCCTGCTCTCCGACCTCCTCTATCTCGGTCATCACGTCCACCCAAGATGTCAGAAGGTTTCGATGGTCCGGAAGTACCTAGTCGAATGACCGGGGCAGAGAAGTTGATGTTAGGCATATTGGCAGGCATTTGGAAATTTGGAGGGAACCCGCCGAGGGCGCCAGGTTGTTGCGAATTCGCCTGTTGCATACCTGGAGGCGCAGATGTTCCAGGAGCAGCCATCCCCGGAGGAAGTGCTAGAGAAGGTCAGCCACGATCGTATCATTCGATCGGGATTTCTCTACCAACGCCAGGTGGTGCGCCTTGGAAACTGCCATAATCTGGAGGCCGGCCATACGGTGAAGGTTCTTATCTTTCGTCAGTACTGCCATCATGCCTGCATTAAAATACTCACGTTGGTAAGAGTTATACATAATGTCCTACCAGTCTAAGCGACGCTGTGGTAGTGGTTGCGACCTTTTTTGAAGAGCAAACAAGGACAATAGCCACCAGCAATGCTAAAAGCTCGGATAGACGACTGATAACTTGCTGTAGTGAATGGGAGATAGCATAGAACCTGCCAGGTCTTGCACCAACAGGTAAGACAGTTACGTCAAGATGATCCAGACTGTTTCTCACAGAGCCCACAGCTGCTGGTCGTGTCAGCGAAATCTAGAAGGAAAAGCTTGGGACATCATAATCCCAGCCTACTAGGATATTAGTAATACCGGCTACCTACTATTATTAAACTGTGAAGTTAAGTAACTTAGGCACGCCAGATACACACAAGAATTACTAGTTCCGCCAATTCAGTGACATAAGAGATAACACTTTCTAGTTGATTAATTAAACTTGATGATAAATTTAATTTTAAGAATATTATTGATCCAAATCCAAAAGAGCTGCATGTCCAGTTCTCTCCGCCTGTAACATGTCACTTATGGCCCCATTCTTCAAATAACACCTCGTCGGATGATGATTTCCCGTCGTAAGCGTTCCATTATAACCCCAAAAAACTCCATCACAAATATCCCGCTTCGACACATTCCCACCTCCGGTACTCCCGTCAAAGCCTGCAAAGCCAGGAAGCTGATAGTTATACTGGGCGCAAGCTGTAACACAGTTTTCAATGGTACTAATGTTGTAGAGTTCTTGAAACATGTGGGGCTGGCTCCCGGCGCGGTCAGAATTGTAGAGGTCGGATAGACAATGAAGGGCGAACACGCTGGGTGTGGAATTTAGGATGTAGACGTCATTGGTGGCAGGGTTGAACGGTGTGAATTTTTGGGTGGATGGACAGGCGGTTTGAGTGGGACCAGATGTCAGGTCGAGAGGTAAGGTGTTGGTTGGGGTCAAGATGACGGTTGGGGTAGAAATTGGTTTGTTTTTGCTAAGCAGTTAAGAAGAGTTCGTTAGTTTAGGTTAAAAAGACTGCAATGATCAAACAAATTGTATGAACGAAAGAGACATTGAAATGGTACGTACCAACTTTCTTTTCTTGCAATCCCACCTCCTAGCCCTCCTCCAAACGCGCCGCCAAAGATGAAAGCGACCAGAACAATCAACAAAGTTGGGAACGGGATTCCACAGTGGCGCTTTCGCTGGGTACGTTTTTTTTGATCTGTCTCTGTTACATTGTCACTGTTGTTCGCAACAAAGACAGATGCATATCGGTGTTCAGTATTATTGGCCATCCTAGAAAAGAAGTTCCTATTATCAGGCTGCACGGCCTCAGGGCCGGTATCATACTCGCTGAAGCGAGGCACGAGTCCGGGTTGCTCTTGATTTAGTCGATTAGATGACATGTCAAGCTCGGAGTGTAGGTCGTAACAGAAGGCAAGATCTGAGAAATAATGTAATACCAAGAAAGAACGATAAGAGACTACTATTGAGATAGAAGAAAAGGGATAGAGAACTCCGTACATTATCAGCTGAAACATCCAATCTAACAACCAGGACCACTTGGCGGTTACCGCTGCTTGACGAGGCGGAGCTGGGGGCCGGCGCTTGAGGCCAAAATTCTTGATAGTTCTCATTGAGCACGGAGGTATGCCATCAAAGCAATCGACGCCAAGGCCCCGTCAGCGCTTTCGGCACAATCGACATTCCGCCCGCTGGAAATCCTCCCTGATCACCACGTCTATATCCTTTACAACATGTGATTCCAACATGAGCCTTTGTTCATCGGACCATCGTGGTGCTCTGGGCATCGACATTGCATCCGATGGGGACGCCTCCCACAGCGTCTGCACCTGGCTGCACTGGTAGAAAAGCCGGTGTATTTTGTAATGGTCCAGGAACCAACGCAGTCCTCGGACATTTGATGGAATGTGTTGTAGCTCGTCCTTAGAGCATCGCATAGCCGCTCGGACGAAGCACATTGTGAACTCGGCGTATCTGATCGCCTTGTCAACGTCGTTGCTCGGTGGAGGTCTATAGAACTGGATCGTATCCTGGGGTTGTGCCAGACCCTGGAATATTCCCAGATGAAAGGCATCTTAGGCACGTCTCTCTGCATCATATCAGCCAATGTAGGTATAGTGGTAGAGGTCTCGATAAGATCAGTGGAATTGCGTCGAAATCTTCCGCTTGGTGCAAAGTCAAAGCTCTGGGCCCAATTGCTTGCATAGTTCCACCTTTCGGGTCCCAAGTCTGGCATGATGGACTCCATGGCTATCTCAAAGTGTATACCTGCTTGAGCGACACGTTTCACCTCTCCTAAGGTGAAGTTCGGGTGTATGGAAATCTGAATAACAGTACCGAAAGAACAATCGACTTCTAGGGAATCATACTGGTCAATGAAATTCCAAACCTCCCTAACAGATTCTTGCCATAGTGATCCAGGGATCCTAGTCAGTGCTCCAGTGGAAATGTTGAAAATTGGCGAATAGAGGCGCACATACCCTAAAACGTCGGTAACTCACAACTGCTATTGCAATCCTCTGATATTCTTCAGATTGAAACAACGTACAAGCCACTGAGTCTGGACTATTCCCTTGGTTCCATGGATATACTTTCCACCTAAATGTATCCTCCCGTAACGAATGGTCTTGCTCACTGGCATACATCTGATACATTGGAGGGGATGCTTTATGGTTGAAATCCTGTGCAAGATTGGTACAAAGGCTCCCGCTGATCTTGTGCCTATTTCTTCATTGTCTTGGTCAACAATCGTGACTCTAAATTCAACACAAATCTTCATTATTGGACCGTGAGATCTAACACTTTTTGGAGACCCTGCTGTAGCGCGGCTTGCTGCAGATGTTGATGTTCGTGATTTGGTGGCTTGTGTCACAGATTCCAGTAAGCCCCATGGCTCCGTCGCAATCAGAGCAGCCTTTGTGCTTTTGCTGGCCTCTGTCTCCACCCAGGGATCGATATATGATTTAGCCAATGAGAGTGCAGACTGTTCTTTCGATTCGATGATCGCTCTCGACGACATTCCCTTACTAGCCTTGTTGCGTGCCTTCTGGTTTGGTTGAGCCTGCAGTCGATCCCGAGCCGCAAGAAGGCGTTGTTGGTGATCTAGACATGGGTCTACGGGTCGTTGCCAGTAGTCTACCTTTATTGTAAGGAGGCAGGTCGAGTGTTGGAAGACCATCCTGATCGCGTCCGTCTACTGTCTGAGTTTGCGCTCTGTTCAATGCTGTTGATCTATCCATTGGTTTCTTCTCGATGGAAATTTTGTTTCATCTCGACTTTCGAAGATCCGGGTTGCTGCTGGCTAGTACGAAATGGCTTTCTGGGCAGTCTGCGGTCGTCCAGAAGGGGTCGGAGCGTCTTCATGGGGAGCATCTTCACGCTAAATCTTAGGGCGAAATGGCGGCAGGTGGGTCAACCTGGCAAAGCTATCTGAGGGACCTTGTGAGCAGGCCTTTGTGTCCGAAGTTATTGAATGGGTCAGCGCTGGATGAAGTGATGTGCCCGAGGTGACAAAAGGGCCTTCTGAATGAGACCCTGTGTTCAATGTCACTAGTTAGAGGCCTCTGTGTCTCTGGATATTTCAAGCTCTTTCGTTACTGTCGCCATTGACAAGGCAAGTTAAACGGGCAACTAAAGTGAGCATATGAAAAACATGTTGAAGAGAAGGGAGAATATGTATCTTTCAATATCATCTAAAGTCGAAGAAGGGAAAGACGTAGAATGTATGGAAATCCTGACGCCGACACCATCACCGTAAACCTGGTAGCTTAGTATAGGGGTCAAGTCTGCTAGACAGAGAGCCCGTGGTTTCAGATCTGAGTCAGATATCGTGCGGCAACAGAAACTCAGATCTAACAGCTTTGCCAGACAAGATACCAGCGCGTTTGTGAAACCAGTACACGATTTTTTGCAGGCTGAGTATGTGCTGCTATTTCATTGATGTTTGTGTTTCGAGCACGAAAGCGGGTCTGTATCTCCAACTGCGGTGTCTTGATTGTTCAGCAAGCATTCTTCTCACTGTTCCAGGAATCTAGGTAGCGTATCAGCTCTTGATGTATTGGATCATCTGTGAAAGATGGTCTGATGTGGTCTCTGGAATGTTGATAGTGGAAGTCTCCACTGGTTCAAGTGGGTTTGAAAGCTGTGAGCACCAATACCGAGGCTAAACAAGGTAGTACTCGTGGCTGCCCCGTCTAGCAAGGATTTACTAACTAGTATGGAAGGGCGCCAGTCAAGTATCAGGGGGTGTCATTTGCTAAGACTGTTGAGGTGTTCTCACGCCCTTTTGTCTAGGAGTTCCTCGCCACTTCGTACGATAAGATATATGCAATGCGGGCTGGACAATGAACATCGATATCCGATCGCCACGATAGCTCAGGCGCGCAGATGCGTTGCTTCTTAAGCACCCATGTCCAGCTGCAAGACAATCCTCAAATTATCGTGCAGTGGAGACGTTCGAGGAACTCCTCCTCTTCAAACCGAGGCGAACCGCAATCGATACTGATTTATCCTGGCTGCTACTGATCAGGATGCGGAGATTAACCATGTGGCTTTAGCTTTGGTCTTCTTATCTCTTTCCCGGACCTGCATTGATGACGTGTGGACTATGAGAGATAGCAATGTACCAGATATTTGCGACATTTATTGTACCCTTTCTTCCCTCCAGTGCTCTTGACCCGGGCATGCTTCCTACGTTTCGAACATCGGTCTTTCTTTGTTCAGTCACTTTGTTGCATTAGTCCTCATTCAGTCGATCATGTGTGGCATCAGCTGTATCGTGACATTAGACAGGCGGACGGCAGAACAGCAGAGCACCTGCAATCGAACCTCATTGTCAAAAGAGCTAGATGACAGTCTTGCACTTATGCAGCATCGAGGACCAGACTCCTCTGGCCAATGGATCAGTCCAGATGAACGAGTTGGTCTTTCTCCCACCAATAGTCCATGTCAAGGAAAACCCTACTGAAGCTCGTCGATAGCGCTGGGCCATGTCCGCTTAGAAATCAACGACCTCTCACCCGCTGGGGCACAGCCATTCTCAGACGTGGACGATACTATTCATGCCGTTGTTAATGGTACCATCAGGCGTCCGTAAACGTCGACCATTGTGCTCATCAACCAACAGGAGAGATTTATGATTACGACAGACTTCGTAAGGAAATGGTCGAGAAGCAGAATTACACATTCAAAAGTCGCTCAGACTGTGAAGTTGTCCTTGCTCTGTGTGTGCATACAACCTGATTTTCCGCTTGTGAAGCTGATTCTTGGTCCACGATTGAAGCTACAAATATTATGGAGCTCCCTCGTTCTTGTTTCATCTTCGCGGAGAGTTTTCATTGTGCTTGTACGATTCGGAAAGACAAATTTTCATGGCGGTTAGGGACAGGTATGGGCGACATCTGCAAGAATCACCTGACTCTACACAGCTGCAGCTGATTGAATTCAGATATGGCATCAAACCACTTTTCTGGACAGTGGCAGAAGGAAGGCTTCTAGTGGCAGCAGAGATGAAAGCGTTTAAATCAATCGCTGGTGTGAAGTTCGAGTGGGACGTGCGAAGTATTGCAGACGGGTCTACCAACTTTGGCTACGCGACAACATTCAAGAACATTGAGAAGGCAAATTCATTCAACCTAGAATCTTTCGACCTTCGTCTGACGTGTTCTAAGGTGCGCCCTGGCCACTACTTGGTGTGCAAGTCGTTCGGCCCTATCTCGCAGCACGAGTACTGGAACTCGGACTATCCAGATAAGGTATCATCCCTGACTCTTTCCGACATCTACCGCTAATCCTCACCCCAGACCGTTGAAGACAATCGATCAGAAGACGAAATGATCGAAGACGTCCGAAAGCATCTTATGGAAGCAATACGGCTTCGTCTTCGAGCTGATGTCAAAGTTGGGATTTCATTGAGCGGTGGTCTTGACAGTTCAATCGTGGCTGGCATGACCAATCAGCTTATCAAGGAGGGCGAAAAGGTAGGTGGCGATGCTGTGACCGACAGGCTGAGCTGTTTCGGTGTTGCCTTTGATGAAGACAGCGGATTTGATGAGTCTGGTAATTTGCTCGAGATATTTCCCAATTAGTGAGAATGCTGATTATGGTAAGCCATCGCGGATCGCACTGCTCAACACCTCGGCGTTCGCTTTTACAAGAAAAACATGAATGAGCAATCGTTAGCAGACCAGCTCGAAGATGCAACTTGGCATTGCGAGCAGCCTTATGCTGATCTCAATTTCATTGGCATTTACGCACTCTCGGAACTCGTTCGAGAACAAGGTTTTCGGGTCTTGCTGAATGGTATGCTTCCACTGAAATCGGATAACAGCTACTGATGTCTTGCTCAGGGCAAGGCAGTGACGAGATATTTGGAGGCTACTCATTTTTCCTACCAGACTTTCTGCGAGAGCCAGACTCGACTTTCATCGGCCCAAGAATACCGGAACCAGAGCGGCGCGAAGCCCTCGACGCCGCAGAAAAGGCAGCTCCCCTCTACACCCTAACTCAACCGGACAAACTCCTCAGCTCACCCATAGCTCGTCAACAACTCAACAACACAACTGCGGCAAGCATGATGGCCACCTCCTCTCCCAGCCTCCCCTTCTCCCCCTGGATCCCCGAAACTTATGGTAACTGCGACCAGCAACTGACGTTCTGCGTCACCATCAATGGGAGCATCATCTCCAAAATCCAACACAAATGGCACCCACTCCACACAGCCGAATACCTCTTCACGACCGCCACGCTCCCGAATATCCTGCTCAGCCATCTAGGCGACCGAGGCGAGATGGCGCATTCCATCGAAGGACGGACCCCCTTCCTCGACCACAAACTGACCGAGTACGTCAACAGCTTACCCCCCAGCATGAAGATCCGACCTGATCCGCATCATCCGGGGACATTCCTCGAGAAGTGGGTCCTAAAAGAGGCGGCCAAACCGCTCATCACGGAGGAGATCTACACCCGCAAGAAACATCCCTACTCGGCGCCGGTGCTGTATCCGGTCGGTGGACCAATCCATGGACTGATGAAGCGGCTGATCACGGAGGAGAGCGTGGAGGGGCTGGGGTTCTTGGTCTCGGAGGGGATCGCGGAGAGGGTGGAGCGGTGTTTCAGGGAGCAGGATCGGGTGGGAATGCGGGAGTTGTTCATGGTTGCGCAGTTTGTGGTTTTGGGGAGAGCGTTTGGGGTTCCGAAGGCGGTGCCGAGATCGGGTTAGGGGAGGCGAGGGGAGGGCTTCTGAATCGATGGAAAGCTAGAAGAGGTGTGGTGTGGTTTCACAGAAGGAAATGCAACTCACTTCTCCTGGGGAATAGAGTAAGGGTTTTCCGATTCTGGAAATGTGTCCCTATCCATTGCTTAGGACCTATCCATTGCTTAGGATCGTTCTATTGCGCCACCCGAACTCCCTGTCAGAAGTTTATCCGCTGCATACATCTGCTTAGACGGATGACGGCCTCCGTAGAAATACTAGTGGACGGGGATGGAAGATCAAGAAGGAGGTAAACGTTTGTGTGTGCATATTCATAAGTGTTATATGTGCATAAAATCTGTATTCCATTGAGAATCGAATCTTCTCTTCTTGGCGGATCTTCTATTCCGCCGTTGCAGATGCTGTACAAGCAGTAGTCGGGCCAGGTTTCCGAGCATAATGAACATTCCTATCCATGCCATCATCACTCGTTAGCAAAGCCATTGCCTCACAAGCAAAAAGGGAAAAACAAACGAGAAAGAGCACGAAGGAACGGTGGCCTCACATATTAAGATACTGATGAAATTCCATATCGAGCATTTCCTCCCTCGCCTCTCTGACCAACTCAAGCACCTGTTCCTTACTCCACCCTTCATATCGACTCAGCATCCCTAGGGCGCCAGCCTCGAGGCCAGCCACTATATTCCTCTGAGCCCAAACACCTAGTGTCTTTTCCTTTTTACTATTCTCCCCCTCAGGCCACGGACCGACAGGCCATCTGAAGTGCTTAGATGTCACGTCCACGAACCCAGCTTCTCTTAGCTGCTGGTCGAAATGCCTCGAGGCTTGGGCGTTTATGCCCGCCTTTTTAGCCGCGCCGATGACATTTTCGCTCCATTTGCGAAACGCGACGCCTTGTTTAGGGGAGTCTGGTTCGCAGTGGGCGGTTAGATCGAATTCCTGGGCTTCGAAGTAGCCGCCCGGACGGAGGTGGGTGAAGGATTGACGAAAGAGACAGGGCCAGTCTTTCACTCCTAGGCTTAGCATGCGTCCGTGGACGAAGTCGAGACCTCTCGCTCCGCTGACTTCGCCGGAGGTTGGGTCGGGAATGGGTAAGGGGTAGGTCCATTCTTCTTCGATGTCGTCGATTTGGAATTGGCAGTTTGGTGGGATCCAGCGGGGTTGGACGGGGGAGAGGTCCACTCCTGTAACAGTGGCGGAGGGGTTTTCGTCGGCGAATTCGATGGCCCAGATTCCGGTGCCGGTGCCGAGATCGAGGACGGAGTTGGTGGATGGTGGGAGCGGGGAGAGGTAGAGGGCGCCGTCAAGGGAGAGGCGCCACACACGGTGTTGGAAGTCTAGAGCTAGAAGTCAGAAGGAATGATAGGATCGTTTGGGAGAGAACTTAGTGTCAAGAATGAATGAGAAGCTCAGATGCACGTCTGGTGTCGGTTCAGAGCAGCTGCAAGCACATACCTAATCTTTCTAATTCAGGCTATCGCTCCAAGTCAGCCACTGCTTTCTTTTTATTCCAGTACATGAACATACCTCATCATTAGGTAGAGCGTAAGCTAAAAGTAACAAAATGAGTTAATACGATTTGTGAGGAACAAATCATCTCATGCTTATATGAAGGCCTTGACGGTCGAGGGACGAAGAACTCACAGCCATCTTTATAAGCATGATATCGTCTCCCATTCTCAAAACGATAATCCATCACAGAGGGCGTTAAGCTGTCTGTCAATGTTGTGCTAGAGATCCGACAGAAACATTGTCAGAATTGCGTTGAAGAAGACATGTCTACTAAAATGGCTTTCTTTCAACCACACGAAGCAGTTCATAGCTCTTGATCTCCACCACACCTCAAAAATATGGAAACAATCCAATGCCAATATCCATGGCCCCAAAATTGGGGAAACTTACGTATAGGATTCCGTGTCTCCAATGGCCGAATCCGTATCATAGATGTCTCATCCAAACCGTCGTAATCATTCACTGACGCCTAGTACCCAGCGTCATGGGGGATGTGGTTTGGATTTGACATTACTTCAAGGGGAAGGGCGCCTGTTTGCCCGCCACGTGGTAGTTAAGAGGCCCGAAATGTCAACTATAATTAGGAGGATTGGCGGACGTGCAACATATTCGTAAATAGGGTTCGTCGGCGGACTAAACAGGGGTTGAACCAGTGGAGGTAGTACGATATCCTTTGTAGCATGGGGTTTTCTCGCTAGGATGACCAAAGCCCGAAGAAGGGCCCTCCGGCCCATCTTTCTGCGCGTCCTAGGCTTTGAATTCGTCCCTCGCAGTATGACTTGTCTTGCTCCTAACTTAGCTTTTCAATACCCAGTAAGAGTTGGGTAGAATGGAAGATTGGTTGAATTGTTTGTACCGGCCATGGTAGACAGCCCAGACGGCAATCGCGCTTCGGTATGGGTATGGGGTGCCAGTATGACAATACATTCGTGCCACAGCGGTCTCAACAACAATGGTTGGGAGATCAACGTACGTACGTCGCCATTGAATATTACCAGCGGGCTTCAGCTCTCCGAAAGCGATGTGATTTGGCCATGGATTTGCAACAGATTTTGCCACGAACCGTTTCTTCAGATGGACTATTGAGCTTGATTAGCACACAACAAGGCAGCTGAACCGGTGTCGAATTCTCCGACTCTCGCTTATCTTGTGTGGCTCTCACATGGGGCAAATATCCGCCGGGAACAGATGTTATGTTCGACGTTAGTTCCGTCTGAGAAAGAAAGGTCTGGAAACTCATCTGTGCTCCGAGCTCATGTCCAACAGCGGGACAACGAAGACTGTTTCGAAGCCGAGGAGTCCCTTCGCCTAATAAAGAGGTCTATGTAGGTGATAAGAGCAGGCGAGCATATCAAACCAAGAACATGGAAATACTGAAATAATGCGATGAGATAGTCTGCGGGGTGAAAGACGAGAGACGAGATATCTGACGAGCAAATAAGTGACATAGTTGCACGTATTGTTCTGTGAGAAGTTGCAACCAGCAGGATGGGTGGGGAGGGTAAAACAACGACTATCATCTCTTAACAGTTGTTGTACGGAGTACACTGGCCTCGGTATGATATGATGAACAAGGGGATAAGAAACCAAGATCATCTGCTTCATAACGTGCTGTCACAATCGGGTTATCTCAGCAGTGATGTGGCTGGAAGATTAGGCACTGGTGGTGGTCACTAAAAGAGGTTCGGGCCCACAACCAACCGAGCACACTTAGTACTTGAATTCTATGACTCTTCAAGTCCTTCTGGTAGGATCCAAGGACCTGTTCGGCTTACTTTGTGGACGACTGCAGAAGAACCGGTTTATGGCGAGGCAGCCTCACCATCGAGCCACCCCGGAAGCAAATCGATATCCTGCCAGCGGCTCTCGTGCGTATGCCAGTCTATCAATATTTGATGACCTTCAACTCTTCCCCCTTGATCTTGCCATCACTAACCAGTCTCTTCACTTCATCCTCATAAGCTCCCTTCACCTTCTCAGCATCCTTCCCTGCCAGATTGAGTTTGCTCGCCAATGCGGCTAACTCATCGGGGTCAACCTTTCCAATGATCAGCTCCACGTCGGTCAACACGCCATCCACTTGCGCCGCACTAGCCTCTCCGCCGCTGGCAAAGTAATTGACGTCCTTGACACTGCCTTTGAGAACACGTTTGTTCTTCTTGACCGCATTTTTGGCGGCTTCCTTGGCTTTCTTGCTCTCTGCTCTCTCGGCCTTTGCAGCTTCCTCCGATTCCTTTTGCTGGCGATCTGCCTCCTCCTTAGCCTTTTGCTTCTCCTCTGCCTCTCGCTTAGCAGCAGCTTCCCGTTCATTCTTCTTCTTGTTCTTGTTTGCCTTGCTCTCTTGGCGGAACCTCTTGATACGTTCGTCCTGTTCCAATGCTTGATCAACGACCTGGCGTAGACGCGCGGTATCCTCGGTCTTCTTCTTCCGTCGAGCATTCGCATTCTTCTTCTCGATGTGACGCTTATGATCACGGCCCTCATTATCGTCAGGAACATCTTCGTCTAGGTATTCAAAGGTTCGCCAGCTGTCGAAATTGTACCAGAAGTTGTAGAACTCGTCCACCTCTTCCTTCGTGCTATTTTCGTCACCCAACATTGGCACTGGCTGCTTGTTGCTGAATCGAGCCTCGCTCTCAAAGACAGGGTTCCACATCTTGTAGAAGCCACGCTTTTGTACCTCTTTCTTGCTTGGCGGGTCTACGTCGGCTGCCTCATCAACGCTATCGAATTGGCGACGCTTGACGGGATCCTCAAGGATTTCATTCGCACGTTGAATACATTTGAAGAATGAGTCGTCGTCTGACTGACCTTTTGCGGCCTTCTTGTCAGGATGATGTCGGAGAACCTTTTTGCGATGCGCATTTTTGATCTGCTCTGGTGTGGCTTTCCATCGGTATTTGGAGAGACCAAGGACAGCGTAGTGGTCTTGACCCTAGTAAAACGTGAGCAGGCATTTGAAAGGGCATGTAGTCGCAGATACACACCTTCCAGTCTTTGGCGTCGCGTGAAAGCATCAGTGGATCTTCGGGCTCGCTGATCTCGGTAGATTCATCGTCTTCGATCTTCTTGACCTTATTCTGTGCTTGAATTCGCTCATCTTCGGAGAATGTGCGGCCGTGACGTTTCTAGGTAATGATGAGCATGTAATGAAGAATATGTGAGGTTGAAAGGACTTACTCTACGGGCAAACGCAAGAAAGTGAGGACCAGCAGGCTCGATCTTTCTCATCACAGGAGGTGAAAGAGTACCAAGAGCTCGAAAATTTGGGTTGCCAGGATCTCCTTTCCATCCCTCAGGCTTGGGAGGAAACCTGACTCGCGGAATGCCATCATCTGCTTGCGACCCCATTTCACTTGAATTTGAGGATGTAGTCGGAGTAAACACAGGGTTATCCGGGGCTAAGGATAGAGAAGAAGGTAGAGTCGTGAATCCGGGAGCCTCCAAGGTAGCCGAAACAGCTTGAGCGAGGTCGGCTGGTAACGGTTCTCCGAAAACCAGATGGCGAGGGGGCCCACCAAGCTCTGTAAGGCTGCCGGTGCGAAAGCCCAGCCCGTCTGCTCGAAATTGTAGGACTGCGACGTGGTCACCAAGGCTAGCAGGATCATAGAAGGTGAAGCAGGGTCCACCTGCTCCAATCTGGTAGATAAAGCGGACGCCTGAGGCCAGAGAGCTGTGATAAAAAGTTTCGGCAAAATCACGGTAAAGAGAGCTTTCTGGTGTCTGTTGTGCCATTTTGGCTGGTGTAGGTGATCTAGGCCCTATCACGTTAGTCACCTTCGGGCACTAAACACCATGGAGCAGGTGTAGCGAGACCACGGAGTTTGTCTGGAACTCACCTAGTATTCAAGTTTTTGGTTGAAAACAAAATCGAAAAGAAGAATGAATAGAAAAAGATTCTAGTATACCTGCCGAGAAATCGCTGTGAAGCATAGAGACCAAAGCGGCAATCTCGTGATTATAGTGATGACTGCCGCTCTAGCCGCCTACAGACATCTTTTACGGTCAGCCAGAATAGCGTTTCAAGGTACCAGCGTATTGTCTGTCTGCTGTTTAACTTCTAACTATTTGTAGGAGATTTCACTCTTCTCACCGCTGCCCGTGTTCAAGCTCGTGAACGATTCAACAACAACCGAACCTTGGAACGCTCCTCGAAGGAAGCTATAGGGGCTGTGAAGCATGCAGAGGATGTTGCACAGATCCTACGACACAATATTGTACAAGGAGAGCAACAAGAAGGCAAAGATGTGCTAAGTATGGCTACCAGAAGATCGTTAGAGACCAGTGGTTGACAATAGGACAGAGCTACGTATTCACAAAGACACTGAGCGGGGAGACAATGACACTATTAAACTGGGCAGGAAGCCTGTGACAATCGGACAGCCATGCTCATGATTAGACCATTATCTGTCTATGGGGAATGCCGGTGATGCCACCATCACTGAAGGATGCCGCTTTCGCCATCTCAGGCAATTGGTAACAGGTTACATCGGTCACCAGTCTGGCTGGCTCTCCGCCCCTCCCGAAGGCCGTTTGTGACATTTTATCAACGAAGGAGCGAACTCTCCAGCCAGTCTCCAGCATAACTTTGCAGCTTGGAGTCTCCTGGCAAGTACACCCCAGAATGCAATGGGAGCTTCAAAATTGCAGTTCATACGCCCTCACAGCCACACGTTAAAAACAGGGGGGATCTCGGACAGAACCTAATTATGCAGAGGGAATTAGCTACCTTCTCACGAGGCAGATTGGGGCTGATTAGTGAAGGATATTGGGTTCGAAATTTTTAGTGGACGCTAGAGCAAATGCTTTTTTTGGGCACTGAAGGCCCTAAGAAGCTGACTTTGTGGTGCGGGTTCTCAAAACAGGGCTCTTCGTGTTGAATACTACATGTATATTCAGTTTTGGAATTGCACAGGCCTGCTTCCATGGACCGACATTGCTCTGGGGTCTTATCAATGCAGCAGAATGACCTCGAGCAAGCTAGATTCTCTCTCTGCTGGGTGTCGAATGATGATGCCCCCTTTAACCGTCCTCATCCTTTACCAAGGAAGTATAAAAGTTCCTCCTGAACGCCTCGCTAAGTGATCCGGACGGATTGACTTGTTATTCAGTCTCCAGCTAGGCTAGCATATTGCACCTCGCCAGTCCCGGGCGGAGGAGCAACAGCATAGCTGCCATCATGCTCCGCTTCCCCACCGCCGCCTGGCATCATACCATCACCATTTCCTCTCTGCTGACCAGGCCCAGACCGCTCAGCAGCCTTGACAGCCGCCACAGTTTGCCTCCCTTGTCTCGCCAGTTCCATCCTCTCCTCCCTATCCATATTATCCAGCGGCTTAGGCTTTCCCCACTGTACCCTAAGTGGACATCCTTGTATTATTGCTCTTCCTTGACAAGCCTCGGCAGCCTTTTCAGCCGCTTCCCTGGTAGCGTAGTTAACAAATGCACAGTGTGCACGGTGAGAGCAGACAAGAGATCGAATTGTGCCAAAAGAAGTGAAGAATGTACGAATGGCGTGTTCGGGGAGGTCGTCCTCGACGCCTGTGACAAATAGAGAGGTTATATTTGGGTCTGAAGGAGGGAGGATGTCTTTCGGTTGGGGAGGTAGTTGAGCAGTCCCGGGAAATGCACGACCGCCTCTTGCGCCTGGTCTGCCTCCTCTTATTGCATCTCCACGTCTGCTGTCGCTGGTGCGTATAAGGCCAGGACCATAGCCTATCTGCTTTTGCTCCTGTCTTTGCTGCTCTCCCTCTCCCGTTGCTTCCAGCCTCCGCTGCTTCTTGTAGTATGGCTCGCTGTTGGCTAGTCTTCGTAGGAGATCCCTTGCCTTCTCATCCGTCTTCTCGTATTCCTGCGCCGCTCCTCTTCCCTCCTCTAATTCCTTCTCGTGCTCTTGAGCGTAGTACTCTCTGTTAACTCCACTAGTCGGGCCAGGCGCTACCATTTTCAAGGCTGCATCTCGCACCGTGATAGGCAGGCCGAATGATAGATCAAGCATACAGCACTGGCAGCAATTTTTCAGCCTGGCGCAAGTGAGGCATATATTCGTTCGTTTGGTACGTGCAGTGCGATCCGCTTTCCACCGAAAGACTGTAAAGGGCCTTGTACATATTTTGCACTCTGCGCCATGATCCTCTTTCAGCATCTGGACGTAGGGGTTCTCTGGCAGGCAGCTTTCGCAAGAGCTGGGGAAGTCGGTGGTTTCCCAGCCGGAGCGGTTGAGGTCTTGCTTAATTTGAGGAGGCATGTTCTTGCAATCGGCCTGGCGTGTTAGGAGTAGGTGCAGACCAAGGCCAGGTGTGGCGTGTTGTGGTGTGTTAACACTTGAACGACGTGTTGTTGTAGCTGACTCTACTCCGAGTCATTTGTATGTGAGTACGGAGTAAGCAGCTGCGGAGGAGGAGAAAGTGGCGTGTACATAAGCAGTCTTGGCGAGCCACACGGAAAGGACGCGGCCGGATGGAGCTATGTACTATATATTTTAGCGGATCTGCAAGGGACGGCTGCTCCCTACTTTTTTTCTGGGTGTACTTAAAGATATAAGTGTAACTGTAAGATGCAGCGTGGTCAAATTGTGCCTCCTACAACGGCTTTGAGTCTTCACAAATTCTCTTGACTGATTCCCCTGTTCAATTACCTACTTGACGAAGGTTCACATCATCCTTCAAGCCAAAATATCCCCTGCCGGCTACCCCTTCCAACATGGCTCCCTCCGCAATCTCCCCTCTTGAGAAAGAAGACCACGTTCGGGATGCCGAGTTCAACAGGATTCTGCATGGCACTTCCGCCGAAAAACGTGGTGGCATGATAGCCATGTTGAAAAAAGATCCTCTTTCCCAGAAAGCCGCAGTTGAGGAATACTTCAAGCATTGGGACAACAAGAGTGCCGATGTTGAGACTGAGGCGGTCAGGAAGGCGAGGAGAGACGAATACGCTACCTTGACGAGACAGTATGTTTCCACTTTGGCTCAGCGAACATATCATATGCTGACCTCCGCTTCTCTTCCAGCTACTACAATCTCGCCACTGATCTTTATGAATACGGCTGGGGCGCCTCCTTCCACTTCTGCCGCTTCGCATACGGGGAATCCTTCTCCCGTGCCATTGCCCGACATGAGCACTATCTCGCGCTAAAGATGAATCTGCAAGAGAACCAACGTGTGCTGGACGTAGGCTGTGGTGTCGGTGGACCAGCAAGAGAGATCATCAAGTTCACTGGTGCAAACGTGATGGGCTTGAACAACAACGATTATCAGATTGAGAGGTCGCTAAAGTATGCGAAGAAGGAAGGCCTTAGCCATAAATTCGACGCGACAAAAGGCGATTTCATGCAGATGAGCTTTCCCAAAAACAGTTTCGATGCTGTATATGCCATCGAGGCGACGGTGCATGCACCGGATTTGAGGGGTGTGTATGAGCAGATCTTCCGAGTCCTGAAGCCAGGTGGCACTTTCGGTGTATACGAGTGGTTGATGACCGACAAGTACGACAACGACAATCCCGAACACCGCGCCTGCAGGTTAGGAATTGAGCAAGGAGACGGCATCAGCAACATGGTGACAGTGTCGCAAGGCCTGGCGGATTTCAAAGCCGCCGGTTTCGAGCTGATACACGATGAGGATCTGGCCGAACGAGACGACGCCATACCCTGGTACTATCCCTTGGCTGGCGAATTCAAGCACATGGGAAGCATTGCCGACGTCTTCACGATTGCGCGCATGACATGGTGGGGACGCGGGTTGGTGCACAAATTCGTTGGATTAGGAGAGACAGTCGGTGTGATACCCCAGGGAACACAGAAGACAGCGGATAGTTTGGCGCTGGCTGCTGATAGCCTTGTGAAAGGTGGGAAGGAAAAGTTGTTCACTCCGATGTATCTGATGGTAGGGAGAAAGCCTTTGAATTAGACGGTTCGGACTTCGGTCTTTGCTTCCAGGTCCCTTTGGCTCTGTACATATATCGCTTGCCAGAGGCAAAGCTTCAGTAGAAGCTCGTCGTACCTGCTGCTGAATTGCTAGAACAGAGATCATGTCGCCATCTCAAGCTGAACAACCTAATGGACGGTGCATTTCCTTTGGTTTTGATGGCTGGCATAGAATCTTCTCATCTACCCACTGCAGCAAACCTCCTCCCTACCCATCCACTTCCAAACTCCGCATATTCCTCTTTACTCACACCAATCTTTCGCACCACCTCCCTATTTCCTGCCATCCTCGCACCTCCCAACCAGGTACTCGTGACCGGATCCTCCATCGCTCTCACTCTGACTTCATACTCCACCGGCGCTAGCATTCTCAGTTCATCCTGAACCCTTCGCACGAACCCCTTCATCCTTGCGTTTCCGCCTACAACGAGAATGTTGGAGAGTAGAGTGGCTTGGAGCGCGGGTGGCAGCACCGAAAGTGATTGCATGACCGCCTCGGCTATGCCCGGCTGGCGCGATCCAATATCGGAGGGGGTAAAGAGGATTTCGGGGATTGAAAAGCGTTCAGACCCGAGTGTCATGCTGATCTCATCGCCAACGCCGGAAGCGGAGGAGGGTTCATTTGCCTGGCGCTTTTGCTTTCGGTGGGTGAGAGGGTCATGAGAACGAGAGAAGCCGCGGGGTATACGGAAGCCGTCAGGGAGGACGTAGTCGATTAGGCCTGGAGGATCTGGGACCGGGCATGGTGGAGATAATGAAGATGGCTTGTCAATGTCCATTGAGCCATCGTTATCTGCCTTGTCTTCGAGTGTTGGCGGAGCCGTTTTCTCTGACTTTCGCCATCGTGCGGTATTGCCTTTCCAAGTCTGTTCCATATCCATCTTGTAATTTGAGCTAACAAAGCACACGTCTTCCTTGATGTCGTTGACGATTTTCGTGTCTTGATGAAGGTCAAAGTATCTTAGCGATACAACCTCTTTCAAAAGATTCGTGAGATGCTTCCCTCCGAGGTCGACGCGGCGGATTGCTCTTTGAATCGGAACACCGTTATACAATGGTGTTATGATTGTGTGTGAATAGCCGCTATCAACGACCAGAAGGCATTCCTGGGCTCGAGGGTGAGTTTCGAGAGACGGAGAGCGGTCAGTTTCACCGAAAAGGGGATGTAAGTCATTGTAAGCGTTTAGTGATTGTCCTGCACCTCGCTCTCAGTAAAAGCACATCTTTCCATCGTGCGCATCTAGCCATACCCACCCACTATCCTAGCATATCCGCCGAAGCCCCATTCCTCCATGATGATCTCATCGGCATTCCTTTGTAATGCTTGCATTGTATTCGGCGCCTCTGTAAGGATCAGAGTCGTACTGTCTGGCTCTTTGACAAACAGGTCTGTATGCGCCGTCTTCTCATCAAAGAAACTGCAGTCCCAGATCTCTTTTTCTGCTTCCCAGTTCACAAGTTGACCGCGTTCGACAGGCCTTCGGAAGATGGCTTCGCTCCATTGCGATATGTTATCTTGCTGAGCCGCAACATAAGTACGTTTGTCTCTTGTGCGTGCGAGAGAATTCTGAACTGCATGACACCGCTTGAGCGTATCTGCGTCTGCTAAAGGCAAGCTTGGGGCGAAGCCAGCTTTCATTGAAAATGCCCCATTGTCTAGAATGAAGGTGCTGGAGGGCAGGAACTGAGAATCCCGAACAGCAGGTTTCGTAGCTTTAGGCATTTCATGGGAGGCGCAGGGATGGATGCCTTTCAGGGTAAGACGCTCAGAGAAAACTTCCACCGCTATGTAGGTTTGGATGTAAAAGACTCTACAATAGTAGAAAACTTTGGGGCATCAGGTTGACCCATTGAGGGTACAATGTCATGCCTATTGGCTTTGACTCAGCTGTATAGTACTAGTAGGGCTCAGGCATGGCGCTGGTAGTAGCGTGAACTGAAGACGTGCTTATTTACCACGTGTTAAGTCGCGAGGTACAGACACCCCAAAACTGGTAAAAGGTTGAAGGCGAGGGTCTAAAAAATAATTTGTGTACGAATACACACCACTGAGACTGTGTCAGTGTGTTCCATGTCCACCCGCGAACAACCCCTTGTATTCTTCAATGACCAAGTGGTGTCACACCAGCAAGTTATTGTTATTTTATATTATTTTGGAGGTCGAAGATCGGTCTCAAAGTCTCACTGGCGCAATGGTCAGTGTGTCCCACCTCAAAATATAAAATATATTTCTGACGTCTCAAAAGGTAGCGTGTTAGACTCCTATGATTAGTCTTGGATTCACAATCTAAAGGTTGTGGGTTCGAGTCCCACGTGAGATGTTGTATGATTTCTTTTTGCTCCTGGAGACTTATATATGTGGGAGACTCAATCAGGATTCACTATGAAGGTATCACTCCAATACATAATCCGGTGCTGGGCCGAGACTTGGCGCTACATGCTGCCATGCTTTATTGCGGAGGAGCACAAGTTTTATTGTTGGTAAGATGAGGGACATTGTGAAATATCATATCACAAATTGACAGCATAAATTGGATCATTCGAGACCGTCAAGAGCGAGAGCGGTAGCAAAATCTGTGTAGGTACTCCGGGGACGAGATATTCTTGCTCAAAAGCTACAAAAAGAGGCGTCAAGGTTTACTGCAGTGCCAGTAGTGTGACGAAGAACTAACCCTTGATGTTGCAATGCGAGGCATACTGAAAGGAGCGGAATTGATTTGCTACAGGAAAAAGCAACCAGCGTAGGAGAAGAGCTGATGCAATAGACCAAGGCTAGGAAGCTCACAGTTGGTATGAGATATAGATCCATTACGTGCTTAGCCAGTCTCATACCAGGTGTATGCTAACTTGACCCTGGGGTTTCTGGTTTTCCTGGTTCCAGCACTTCTACAATGTTCTGTGGATCTTTCTGAGCGAGGGCCACAAACTTGGTATGACTACCTCTCGCAACGATTTCTTTGTCCTTGTTGAGGAACTTGATCGACGTGTAGGCAAGAGTCTTGCCAACTGTTTTCGGTTAGTGGTTCCGTTTGGCGGTTCAGTGAATGTGGCTGTGCTTTCCAACATACACTTGTCACAGACAGCCTCTCCTTTGATCAGATCTCCAATCTTCCCCCCTGAACTGAGATACGTCACATTCAGATCAGTGGAGACGCCGGTAGAGAAGAGGCCTCGTGATGCAAGAGCCAGTGAGCCGCCCAGGTCCACCATCGAGGCAATAGTACCGCCATGGAGTACGCCCAGACGATTAGTGTGCTGTTTTTGGATTGGAAGCTCAAAATGAACCTTTCCTGGTGAAGCTGCTGTGACACGGATCTTGCAATGGCTGTCAGCTCAAGTTGTTTGAAAGCGGCATCAAGGTAGTCGATATCGCTCCTGACTTCGACTTACCCCATCCAGCAGTCTAGTTGTGTAACGAATGTCAGCCAGCTCGAGCAAATGCTTCAAAGTCGTTCACACCTCGGCTCGAGGCCAGAATTGGCCCGAAAGGCTTCCCAGACCTATAGATAGTAAGACGATGTGGATCTTTCGTCAACTAGTAGTATGTGTTGCTCACTGATCGAACGAATTTCAAGGCTGACATGATGCCAGGCCGCTGAACCAGCCGGAAATCGAGACTATCCGTACTGGGTCTCATCTATGAGTCATTGGGATCAGTTACAGAGTCAACCACAGGCTGCCTGACAACAGAGATGTAGGAGCATTTGAATGAATCATAAACCATAAACATCAACTACAGACTACGTACTCGGTAGTAGTCTTCTATTCAATTACTGCCGAAGTTTTCCCGAGCCTGAGTCAATCCCAAATCCAAGACATCGACCTTTACAGCCTTTTATTGCTCGCTTTCATACCCAAAGTCAACCATGATTGATAGATAGCATCAGCTGAACGAGGCGATCGGCGTCTCCACGACATCCACGTCCACAAACCATGGCCGACTCAGATGTTCAGTCCTGGGAATACCTGGAAAGACTCCAGGGGACAGAATTCTATCGACTCTACAAGAATCCTACCTCAGCACTGGCCATATTCCGCAAACGACTTTCCAGTCTCGGTAGGCAAGTAAGATCAATTATCCGGCCCTGGGTTGACACCAGCGTAGCGAAGAGTCTCGTCATGGCTCTGCTGTATTTGAACGCTCCCCTACCTGTAAAGGACTTGGACGTTTGGGTCAAACCAGGCAGCAGAAGGTTTGCAGCAAGAGATCACGACTTCCAGAATATGCTGATACGAAGCGAAGTGAGAAGGAGCACGCCCTTGACTTGCTCCAAAGATACCACATAACAGCCGTGAGCTCTTCGAAAGCATACAAACTTACTGAAAACTTCTCTCGATCACTACGACAGGCTCTCACGGGAGGTGGGGATACCAAATCCTTCGGCGAAATCGCCATTCCTCCTTCCAATCCGTCGATTACTGTTGAAGATCTGGACGGCTTTGCTCGCAATCAATGGGAAGGGATTCTGGGTTATATGGTGGGCAATTCCGCCATACCGCTTGAATCAACAAGCACCGTTGTCGATCCCTCCCCAGGGGTGATTGAACTTCTCAAAGCTGGCCATTTGATCGAATTGACCGGATCATCTCGTCTGAGCTACTCGCCCAAAATTACCAAAGATGGATTTGCATTCGTCCTTCAGGATATCAACACTCAAGTCTGGTCGTTACTATTCCTCTACGTCGATCATGCGGAAGATTTCGCGATGACAAAGGTGGCTGTCCTGTCATTTCTCTTTCTCATCTCCTCCCTAGAGCTTGGCCAAGCATACACCAAATCCCATCTCGATGCCGACCAGTTGCGCATCCTTTCCGACCTCTCCGACTTCGGCATCATCTACCAATCCTCCTCCGACTCCCCAGACTTCTACCCGACCCGCCTCGCCACAACGTTAACCTCGGACTCCAATACCTCAAGCACCGACAATACAAACCTCTCTTCCGCACTGACCACCTCCTCAACTTCCCAATCCCACGGCTTCATCATAATTGAAACTAACTACCGCATCTACGCCTACACGTCGTCTCCACTGCAAACCTCCCTCCTTGGCCTCTTCACCAACCTCCGCTCCCGTCATCCCAACCTCATCACTGCCAAAATGACCAAATCCTCCGTTCAACGCGCCGTCCAGATGGGCATAACGGCCGACCAAATCATCAGCTATTTGACCTCTCACGCCCACCCACAGATGCGCCGGCACGCAATCCAAGCCGCGTCAGCAGCCAGTGACCCGGCCAAAGCGGCGCAGGCAGCCTCCGTGATCCCGGCCACGGTGCTGGATCAGATCCACCTGTGGCAGATCGAGAAGGATCGCATGACGACCACGCCAGGGTATCTGATGAAGCAGTTTGGGACCCAGGCCGAGTACGAGCGGTACTGGCAGTTTGCGGATCAGATTGGTGTGTTGGTGTGGCGGAGTGATCGGAAGAGAATGTTTTTCGTCAACCAGATTGACAGTTTGAGGAGGTTTATGAAGAGCAGCCGGGAGAGTGGTGCAGAGGGGTGACTTTCAGTCCTTCTTGTTAGGGAGAGCAGATATTGGATGAGATCTCTGACGAGTTGAAGGGAATCAAGAGAGGACCCAATTTAGGCTTTGGCCTGATACATCTTGCCGTTCACGTAGGTTAAAAGGAGTTTGGACTGTATCGCCAGATCAAGCGCTCGGGTAGAGCTTCACATTCGTACTAGGCGAGCGGTATGTCTGCTCCAGAGTCCAAGCCCCTGTCGAGCTCTTTCTCTGTGGACGGACCCCCACCAGGAAGTTTTAGCAGTTGGAAATCAGACCCCTGGCGTCGTTCGAAGGTTCAAGGTAGACAGACATTCGAAAAGACTTCTATCCATTGCAGTTGTCGTTTCCGGCTTGTTGGGGGGTGAAGAAGCTAGAAGATATATCCGTCTGCTTCCAGAGACCAGCAAACACGAAGCATACCAAGGCTGCTAAACGCCCTTCACTTTCAGCGAATGACTCAACACATCCAGCGGAAAGATCGCGACAACATCTTCATGCCCCCCCAGAAAAGAAGCCATCACATTTCATGCATCACCCGATCCGCTCAGCCCAGTGAGACTCCTCCCCATCCTCCTAACGCTTCTCACGCTCTCGGAAAAGACCCTCTTCAACATCTCACCACCCGTACCCGGACCTCCACTTGAAGCGCTGCTCTTCCGCGGCATGCTATGTCGACTCGTCTGTTTCGCGACCGGCGCCGGCATCTTGCCTTGCGGTGCATCTTCTGCGTTTCTAACAACATCTGAACTGATACCGGTTCTGCGCCTAGCATTCTGCTGAGCAGCCGCCGCAGCCCTCGCGCGTCTGCCGGCGCTCAATGCGCCCATCTCACCAACCAGCACTTCTTCCTGTGCCTTCAGATACGACGGTCGTCTCCGGCCGACCTTAGCGTGTTTTCTGTTTGTGCCGGTGATGACCTCTGTCTCGATTTGTCCCATATCTCCTGTTGTCTTCGATCTCGTCATGGATGGGTTTGGCTTCGGGTTGGTGTTTATCATCCTCATTGCGGCCGCAGCAATGTTCTTGTCCAGACCCGGTACCTTTGGGCAGAGCCCTGTTGAGAAGAGTCGTGCTTTGCTATCCGAGGAGTGTATATGAAATGGAGCTGGTTGTTTGGCGGCGAATACCTTCTCGTAGCTCTCGTCTATCTGCTGCGCGAACTCCTCGAATGATCCTACGGCTTCTGGTGTGCGACAGTAAGAACGAAGCTCTTTGAGAGCCCGAAGGCTGCGGCGCAAATCGTCAGCTTCGAAGGAGTCGCTGTTGTCGATCTTGGGTATACGAGGGACCGCTGTGCAGGGGGAGTCGGCAATCGATGCGGACACAGACGAGCCGATAAAGTAGTCCTCGCTTCTCAAACGATCACAAAGTGCCGAGAAACGTCCATGCCAGTATTGGACTGGTTCATAGTTATGGACCTGTAAAAAGATGCCAACCATCAGTGCTAAGCGCATCGTCTGCTCTAGTCGGTATGATTACTCACCACCTTGACATTGATCTCCTTGCCTTCGTGGCTGCCAGATCCCATGCTCACTCCAGAGTCAGGGGTCAAGATTGGAGGTGATACTGCTGAACTCGAATTTGGTACAATCCTTAATCTAGCTCCTTGGAAGGGAAGCTTTTTGCTGCTGTCGGCAATCGTCATGTCGCCATACTCCTCCGTGGCCAGATCAAAGGAACCATTCGACCTCGTTAAAGAAGTAAGTGTTCTAGAGGATGCCGAACCGGTGCCAATGTCGTTAGCAAGGAGCCTTTTCGCTCGTGTGGAGCCCTTCATCCTCTGCCTGTTTGCTTCAACTTCCTTCGCAACCTGGTTAAAGTATTCGATTTCCTTGTCAGTCATTCTGCTCTCAGCCAGAGCGTCCACGACGCTAAGCTCGGCTGTTTGGCTGACTGTGCTAATGGTTCGTGTCGAGGGTTTCGATGGGGATGGTGTGTTTGCTGCCGAACCAGTAAAACAAGTCATGTTGCCTGCAGTCTGGCTTCGAGGCAGTGGTGGTCCCAGGGGGCCCATCAACTGTCTCTGAGGGATTACTGGTGATGTTACCTTGGTAACCGAAGACAATGCTTTGTGTTTGGTCCGACGCTTGTGACCTGGAAGCGAGCTGGTCGATTTATTTTCTGCTTTTCCTGTAGCAGATAAGACCATGGCATCGAGGCTCGCAAGGGAATGACGAGAACAGCAGGTGACATGCATTTGCTGATGGATGCCTGAGAGGCCGTGTGAACCGTCTATCGGTTGAGAAGTGGTCTCAGGTAGGCTGGATCGTGGTGGCCGAGCACGAGAAGGCCTGAAAGCAGGTTGAGGATCATTATGAGGAGGGACAAAAGAGTTCCGTCTAGTTCGAGAATAGGTGCGAGGCTTGACAATACTTGGTGGTGTTCCGTCTGTCGCCGCTTTGTTTCCGGTCGGGCCCGTCGCAGCAGCACTGGAAGAAATGTGTTGCGCCGCGGTCAGCTTCGAGGTAGGACGTGGAATGGACGAGCATCGCCGGTTGTAACTCTGCGTTGGTGTGATGCCACCCAAGGCGGCCATCTTGCGCGGCGTGGGAGCCGCCATGGAGTCTCGCATGGAGAAAGAAGAGGTGGAGGAGGAAGAGGAGGAGGAGGAGAAGGGGAAGATGGATCTGCGAGGTGATCGAAAATACAGGATACTGGAAAGACGAGGAAGGGACGCTTCAACCGCAGCATAGGACCTGCAACTTTCCATGTCTCGCTGCTGCTCCATCTTGTTCTTCCTCTGCGCTCAAAAACACATAACTTGCTTTGACCACTCTCACTCTCACGCGTGCACATATAGCGCCGAGGCTTAATCAATATTGACACTACCTTGGCCTGGGACAGGTACCATTGTTCTGGTGTATTGGGGTATAGAGAGAAAGCCGTGGTTGACCGCAGGCAGACTCGTGGCCACACGCAGGCGCAGCTCAGAAAGAAACCACGCCTCTCTTACTACAACCAAACAAAAACACATCTCGTGGCATTGCTCCTGACCTTTCCCTGGACCTGCTCTCCGACAAGCTGTTCACTATTCCTGATCGTGGTGGACGCCGGGTTCCATAATTACACTTCCACATTCGAATGATTAGCATCGTCGACTGAACTCCGCATCAGCAACTTCTCACTTTACTTTGACGAGGCAATGGGCTCAGGTACATCCGCTGACGGGAAACGTCCATCGCTGATGATAATGGCAATACCAGAACAGAGTACCCAGAACAGAGGCCTGAGCGGCGCCAAGTACCTCTACCCCAAGGCGGACGTCGCACAGCTGGAAAGAGTCCTCTCAGCTGTCCGGGTTTTGCTCGAGGGAGTGGAGAGCATCAGGCTCTATTTCCTCCGCGTAGAGGCCGCTATTGAGAAGCTTCAAGCAGAGGGTTCACGCCTCCCATTCCCCGAACAAGTCCCTCCCGAGCTAGACAAAAGCCTGACTATGGTAACCGTGCAGGAAAAATATGTTCGATACATGAAGGGACTGCTTGAGCTGAACCAGGCCGTAATCCATGCCTGGTATGATGGAAGGTTAGATCATGCGCAGGCATACGCGAAGTGGCAATACGTCGATCCACTTGCTACCTCTGCACACTTTCACGCATTTGCAACCGAGATACTAGCCATGCAAACACTCGCAGGCGAATTGCAGTCGATTACAACAGAGCTGGAAGAGGAGGCCCGCGCATCTTCCCAATTGTTGGACGAATGGGTTATGATCGGACATCCCTGAACATGAATAGTGGAGGATGAGTGCAGGAATGAGGCTGAAAAAGAAGTGGCTGAGCTATGCCGTATTCATCCATCAAAAGTATGCTTGTTAGTCTTCATCACTGTCATCAAGAATAAAGCCGGCGCGCACTCGCCGCCGCTGAGAGGCCAACACGGGCAACTCGTCATCGCTGTCATCGCGGTCATCCGCCTCTTGTCCTTTTGCCATTGCCGAAGAATTGAGTCTTGGCGGCGCAATTTCTCGTAGAGCGACATCCTTGCCTGACCCGGCATTTGAAGCCTGACTTTGTGAAGAGAGGGGAGTATCCTCAATATCGAGCTCATCGTCGGATGTAGCAGCTCTGTGGCGTGGAGAGGAGGCTGACTCTGCTTCCATCATCTCAATCTCATCCTCAATCCCACTCATCCTCTCATCCTCGCTGTCATTCCGCCTCCGCCTCTTCTCATTCCCTTCCTCAATACTCTCCGACTTCCTCTTCTTCTCCTTCTTCGTAGCAGCACCCTCCTCAGTCCTCCCCAAACTCAAAGCCGCCATAACCCTCTGAGCCTGCTTCCTGCGATTCTCCTCTTCCCTTGCAAAGAAGGCCCTATTCTCCTCTTCGTCCATCTCTTCATCACTGTCCCGGATGTAAAGCTCACTCTTGATCTTCCTCCTCCTGTCCAACGCAGCCTGCTCTCTTGCCTTTCGACGCTCATCCAGCTCATCCTCTGCAAGCGGCTCCACGTTATTCTTTGTTCTAAGCTTTGGCTTTTTGTGCTTTTTCTTCAGCTGGGTCAGCGCATCAGACTTCGAGCGCACGTTGTCTGGGAACATGAAATCCTGGAGGTCGTCGGAGCCTTCAGAGTCGTCGATGAAGGCGTCGCGACGGGGTTCTTGCTCGCCGTCTTCGGCGTATGCTGCTGCTGTTGTTGTCTTGACGCGACGTAGAAAATTCTCGGGCTCTTGACCGCTGGGGTCGGTCCACATCGTGCCGAGGTATTTCTCGATGGTGATGTGAAGTTCTTCCAGGCTGGTGGAGCTGACCGCTGATGGCATAATCCATGTTGCATCTGCCTTTTCTTCGCCGCCTGATCTCTCGAACCCGGATAGTGTCATTAGCAGTTTTAGCTTTGCGTCCTTGAATGTGGCAGTGCGTATTTCGTCGGTGGGAGGTCGGATCACTAATGTCATGGTTAGATGGTACAGAGGTATCAGCAGGATTGGTTGTACGTACCGATAGAGGGTGCTTTTGGCCCTGGCTTATCATCCCCCTTCTCCGCTGCGGTGGTCTCTTCGTGAGGTTCTGTTGCAATACCAGAGAGTTCCCTCCTAGCTGTGGCCTCGGCATCCCAAGCTTTCCGCTCATCGGCGGCCTTCGCAATTGTTTCCAGCACCCACCGTACAAAACTCTCCTTGTCATCCTTGAGCAGCGCTGCTACTACGATTCCAATTTGCTCGTTAACATCCCTGTCAGGGGCAGCCTTCACTTCCAATTCTGCCGGCGTTCTCGTCGAGCTCACCGTCTGTCTCTCATGACCATACTCAAGGTAATAGAGCGTTGCTCTGATCTTGCTGAACAACATCTCAACAATGAGCTCTGGTCTCTGTTCCAGCTTCTTGAACATCTTCTTCAGCACCTGTCGCACCAGCTCATCCCATTCCTTGTACATTGCATTTGATCGATCTAGTCCTTCTGGACCTTTGATGAGTTGGTAGAATAATGCGATGATGTCGACACGAAATAAAAGTACGGCGAGCTCTTGCTTGAATGCGACGCGGTAGAAAAATCGGTGCGCTCGCTTGAGCTGGTCGATTGACAGGTCACGGTAGAAAGCAGTGAAGGCTACCAAGGTGTTGACCGAGCTTTGAGAGGTGAATTTGGCGGCGAAACGAGTGAAGTCGAACTTGCGCTCTCGTGAGACTTGAGCTGCTTCTGCTATGTCTTCGTTCTCGGATCGGACGTCGTCGTCGTCGTCGTCGGCTTCTTCATTTTCTCCATTCTGCGTCGTCTGCTGCTCTTTCTTCTTGCGCCGTGCTCTTCTTCGAGATCGTATCTGAAGATCAGCATTCTCTTTCGAGTATCGCTCCAGCATACGCAAGAAGACGTGTGAGAGCTCGGTACATGCATCGAGATAGCCGAAACCCTGATCTTTGTATCCTTTGAGAATATTAACGATCCTATCATGGGTTGTTTCTTCATAGAATATTCGATTTTGGATGTTGTCCGCGATTTCCTGGTCCTCTTCCAACGAAGACTGCGCCATCTCTTGGACTGTGAGCAGGATCTGCGTGAAGCATCTCATGCTAGCATTCAGATCCTGCCATTCCTTGTTATCGAAGCTTGTCTGCATATATCGGTTGAGAGTGATAAATGTCTCCTGGTTCAGCACTGCAGCAACTAGACCATAGCTTTCTGCCTCGAAGTCAGTCTGGACCTTTTGATTCTTCCGGTCCTTCTCCTGCCGTGCTCGACGGCATTTCTCGGCTTGGAGGAACCAAGAGACGGTGTAGAAGAATTGACGGTAGTTGATGTCAAGCAGTCGGTCAGCTTCTCGTTCGATGGCTTTCCGAAGATGTGTGAAGAGTGGGTTGAACCCAGAATCCAAAAACTCTTCAACGAAGTTCCGTAGAAGCTCACTTGCATCAGCAGTCAGTGGAACGGAGTGATCAAAGTCGTAGATGGAGTGATCAAGATCCTTTCTTCTCTGCTGTGGTTTACTCCACTTCTTTGATTTGTCCATCTTGAGTAGAGAGTTCCGGCCGTCCTTCAGGTTGTCCTGACCGGATATTGCAGAGACCTTCTCATCCTCACGCTTCACCCAGATCATTGTACCAAATCTGCCATGCCTCGTTGGAGCAATTTTGGCGTAGTCACGGTGCATCGCCCTCTCCTTCCCTAAGACGTCCTTTAGTTCTGTTGTTTTCTGTATTTTCCGCTGCTCCTCGTTCATGAAGAGCTTCTCCACATTAACACCTTTGATGAGATTGAAGATGATCTCCAGTACTATTACGTCTTGGAGATTGAAGTCCTCGCCCATGTTGGAGCACATGGTCAGAAGCAGTGCGAACACGTCCTGCTGTCGGAAGGCTTCGATCGTGGCAGATCTCGAGATCTCATCGTCAAGACCTTGGCTTGGCAGATTCGGCAGTGGGGTGATGATCGAGATGTTTCTGAAGAAGTAAAGCATCAATTTGATGATACCTTCGTCCCTCGATGTGCGATCATCCTTGGAGGTCGCGATTGACGGCAGGCCAATGCGTACGATAGTCCGAAGAATACTTGCTCTACCATAGCAGAGGGTTCCAGCCTTGTACCGCACGTGTGCTTGTTGTATGTATGGCGTGTGCCGATGATGGTTGACGGTCATTCCTCCAGCGTGCTCGAGCGGCCACGTCAATGGGACGAGCAGCTCCAAGCATGCCAGCGCAAGTCTGGCTTTTGCACGGTTATTGTTCGAATCTTCTGTCCATGCTGCCAGTATAGGTAGGAGATCCCCATTCACAAGGTTTGCTTCTGCCAGGCAACGCGCAACATCAAGTCGGTTGTTCTTCTCGTCATATAATTTGAGCCAGCGCTTGAGATCGCGCAGACATGCCAAAGCATCATCGCCGAGCACGTAACTACCCGCCTCATCTGCTTCAGTGCCTCCGAGCTGGGTCTGTATCAGTTTCGCCTCCTTCAAGTATTCTTGTCCGTACTTACAGCTGTGACGAGACTGTAGACGTGGGCGCGAACTTCCGGGTCCACAGTCTGTGCTTTGTCGAATAAATGGTGGGCCTCAAGACCAATTTCCTGGTCAGACATCTCTGCGATATTTTCAGAATAAATGCTCTCTCAACACAATCGCCATTGGTATATCGGAAGTTCGAAGTGTCGAGTTACTGTCGCGGGAGACGCGTCGACGCGACAAAGTGCGGAAAGCTTCCGCCTCCGCCAGAGCCGAGGCACAATTACTTACATATGTACAGCATGCATGCCTCAGCTGCCTTTTTCTTCTCACTGTTATTCTCTTGTACTTTGCGCTGAACAAAAGATATTTGTTCCTTGCAACGCGAAATAGACGCCTGTCACCAACATGCTCTTGTCCACCGCAAGAAGGAAAGTCACGGCTACCAGATTATTTACCTTAACCCGCCAGTTTTCCTCATCGCCTCGGACAATGGCTCTCGAGGTCAAGAAGCTGGGTGTGATTGGCGCTGGACAGATGGTACGATATAGCTCATGGTTGAAGATGAAGATGCCTCCACAATACTAATGTCTACAGGGTCTTGGTATAGCCCTTGTTGCCGCCCAGAAAGCCGGAGTACCGGTCACCCTGGTCGACAACTCGCAAACCTCTCTCGACAAAGGCATGAAATTCGCAGACAAGCTCCTCGAAAAGGATGTCTCGAAGTCAAGAATTACACAGGAAATGGCTAAAGAAACAAAGTCCCGACTCAACCCTACTACCAAGATGGAAGACCTCTCGGACGTTGACTTTGTCATCGAAGCAGTGCCAGAGATACCCGACCTCAAAACATCAATATTCGCACAACTTGCCCAAATCTGTCCTCCCCACACTATACTCGCTACCAACACCTCCTCAATTTCCATCACAAAATTAGCAGCCGCTACGACCAAAGACCCAACAGACACCTCCGTCTCCTCACGGGTTATAAGCACACATTTCATGAACCCAGTACCCGTGCAAAAAGGCGTGGAAATCATCTCCGGCCTACAAACCTCCCAGTCCACGGTCGATGCCGCCCTGGAACTCTGCAAGCGCATGGGCAAAGTCCCCTCTATCTCTGCCGACTCGCCCGGCTTTCTAGCCAATCGCATACTGATGCCATACATAAACGAAGCGATAATATGTCTGGAGACAGGGGTGGGCCAGAAGGAGGATATTGATAACATCATGAAGAACGGGACCAATGTTCCAATGGGACCGTTGCAGTTGGCGGATTTTATTGGATTGGATACTTGTCTGGCGATTATGGAGACATTGCACCAGGGGCTGGGGGATAGCAAATACCGACCTGCAGTGCTGTTGAGACAGATGGTGGATGCGGGCTGGTTGGGCAAGAAGTCCGGCAAGGGCTTTTACGATTACTGATTAATATATATGTATATAGCATAAATTGTACCCCGGGTAGATCGTGCTCGGTATCTGTGTGCTCCTGCCTGAGCAGAGGTTCATGATGATCAGCAAAGTGCTGAGTGGTGGCTAAAATAGATAGACTTCGCTGATTTCAATACGTACGTAGGAGTAAGTCACTGTCTGCACAGCTAAGTTAGTACGCTCTGACCTATAAGTCAGCGACTAAGTTTACTACGTATGTAAAATCGGGTTCAAAGGGGCCGGGACCTCGATGCAGATTTCCTGATCTTGGCAGAGATATGTAAGGTAAAGCTACAAGCCTCTCCCCCTTGGGTGCGCGCAACTTTTCCAATGCACGGGATACACGATACAATACACGCTATACAGAACTACCAATTGACGAACTTCGAACCCCTTCCAACCAAGTCAGCTCCTTATCTAGCTGCAAAGCCAAACAATCCTCCCATATCCACCCATTGTCTGCCGCACTTCCTGAGATACCCCTCCACCACCTCCCGCACCACCCCAAACAACGCCCGGTTACTCTCCGCCAACACGCTGACCTTCTCCCTCACATCTTCAAACTCCTTGCCTCCTAGCCTCACCTTCTCCTTCGCCTTATCCACATCCCACAACCCGGCAAAATACAGCAATTGATTATAGATCCGCTTCTCGGAGTACTCGTACCCCATTCGACCGAGACAGCCCTCGGCTCGGCCCCTCTGTCCCAGGCAGCGATGGCCGTACACGGAGATCTGGCGGGTCCGGTTGCCGCAGGAGGGGTCGTCGCAGACGAGCCAGCCGGCGTAATATTGGGTGGTTTGGGCTCGGATTTGGGATTCGAGTTGGGCGATGAGTGAGATGGTGGAGAAAGGTTTCTGGCATGAAGGATTCGTGCAGATGAGCCCCGTGGGGGAACACATAGAGGTGGAGGCGCAGAGGCCTTCGAAAATGGCGCTTTCTTGGCAGGATCTGCAGCGGAGAGTGAAGCGTGCGGCGTCTTGAAAGCGAACACTCTCGGGTATCTGGGACTCGAGGGGAAAGATCTCAGCGTTTTGCTGGTTGTTGCTGCCGGATGTGTTGATCTGGTACTTTCTCGTGTCGAGGCCGAGACACTCGGCGAGTCGGACTGAATCGGTACCGGGGATTGGTGCGCATAGACGCTCAATAGGAGGGAAGATCTGCTTCAATAAGTAGTACTCGATGTCTGGCTGCAGACCAGAATCCGCCTTGAGGACATCTTGGGGAGTATAAGACCGTTTAGGGGCCGGAAGACCCTTGGTGTGCTCATCACCCATGGTCACGATGTACGACATTACGTCGTTGACTCTGATGGTCTTGCCTCGTGTGATCTCCCGCAGTGCAACTTGTACTTGAGGCATTGACTCAGCATTCGGATACTCTTTTGGATTCTTGCCAAGTTTCTGATACATAGTCAGCTTTACAGCGCTGGACCTTGAAGCATTGAACTTACGGTGTATATGATGTACTTTCGGGCTGGTACATCGTTTTGCCTCATTTTCCCTGATATTTCCCGCAGATACTCATGAATTTTTTCGAGAACGAGTTCTGGATCGTCACCCGACAGGATCTCATTCAGTAGCCGCTCCGAGATCTCTTTTGACAAGGCGCAATACTCACGACGCCTCATGTCAAGGCCTTTGACTTCCAGCTTGTCCACGAACTTTCCATCAACTTCGACCATGTTGATCGCGGCATACTTCTTTTTTGCATGCAGCAGTAGACGACGGAAGATGTTGTCTATATCGATCTCAAGAAGGCCATACTGAGCGTTGACAGATCGCTTGAATTCGTGTCCCATCTTTAAAGCTTCAGCGATGTTGGTGGCATTTGTGTTGATCATGACAGAGTCGGTATCACCATAAATGACCTGCAGCTGGCTGTCTTCCGCCAATTTCTTAGTGCTTTGCAGGATTTCTCGACCCTTAAATGTCGTGAGCATGGCCAATGGACGAGCATAAAACCGGGATTGTGTATATCCCAAACAACCGTACATGGAATTGGCAGTCAGTTTCAACGCCATTTGCTTGGTATCCCATAAGGCTAATTGCTCAGCGCTTGCGTGCTTATCCTTCATGAGCTTCTTCACTTCTCTTCGTCGGTTGACCAGCGTCGCAATGAGTTTTGGAAGTACACCTGGTGCTTGACTGACAGGAACCTCAGGGATCTTCTCTTCATTCTCGTTCTCCGAGTTCCCCGAGCGATCGACAGTAGTGAAGCATATATTAAACTCCTGGATTATGCTTGGGTACAAGCTGTTGAAATCCATGACCAGGATATACTTGTCGTAAAGGCCCTTCTCTGGCTCAAAGACTAGACCACCTTTGTACTTGTCCTTCTTCTTAGTATCCGCTCCTTCCTCGCCATCCGCAGGCTCCTCTTCCACTTTCATCTTGCCCTTACCATATATTTTGTCAGGACATATGTACTTGTTTCGATGGAACTCGTGAAGCAGGATGTACTCGTTGCGTTCTGCTCTTGTGCCACTGAGCGTTCTGGCCCACGAGTTTCCGGCAAGGTTCGTCAAAACTTTAGTGAGAGGAAGCATTTGCAACTTGAGGACCAACGCGGCAACCAAGAATGTGTCTGCATCGCAGTGAGCGACATAGTTCAGAAGTCCATCACGAGTTGTGGCCCATGTCTTAAGTACAGCTTCATTGTCCAAGTCATGTCGAATATTGTCTGAACCAAGGTAGAGTCGACACATCTCGGTCAAGCTCCACTGTTGACACTTTGTCATCAGAGACTTGCCCATGTCATTTGCCAGGTCGCACATCAATCGTCCAGCAAGAAGGTGTCTTTCAGAGAAGAAGGAGCTGCCACCTTTGTTGAAGTTCTTAGGCCAATCTCCACGTTTCATCCTCCCGATTCGATGCCAGCCAGGGGTTTTCTTTTCACGCAAACGGTTTAGCAGAATACTGTAATCGACTTCTTGTAGCTGAAATCCCATGAGAACATCTGGGTCGGTCCTCTCGAATAAAGCAAGGAATCTGCTGAGCAGAAATTGCTCACTCTTCTCGAGCATCAAAGTTCCACGCTGTTTCTTGCATTCGGCCTCGAATCCCGTTGGGTATAATGACGAAGACGGCCGCATCACAGTGAATGTTGTTGATGGCAATCTCTCTGGCGGTGTCGGATCTGTCAACGACACATCTTCATACACTCTAGCGCTGACCATCAGTATTTCTTGCTTGTTTTCCTTGACATTCAGCTGTGTCCTCAAGGCCAGGCTCATAAGCGTGAGTCGTGGCGCTTCAAGGTCTTTTGAATCAGGAATCGGTGTGATTAGCAATGGCTTTGTGACTGCACATTCCAGCTTACACCAGGATGCATTATTGACGGCCGTAAAATCAGCATCTTCGATCCGGAGCCAACAGGGGCCCATGATATTCCTGAAGAGCACGAACTGCTCGAATAGTGCTGTGTTCGTGCCAAAAACCTGGGAGAAAGTCTCGCCCTGGGAATCAAGGGCAAGTGCCTGCTTGTCGTAGGGATAAAGAAGTTTGAGATAATCTGCTTCTTTGGGGACGTCTGGGAGCTCAAAAGCGTACTTTCGCGTACACGGCTTGATCTTGTGCATGCCCACCTTGAGCTTCGACATCAGGGCATCAACCTCCTGGTACACATCGTTCATTTCGACCTCTTCAGTAGTCTCGTGACCATTACGGTGCTTGTACTTCCGCGGTAAAAAATACAAGTTGCGCAGAATATTGTCGACCTTGATGAAAGCACTGACATACTTCCCGGTAGTCTTATCCTTGACCTTGCCAAAGAGGCAGAGGCTGCCGTTGACCTCGGTATAATCCATCCAAAACATTTGTAGACTACCATCATCTTCGACAGCGTCTTGGGGTCGCATTTTGCCAAACGTTCTACTATCTGAAGCAGGACAGCTCACGATGTTCAGCTTCGCCGTGATGTTCTTCCATGCTGAAGCATCTACGTCGGTAACTGGAGGCAAGGTCGGAGACGAATTGTCAGGAGATGGCAGCCCAGCAATCTGGATCTTGGGAGGCGGTCGACTAGCTTTCATGTTGATGTTTGAGGTTGTGGCATCCTCGTCTCCAAAGGCTTGTGCGAACTCCATGAGATCATCGTCGTCTTCCTCCACTTTTACTTGAGCGTGTGATTTCCTTGCGACTGCTTTGGCGATTGGTGAGGAAGGTAATGGATCGCTCATCGGCACGTTATCTTCATCTTTCATTGAATTGAAAATCCCGTCATCGTCTTCAAAGTTTGACTGGGCCGGTGGTGTATTGACCAGCAGATCCGATTTATGCCTTACCTGACGTTCCTGAGTAAGTGGAGGTGACAGGACACGGATTTTCCGACGCGTCTCGGACTTGATGGCTTTCCGAGCATGAGAACGAGCAGGTATAGCATTCGTGTCTACCTCTCCTAAAAGACCTGCCATAAAAGCTTCATCCTCAGCCGTCGCCTGTACCTGTTAAGAAAGATCAGCAATGAACACGTCCAATACTCAGACCTGCTTACTTTGGGTTTTGGCGCAGCAATTGTTGGACCGTTACTGAAGTAGTTCATGATCTTGTGATTTGTCTTTTCATTCTTCTCCTGGTCTTCTTCGCGTTTGCGTTTTGCAGCTTTGCCCTTTAAGGGTGCGTCACCTTCATCCTCACTGCTGTAGTATTGTCGCTCTGCTTGCCATTCTTCGCGACCGTCGTCAGCATATCCCTCTCCTTTGTCATCGACGACAAAATCATCTTCATTGAGTCGACCCCTGACAACTTTCTTGTAACCCTCCTCATCAACTTCATCGTAGATGGCTCCCGGGTCTTCAATCTGGTAAATGTCAAGACGCTTCTTGCCCGAGGCTCGCAGCGCGCGGAGTTCAGCAAACTTTTCTCTTTTGGACATGTTGCAGTGTTTGGAGTACACGAAAAGAGTAGATTCGATTACATGAGAACCATGCGAGTGGTTTAGGAATATCAAAGGATGGAATTTTCTGTACTGGTAGGAGGAGGCTGGAATTGGAAGGGAACTTTGGAGACGCGACTTTGCGTGAATCAGGAATCGCGAACCCTTGCAAGCTTACTGCAGTCTCTAGCCCCAATGCGAACACACACTTCTTGGCATTAAGTAGGAGCGAATCATTGCCGGATTTTATGGTCTCTGCTTACTACATACTACTATGGCAGGAGGCATAAGTATTGTTAGCTTCAAGCTAGAAATTTTGTATTTAACACAGCCTTAACAAATTTGCACTTTACTGGAACGACGTTAGTCTGTATAATTCTCAGCACAGAGCCAATCATCAAAATTATTAAGGAGCCCAGACTTAAAAATAGCTCCGGAGGACGCCCGACCTTTGTATCAAAACCTGGCCATCACTAGCTCGCGCTGACAATACTTATGCCTCCTACCGTAGTATGTACTCCGTATTGTCTTAACATTCCCCGAACGACTATTAGACTTAAGAATCTGTATTTCGGATCTTTCTATCTACAACAACATCCTAATAACCATCATCCAATTTTGCAATTTGGCGGACTACTAGTACTAATACAAATAAAGCAAACCCCCAAAAACCGGGCAATGATTTGTTGACCCGCTCTCGGGCGCTTCTCGTTATTCACTTTCAGTGTACGTTACGTATTTTCGAGCTCACAAATGGATAACGGTCAGAACTGGAGGTCCGAAATGATGCTTACAACTGCTGCTGAAATGGCTATTCTACTCGAACCCCTCTGCAAGAGTCTTTTGTGTTTTGCTCGCGAACAACGCAAGCAAGGTGGAAGCATGGTGGAACAAATCATCCACCTGACTTCTTGTTTCAATTGCCACCAAGCCTCTGACTCGGCATCAGTTTACAGCAGGACAGTGTAGAAGAAACTCTTTCTCCTAACATCCTCACGCATAGCCGCTTTGTCAAAACTTCTCAGTTCATTTGCTTGATCAAAGCATTGATGTTATCCTCTCGATTGCCCAAATCACCTCCCTCAACGAAATGCCTGAACTTTCTGGCTCTGAACCCGCCAGTTGGATTTGAGAGCTTGAAAGGCCACAAGAAGTTGCTTGCTTGCTTGAAGTTGGGTCCCACTGTGTAGATTTCATGGATTAAATCCTCCATGCAGACAATGCCGAATTTACCGAGGTTGTCCTCAATAAGCTGGTTGTCGGTAAGAGGGATACGTTGCTTATCGATCTTTCCATAGCCACGCTTGTAGATGAGTTCGCGAACCGACTTCAGGTTGGGATACCCATACGCAATGTACGGATTGACGATGGTCAGCATTTCGGAGGTGGCCTTTGTCAGTCGGATGAAGACGCCATTGTTGATCTGAATGAGTCGGAGGAGCTGAAGGATCTTTCGTGGCTTTGGTGCGATCTTATTGATACTGCTATTCATCAGATGATTTGCCATGCAACCATTACCGGGATGACTTACCCCTTGATCCGAATGACAAACACGAGTTTTGGCTCCGCTTCGACAAAGAATGATCCCTCTTGTTTGCTGAGTCTGTTCAGACGAATCTTCTCCCTTTCTGCATCCCGATATTCTTTGACGTAGGACTCTGCTCGCTTGAAGATGACCGCACGCTTCTCTTTGTTGGCCTGCATAGTTGAAGCGTCAGCAAAACCGCCATGACAAATTACATTGAAGTTCCGAAGCTTGTCATCTTCGCTCAGCCCCGAAAGATGGTATAAGAAAGGCGACAACATTGACCCAAAGGTCTAGTCGCGTAATTGGTAGTTGTCATCACCGAACCGACCCAAACCAAAGGGGTTTTGTAGAAGCTCACCTTCTTTCTCTTCTCAAGTTCCGCGATGCTTTTTTCTCGTGATTTCTCCTGCGCCTTGCGCTTCTTCAGCAGTGTTTCAGGAACGAGGACCTGTTCCTTCGTTGCCACGCTCCTGCAGATAGCAAAAGAGACTGGGTCAGCATGGCCTGCACACATGAGTAAAAAACTCGCCGAGTCGGAAGTGCAGCCTGAAGCGCATTCTCGGAATAATTTATGCGAAACTCGACGGAATGTATTTGATCGGTGAGAAAGAAGAGGAAAAGCAGCAAGCTGACAATGCCTTCTATCCTTAAATCTCATCCAACAAGACCCTGGGCAAGCCCAAGAAGTATTCGCTGTTCTCGGGCTTCGTGCCTCGACAGAAGAGCCTTCGGCGAAGTCAAGATCACACGATACTGAATTTGAAGAAGGAAACTCTCATCTCCATTCTCAACGCCCCGTTGCTGGTCAAATTGTAGCAACATCGAAAAATGAGGATTTTCGTCCTCACAGTGACCACAAGGGATTTATCAAGCTAGTGCATCGGAGCATATCCAGCGTGAAGAGCAGAGCACAGCTGGAAGCATGAACATCGTCTCGAGGTGAGTAGCACTTACGTAGTCGAGGGAGCCATCTTTAAGGTAAGGAAATGTTGGATGATAGAGGGTCAGGAGAGGTATCGTAGGTGGATGTGCTGCGCTTCAAATTGCGAAGATTTGGGCTTCAATTATGTGCCAGTGTGCGGCGCTAGTCTTATTGAGCTAGCACAAGATAAGATTAGTGAGTGAACTTCTGCCAAGGTTTGTATCGTTGCCAAAAACTCAACTTCAACTTGGCTGCTATCAAAGTAGTTACTAATATTTTGGACTTGCCCTTGTAGGCTACTTTTACCTCTAAGAATCTAAAGCACTTCGTGAGCGCGACAGTCGCTGCTGGAAGCTGATGCTTCGGCTCAGCACCAGGTAAACTTGCAAGTTGGGTTTCTCTCGACGTCATGTCAAGCCGGCGAGGTGTTGGTTTAGGTGCCTTCACAAACAAGAATCAGACATCTCAATCCTATGCTTCTCATGGCTCTCAGCTCAAGTCCTCGAATGCTGCTTCTCTCCAAACACAGCTCTCTGTTTTCCAGTCTGTTCTTCACACATTTGCCCTTGAACATGCCGCGGACATTAAATCGAACCCGACCTTTCGCGCTGAGTTTGCGCGTATGTGCAATGCCATCGGCGTAGATCCCCTAGCAGCCAGCAATGTTAAAGGCAAGAAACCGAAGAGCCTGTGGGCGAGAGTACTGGGCAATGATGTCAATGACTTCTACTTCGAGGTTGCTGTCCGGATTGTTGAGCTTTGCCGCGCTACAAGGACAGAGAATGGTGGACTACTTGGAGTGACGGAATGCTGCCAGATGGTGGCGAAGGGCAAGGCGATTGGTGGTGGCCTTCAAATCACCGAGGACGATATCCTAAGGGCCGTGAAATCTCTAGAGCCGCTCGGATCAGGTTTCAATGTCATTAGCATTGGAAGCAAGCAGTATATACGGTCAATCCCGAAGGAGCTGAATACCGATCAGTCAAAAGTGCTAGAAGTGCTGCAAATTCTAGGCTTTGTAACCATCTCCATGCTCCAGATAAATCTACAATGGGAAGAGGCAAGAGCTACTACTGTTGTTGAAGACTTGGTCGCAGATTCGTTGGTCTGGGTTGATGTTCAAGCAGAGGAGACCGAATACTGGTCGCCTCAAAATCTATTGGGCGATCGGGGTTGAAGCACTGTCAATTGCCATGCGAACGCAAAAAATCAATTGTGGGACCCACAAGCCTCCTATATTCCCAGCCGAGAACCGAAGGGGTACCATGACAACAGAGCTGAAATTAAGAGCAAGACCAAGCAACAGCTACTGACATTGGTAATTGACGATTGCGTGCATTCCTTGTTTTCGGCTAAACGTGTCTAATCACCGAATAGACTTGTACTCGTCCTTTAGTACCCACTTTCCCCTAGCTCTGGAGCCTTTATCCAGTGTCGCAATGACCTTCAGTGTCTCCTTGAAGTCCATAGTGGCCTGAGGTGTGGTACACAACCGATTGAAATGGTCAATCAGCATCTGCGTATAAGCACTGCCGCCATGCCCCATCAAATAATCTCGTATCAACTTTCCGAAGTCCCTTCCTCGAGGCGGAGTTGATGTTCCGGGTCTAGATCCGCCTGTGATGGATCCCGTAGGCGTGGACGCTCTTGATACGCGTCCGCTGTCTCCCCTGTCTGGGGTGGTATTGACATTCACTCCTTGTGCCCTCTGCAAACCGGCCAACAGGCTTGAGCTTAACGGCCCCGCTCTATATCTGGCTGAAGCACCAAAAGCGCTTGCTGCACTCACCTCCTGCGGCTTTCCTACGACGCCAAATTGCCCAGTCCAAGTCGGTGTTCCAGCAGGTACGGTTCTTGCAACCTCGCCTGCTCTCCTGAGTTCCTTCGCAGCTTCAGCGGCTACCTTCTTCGCTTCCTGTTCGATCATTTGTGGATCAGCTGTGATCACTTTCTTGCCACCAACAATCTGATCATGTTCGACGGCTGAACGGATGCCTGAGCGAGCGAAAATACCTTCCATGACCCGAGATTCGGAGTTTGTACTGCCCTGAGTAGCAGCTTGTTTCTCTTCGGTGGCTTCTCCGGCGAATTGCTCCGTAAATCGAATACCAGGAACGTTCTTGAGATCTAGATCGATCTTTTCATCTTTTATAGGCTGCTGACCATCCTGAATTTGCGCGGGTGGATGCTTCGAGGTATTCGTCAAGTACTTCACTTCAGCATCTTTAAACAAAGTGGTTGTCTCGGTGGGGGCTTTCTCGTCAGCAAGTGTGAAAAGATCATGCAAATCGCTGAGATGGAACGTTTGCCTCTGTTTGGGGTCTCTCAAAATTTTGTTGGTGAGGAATTGCTTGAAGATTTGCCGATGGTAGATTTTCTCCTCTATGGTACCTGCTGTCATCAGACGGTAGATTGTGACCTCTCTTTTCTGGCCGAGCCTCCATGCCCTCTCGCGAGCCTGCAGATCAGTGGACGGATTCCAGTCAGGATCATAGATGATAACACGGTCTGCTCCAGTGAGGTTGATGCCCAGTCCACCAACTTTAGTTGTGAGCAGGAAGACATGTAGCTCTGGGCTGTTGTTAAATTCGTCAACCATGCTCTGCCGAAGCTGAATGGGAGTATTGCCGTCCATCCGCCGATATGTGAGACCTCGCATAGATTTGATGTATTTTTCCAATATATCGAGCATGATACGGTGCTGTGCGAAGAGGAGGGTCTTATGGCCACTCTCTTTCCATAGTTCCAGAAGCGAGCCAACTACCTGCATTTTTCCTGACTTTGCGGGATTTCCATAGTCGTAGCCTGATTTACCGGCAAGGTTCTTGTGGTCTTGCAGATCTGGATGGTTACATATTTTGCGAAGAATGTCAATACCATAAAGAACTTGCCGTTTACCGCTGAGAATTGATTTCATCTCTTCAGAAGCCAGGAAGTCTTCGTACGCCTTCCGTTGGAGCGCTGTTAATCGGCAAAACAGAACTTGTTCACTTTTCTTTGGCAAATCTGCTGCGACATCGATCTTGAACCTTTGAAGTAAATAAGGGCTTATGGCGTCTTTCAAGGTCTCGGCACATTTGAGCGCCGTTTGTACTTGCAGATTCGAAGCATTGGCATACCCTCCTTGCCTGATCGGTATCTCAAATTGAGTACGGAAATTGACTAGGGTGCCCAAACGCATTGGGAAGACAAAATCGAACAGTGACCACAATTCTACAAGATTGTTCTGCATCGGAGTGCCTGAAAGAATGACACGATTGGGTGTTCGCAGCTCTTTGCAGTATATTGTGATAGCTGTGTTCGGATTCCGAATCTTGTGACCCTCATCCAGTATCGCATATTGCCAGCTAACTGGAATTAGGAGCGGAGCATAGGTCTGGAGACCAGAATACGTGGTTACCAGAACTCCACCATGTTCCAGAATTGGGTTCAGCACTTTCTTCGCACTCTTCTGACCCGCCGTTAACTTCACTCTGCTGGCATTAGGATCCCACATCTGCTGCAGAAGTCGCTCTTCCTGCGTACTCTCACGATGCAGGTTGATCATACCGCTACCAGAAGAATGAAGGATGGTGACCCGGAATGGCGGCCACCACCGGTGGATTTCATTGACCCATTGCTTCATGACAGTCGCAGGGCAAACGACAATTATAGGCTTGGTTAACATGTTGCTGTAATGTAGACCTGCTAGAAATGCAATGATTTGAATTGTTTTGCCAAGGCCCATTTCATCGCCAATGATACCTCCAACCTTTTGAGAGTATAACTCCCATAACCATTGTACTCCTGTTTTTTGGTAGTCGAATAGACTGGGATATATGTCTCCAGGTATCCTGTACCCTCCGTCAAACTGCGTGTCGTCGATCTCTGGATGTGGCATATGCGATTCGTCTTGCGCTTCGTCACCATCTGACATGTCCCCAGTATTTGTGTACTTGTCCTGTGCTTGGTTCACCTTTTGTGCTTTGCGCCGGGCTTCGCGTCTTCGTGAGCTCCATCTTTTCATACGCGATCGATAGACAGCTTCGTTGCCATCGTCAACGCCACGAAGATCTTCGATTTCTGCATCTTCATATCCCGCGGCTGCTTTTACTTTTCTTCGTCGCTTTTCAGGGGCTAATGTATCTGGCATGGACTCTGAGTCATCCTCATTAGCGGGAATATCGCTGTCTTCAGCGGCAGATGGGGCTGGGGTCCGACTCCATGCCGACTCATCAGAGCCATTGGGTGAAGAATGGCGTTTCATTGATCTTGCTCGAGCTGGCAATTTCCTCCGCTTTCTTGGTCTATCAGACTCATACTCGTCTTCCGAGCTCACATTCGACACCTCGCTCGTTCTAAACCCGGGCTGTCTGAGATTCCTATGCGACATGAACTGTAGGGTCTCCTTGGGAAGTTCTACCTCTTCCTCTGGTGGCTCATCTTCCGCGTCCAGGAGCGCATCTTGCAAGTTGGATGCTGAACGACCTTGAGCAGCGAGCCCGAATCTTGAGAACGGTGTAATTTTCCCTGTCCTGATGAGATAATCACGTTGTGACTCGTTGGCTAGCCGGCCGGAGCCTGAGCCTTCGCCTTCGCCTGTAGCTTGACCGACTTCACGACGGCGTTGATCCATGCGGTCTTCAATCTCGACGAGATCCGCAACCATCTCATCAAGTTGTACTTGAAAGCGGTCAATGTCATTTTTCAGCTTTGCTCGCTGGGTCGTTCCGATAGGCTGTGAAACTCGTTCTCGGAGCTTTCGGATCTGTGATTCTAGTTTCTGCTTGCTCGCGCTGGTCTTTTCGAGCCGCTGTTGATCACGTTCATTGGCTTGCTCAAATAGCAGCATGTCCGCCTGACGGCCGATGTCTTTTTCCAAGTCCTCCTGATCACGAACCTCTGTCTGAAGATCTTTTAGTCGATCTGATTCTGTAATAGACGCCCCGTTCTGCTCGTGGGTGGCCATCACGGCAGAACTGCTTTGGTTGTCTTCCGGGTGGCCGCGATCACCATCCATGGTCATTTGGTATATCTAATTCGTCCTTGACGTATGTGTCTGCCGTAGTCACAAAAGTTCGAAGTGTTTCTGAAGTTGAATTGGCTGCTACTAGAAATTATGGCAAGGGCACTCTTCAGCGCTGAAGCGAAGATGTAATGGGAATATAGAGGACAAGGTCAGGATGTCAGGCTATCCTTCTCGACTTGGTTAAATGCTCCACATCTGATCTTTGGCATGACATGTAATCCATGAGATGCATGCCGAGTACTGCCTGAATATTACAGCTACAACCGATAAGGCGGCTGCTGTTGAAGTAGCTTGATGGTTGCAAGAGGCAGCAAAATAGTTGTAACGGCAATGGCGATAGAAAAGTAATTCTCATCCAGTCCTCATAATGTGGCGCAGAAATATGGACGAAGTTTGGACACCAGCGGCATTATCTAGAGGTCTCGTAAACATGGGATTTGTATGGCGTACGCCAGTGGTCCGAAGGAGCACAACCTGCACTTGCGATAGAACAAGATGATTTCAGGCTGGGGGTATGTGATCTTCCGGCATCATCAGTCTCATAGTAGTACAAATAGTACAAATCTCACGAGAGGATCAAGCCACATGCTTGGCAAGGGCGCGGCGGAAGATGATTGGCGTTGGAGGCTGATGCCAGAACAACTCACGACTGATCCGCATTTGTGTCGCTGGGTCACTGCACTACCACAACCTGAGTGCTCCCTGCTTCTTCACGATATCACGATATCACGAACGTCGAATCCCGCCTCGCCACTCTAGTATCTCTCTCGATAGCCGCGTCTGAAGTGAAGTGCGCTTTCAGCACCTCCCCGCGTCTTCCATTTTATACGTCCCTCACCGAACTCGATTGACCCCCCAATTTACATCCCTGCCCCAAGTCGTGAGCCTACTTGGTGAAAACGCAGATCATGCAGTGGATCGGGTAGTTCTGCAGCAGCTCTCTTGCACTGTCTCGGTCTCTAGACTTTACCAGGTCACGATTTTCTTGCCAACGGCTTGTCTGGGCGCCGCGCTGTGCAACGTGATCACCGTCTTCTGAGGAGAACCGCATCTGAGGGACAAAGGAGACGGATTATCCAGACGAATTCCCACTGATAAAGTCGGCTGGCTTTGGGAGATCGGCAACATGAATCATTCTGGCCAATTTGGGCAAGGTATTCCCACTGCCCCTATGCATACAGGACACGAGGTTGGTGGGCAGAACCTGAATGCGGCAAGTTATGGATATGATCAATACCAGGCAGTGGCGTCAGCAGCGAACAATCTGTCCGTCTCCACCACGCCTGCTTCAACTCCCCATTCTCACAATTACAACAGCGAAGGGGATGTGCCCATGGAGGATGCAGACCCGTACAACCGAACCAAATATCCTTCACGGCCAGCACACCACCACCGACCATCATCGCAATTTATCGCTCATGAAGGCTCAGCCGCTGCACAGAGATATTCCCCCATGAACATGCTCAATGCTGCTGGACAATATACATCGAGCCCAAAATCTCAACCCCAATCCCAGGCTGGCTACCCTTACCAAAGCCAGACACCTCGCTCCCGACAATCCCCCACCCGCCAGAACCATTTCGGGTCCCCTCAACAGTATAACGACTCGCCGAGTAAGCTTCAACTATTAACCCCTTTTAGAACATGAAATCGTGGCTGATTATACGGCGAGATATAGCCTCTGGCCGATACAGCTCTCAGTTTATGTCTCCAACCCAGAATAACGAGTTGAGCCCAGATCAATACTATGCACATTCTCCTATGGAGCAAGTCTCTGGGACAAGAAACGGCAAATCACAGGTTCCTATGAGGTCGCCAAACACGTCTGTGGCTCGGATGCCTGGCGCCGGACCAGTTCCAAGATTTCAGAAGATCAAATCTGTGCAAGAACTGCAACCTCGCATCAATTCCCAGCCACCCTTCCGGCGAGCCAATCCAGAAGGTGGCTTTATTAGCGTTTGTGGTTCTTGGAACATTCTCTGTAGTTGCTGCTAACTTTTGCCATAACAGCCATTGCAAGCGTTGACAACACACTTGCCATCGACCTACAGAATATGTAATCCCACATTCAAATACGAATCGTCCAGAAATCCTCGGAGAGTTCTCACGAAACCGAGCAAAGGCGTCAAGAACGACGGCTACGACAACGACGACAGTGACTACATACTGTACGTAAATGACATACTCGGCAGCGAAGAGACTGGACACAAGTCAGTATCGCCCACAACATATGCTTTTCGCCAAGCTGATTCGACTAGGAATCGGTACTTGATATTGGACGTCCTTGGTCAAGGCACTTTCGGACAGGTTGTCAAATGCCAGAACCTGAAGACACAGGAGGTTGTTGCCGTCAAGGTGGTCAAGAACCGGACCGCTTATTTTAACCAAAGCATGATGGAGGTTTCAGTGCTGGATCTAGTAGGGAGTTCTACTGTACTGGGAGAATGTAAGCTGACCGTTACAGCTCAACACCAAGCTCGACAAGAACGATGATCACCACATCTTGCGTCTGAAGGATACTTTCATCCATCGACAGCATCTCTGTCTTGTTTTCGAACTTCTAAGCGTCAATCTTTATGAACTCATCAAACAGAACCAGTTCCGCGGCCTCAGCACAACTCTCGTCCGTGTATTTGCACAACAGCTACTGAACGGATTGACCTTACTCAACAAAGCTAGGTTGATACACTGTGACCTGAAACCTGAAAACATTCTCCTGAAGAAGTAAGTTATTTGTTTGCTGGAAGCAGGCAGTAGCTGACCTGTCCCAGTCTTGAGAGTCCCATCATCAAGATCATTGACTTCGGTTCGGCTTGTGATGAAAGGCAAACCGTCTATACATACATTCAATCACGCTTCTATCGATCCCCCGAGGTCCTGCTTGGACTTCCGTAAGTGATGTAGAGACTTTCTGGAAGTACTGGAGCTAATTTGGGATCAGTTATTCTTCTGCTATCGACATGTGGTCCCTCGGTTGCATCGTTGTCGAGCTGTTCTTAGGATTGCCCCTTTTCCCCGGATCGTCAGAGTACAACCAAGTCTCGCGCATTACTGAAATGCTTGGCCTTCCCCCAATGTGGATGCTCGAGATGGGAAAGCAGTCTGGAGAGTTCTTCGAAAAGACCAGCGACGAGTTCGGACGGAGGTCGTACCGGCTCAAAAGCATGGAGCAATATTCACGAGAACATAACACCAAAGAACAACCGAGCAAGAAGTATTTCCAAGCTACTACTTTACCAGACATCGTTAGGAGTTACTCGATGCCGCGGAAGAACATGAAGCAAGCTGAAATTGATCGAGGTTTGTTGGTTACCCAAGCTCAAGAAATGTACTGATCAAAGATAGAATTAAACAACCGAGTAGCCTTTATCGATTTCGTACGTGGACTGCTCAATATCAACCCACTTGAACGGTGGTCACCCCAACAAGCCAAATTACATCCATTTATCACCCAGCAGAAATTTACACAGCCTTTTGTACCACCCATGAACCTTAAGTCCCCGTCTTCGACCAAATCTCCAGCGCCAGGTGTGCAACAGCAGCAGCAAGCAGAAGCAGTCAGCAAGCAAAGAGCTGCTCAAGCTGCTCAAGCCCAATCTGCGGCGCAATCTGCATACGCTATGCAGGTGAACCAATATCAACAACAACAGCAACAACAACAACCGCAACCACAACAACAACAGCATACTCAAGCTCCCCCCGTATACAGTAATATGTATCCCGGACACCAGTCAGGCGCTCCTCCTCCATACCCGACACATAACACAAACTATGGGCAACAGATGGGGATGATGGGTCAGGGGCAGGCTCAGATGCAGCCAGCGCATTATGCGGCGCAACAAAGTCTCTACGCCCAAGCAACAACAAGGGCAGGACGTCAACGCGCATCCACCATGGATCAGCAGCAAGGTGGCATTCCTGCTTCTATCCAACGTGTTGCCAGTCATTTAGACCCAAATGCACCTATCAGGTTGCAACCTAGCCCCGCCTACTACCCTCCTCCAGCTGATGGTTACGTGGACACACCCGGAAGTTCTCGGCGGCGTCCTGGAGGAGGGCAGCGAAATCGCGATTTCATTCGAACGCTCGAGGACGGTGCTATGGGCGATGGCTTCATGAATAAAACGCAATGGCACTGATGATTGCATGTTGCATCCCAATATCACGGTGAGAAGCCACATTGTCCTGCGTGCTGGCGAAGCGGGCATGAGTTCTGAGCCTTGGAAACACATTTCAGCTACGACCCATCTCGACTCATCACCCAAGTCCGAAATTTCATGGGCGTAGTAGATCGCTTCCACGATCATCGCCCAGGGCCGCTACTGATTCTAAGGTCAGTGTTCGATCGCGAAGCACAACCGCATGGCTTCCAACATTCGGTATGAGGCGTTGTGGGACCAGACGAGCCTACGGGCCTGCGAAAGACGTTACAACCTGAGCCAAGCTTTAGATGGAAAGCCTTCCGGTGCCGGAGGGCGGACACAAGAGGTCTAGCAACATATGAAGCTCTTGAAACATGAGTCGAAATATGGTTCAAATTATCTGGATGCATTCTCAGAGATGTTTGTGATCAGCTGGGTCTCACCTCAAACGAGCTGTGTTAATAAGACTGGTAGGAGAGAGACCGGAACCTGAGCATCAAGAATGCACTCGGCGTAGGAACTGCTCAGAGGCTATTCCGGAACAGCGGAGGACAGTGTTGGTTGACTGTGCATACGAACTCGAGCCGTACATCTCACATTACATAGTTGCTGCCTCCAATATTCGAACCACGCAGGTTCATTTACGTTCTTCGTGAATGCATGTACTAGATGTACTATGTGGCCCACGGGCAAAGAATGTGCCTCGTCAAGTTGGGTTAATAGGCATGAACTTGATTTGCAAAACAGCATTTTGGCTCTACACATCTCAGAGGCGTGACGTAGGCCTTTTGCTTGCTGAAGTCAACATACTAGTAGTAGTAGGGGTTTCCAGCTGGCGCCCAGTCATCCGCTGGAGAGTCATAAATGTAGACGAAGTAGTTAAGAATAAGTAGTAAGTACGGAGTAGTACTACTTACATGGAGAAGGGCTCGGAAAATGACGGACTATTGGTTCTTAGCAAATTAACCGATGATTTTGTCATTACAAAGATCGTCCAAGGCGATTGGATGACCATAATCTGACGGTGCAATGACCGTAGTTTGAGAAGAAGACATCTGAACTGAATGAGTTCTACTGGAGATTAGATATCTTAACTACATAGTCCTGTGCAAACCACATCATATTATGGTTTGGTTTGAATTCAGCACATATTGGTGGTAATTTAGACATAACTTTCAGAGGGCCTCTTCCTGCCATCAGGACTACTAGTACTAAGTACGGTGGGCTATTTGCAGCTTGGCGTAAATCTTGGCATAAAATCTTGGCCTCCACTGCTACGCCGCACTGCGATTTGCACAAATTCCTCGCAGAACCGCTTCACTTACGATCGTTTCATCCCCTTCGTCCTTCCACTTTCGAGAAAACTGAGTAGAAAGGCTGCTGGCTTACGAAACGAATTATCAACCACAGTCAAAATGTCATCGAGGTTCTTTCACGGAGGAGATAGTGACAGTGAAAGTAGCTCGTCTGAAGAGGAAGAGCTCTATGGTGTTGAAGGAAAGGCCGAAGATTCAGAAGAGGAAGAATCATCCGAGGAAGAATCAGATTCCGAAGAGGAGTCGTCTTCTGATGATGAAGGTGGACCGATTGGAGCAAGCCGCTTCATGAAAGATGTCGCCAGCAGCGATGAGTCCGACGATGAAGATAAACACACAATCGTCAAGAGTGCCAAGGACAAGAGGTTAGAGGAGCTTGAGGGCACAGTACGCTTGATCGAAAATAAAGAGAAGATTAATGATTGGGCAGTGATCTCAACGGGTATGTTTATAACGCCGCCCATCTGTGATAAAGCTGATTCACCTCCCCAGAGTTTGACAAAATGAATCGCCAAGTCATCAAGATCGTTCAATCTGGCACCATTCCGAAACTCTACGTGAAGACCATCTCCGACTTGGAGGACACCATCAACGAGACGATTGCCAAGCAAAAAACTACAGCCTTGAAGATGAACGCCAGTAACACCAAGGGATTCAACGCAATGAAGCAGAAGATCAAGAAGAATAACAAGGACTATGCGACCGAAGTAGACAAATACCGGGCTGACAAGGAAGCATACATGGAAAGCGACGAGGAGGAAGAGGCTGTGCCTGTGGAGAAGGTGCGCAGGAACCGAGTGCAGCGGATCGACGAGCTGGATGCTCAAATCGACGAAGAGGGCTTCGCTACTGTAGGACGAGGCGGTCGCACGCTGCAATATACTCCGGAGAGTATTCTGAAACACCTTCGAACCATAATCGAGTCCCGGGGTAAGAAGAACACTGATCGTGGAGAACAGATTAGGATTATGGAGAAACTGCTCGAAGTTGCCACCACACCATATCAGAAGATCCGTGTGCTTTTGACCCTGATATCCACCAGATTTGATCTGACTTCCACCTCGACCCAAACCTATATGTCCCAAGAACAATGGCGATCAGCCGAGCGCGAATTCAGTACCCTTCTCCAGATACTGGAGGCATCATCGACATACGTCGTGACTGAGAACGCCGACGAGTGGGACGATGACGAGAAGGCGCCACAGCCAGCTCCGAATGAGGTCTTCAAGATTCCGGGAAGCATTGTATCATCCATAGAGCGACTCGACGACGAATTGACTCGATCCCTCCAGCAGACAGACCCTCACACTGCTGAGTACATTGACCGACTAGGTGATGAGCAGCTGTTGTATAACGATATTGTCCGGTCTCTGATTTATATCGAGAATCTGAAGAAGATGGAGAATGTCGAGACACCTCCAGAGAGTGCCAACAGAATCGTCATGCGGAGATTGGAGCACATCTACTTCAAGCCAACTCAGGTCGTCACCACTTTGGAGGAGAACACTTGGAAAGCCTTGCCTGAGAGATTACAATCGGAGATCACGCCCAGAGGCGCTGTGAAGGATGCCGCTCCTCTTGTGCAAACACTATGCAACTTTCTTTTTCAGCACAGTGAAGGCATCCTCCGAGCTCGTGCTATGCTCTGTCAGATATACTTCCTTGCCCTTCAAGATGACTACTGGCGGGCTCGCGATCTTGCGTTGATGAGTCATTTGACGGAGAACATCTCAACATTTGATATCAGCACTCAGATACTGTTCAACCGAACTCTGGTTCAGATCGGGCTGTGTGCTTTCCGAGCAGGTCTCTGCTACGAAGCACAAGGTGTTCTTCAAGAAATCTGTGGCTCTGGTCGACAAAAAGAGCTCCTCGCCCAAGGTGTCGTTATGCAGCGTTACTCACAAGTCACACCAGAACAAGAACGTCTCGAGCGACAACGCCAACTCCCATTCCATATGCACATCAACCTCGAGCTCTTGGAATGTGTCTATCTGACCTGCAGCATGCTGCTTGAAATCCCTCTCTTGGCGCAAACAGGCTCATCGCCAGATATCCGCAAGAGAATCATCTCCAAAACCTTCCGCCGCATGCTAGAATACACCGAACGACAAGTATTCCAAGGTCCACCAGAGAACACAAGAGATCACGTTATGCAAGCTTCGAAGGCACTAGCGAACGGTGAGTGGCGAAAATGCAGCGAGCTGATCTCCAAAATCGCCATCTGGGATCTACTAGGCAAAGACAAAGAGAACGTCAAGACCATGCTAGCCGCGCAAATCCAGGAAGAAGGTCTCCGCACCTACCTCTTTACCTACGCTCCCTACTACGACACCCTCTCCCTAACCACTTTATCCGGCATGTTCGACCTGTCCGTCAAGAAGATCGCCGCCATCATCTCGAAGATGATCTCGCATGAAGAGCTTGGCGCAGCGCTGGACCAGGTCAATGACGCTATCGTCTTCCGTAAGGGGGTTGAGCTGTCGAGGTTACAGAGTCAGATCGTCACGTTGAGCGAGAAGGCGATGGGCATCCTCGAGAGTAACGAGAAGGTGCTTGAGACCCGGACTTCTGGCATGGCTAATGCGTTCGTGAGGAATGAGCAGAGGGGAGATAGAGCGGGGAGGGGTGGGAGGGGTGGTGGAAGAGGCGGGATGAGAGGCGGGATTGGGGGACAGGCAGGTGCGGCGAGGAGGCCCGGTGGTCAGCAGTTTGGCGGTGGTGCGTTGGGTGGCGCGATCAAGGCGTGAGCTGGTGATAGTGGACTCTCTGCGCGAATGTTACGGTGGAAGAACCTTAGAAATGCATCGAAGAGGCAGCCGTCTGTATCGAGATGCAGCAACAACTTTGAACCGTTGCACCCTTGCGTTACAGTACTCCTAAACTAAACTCTTGCTGCCAGCTAAAAGAAGCCAACCAAGAGGTAAGAGGTATGGTTCTAACATACAGTAGTTCGATCATCACCACTCCTACAAGTATTGGCTCGTATATCCAACCAATTTCCCGACTCAATTAGGTGTTTGGTCCATACCCCTTTCCTCTATTCCTCCCGTCTTCCTACCACGGGCGTAAATACACATTCTATTCTACGTCTGTCTGTCCATCCGTCCGATTTGCGGTGCAAGTAGGTGGATTCAACTTGAAGGGCAAAGAAAGGCAGGGCTACTGGGAAGTGGTAGCTGGGAAGGGGGAGAGGAGATTCATCAGGAGAAAAGAGGTAAGCGAAGGTGATTTTCGCGTAAAGATCTCGACTGAGACCGAGAGGGGCGTCGTCTCTAAGCGGGATGCGGATGCATAATACTCGTGGTAGTACTGTAGGTCATTCAAATGCCCAGTCTCTCCCAATATGTTGGCGTGCTCCCCATACGCAAACGACTCGCTAACTACGCAAGCACGATATAGTATCCCATCCAACCTCCCAAAGGCCCCGCGTGGCTTTCAGTCCTCCTCATCTCGAATCCTCAGTGCTATAAATCCCCGCTCTGCCCACCCTCCTTGGCCTACCACTTCCACTGCCCTCTTGCCCCTGCACCTGCACCTGCGCCCCCGCATGTTCCGCCACAACGCCAATCGTATAAGCGACCGCGGCGGTTAAAGTCCCAGCCAGGAAGACGCGCTTGACTGCCCTCCCAAACCAGCCTGGTTCAGCCGTAGACGCCTTGTTGGAGCTGCTGTTTGATCCTGTATCTTCTTGATGCCATGTCTGCCCTGAACCGCTGAAGACGGACTCTTGGCGGTGGACTTTGGAGGCACTGGCGTTGGGGGCGATGGATTCTACTACTGTTTCGGCGGGAGAGGATGTTTGAGATGACGGACTTGGGCTTGAAGACGAGTCTTCCATAGCTGTACTACTCGGTTGAGGAGGACCCCCAGAAGATATCATAGGTGTTCTGACTCTCTTGAAGACCAACACATCACCACTTCCACTCACGATCTCATAGCCCTGTTTCTCCATGTCCGCGAAATATGGCAGGAATTTGGCGACGTTGTTCAGACGTGAGAGAACTTCGGTTGGATGTAGCGGTTGCATTTCACCATCTCCGGTTGCTGACATGGAAGATGTCGTCTCAGCGATGTTCATCTGTAAAGTGGAAGAGTCGTACGCTAAAACCTTGTACAATAGAGGAGCTTTGCCTGAAGAAGTCTTTTGGGTGGTAGAAGAAGTTTGCTGGGCTTCCAGTACGGGCTGTTCGGCAGGCTTTTTGGCTGCCACATTTTCTTTGCTTGCAGGTTGGAAAGATCTCGGATCAGGAGTCATTCGTACAGGAGGAGGATGTAATTTAACTTTTGAAGATGGTAGACGAGCAAGTATGGCCTTAAGCTTCTGCGTGACCTCCACACGCGTCAGCTTAGCATCACGCAGAGCATGCTCGCATCGCGCGATCATGTCCTTTATAGCATTACGGTCCGCTCGAATATTGGCTTCCTTGATTGTTTCTGCCAATTGGTCAATCCGTGCAAGACCTTTGTGTTGCCGGTGGTCGACAGTAATTGGTCCGTACTCGTCCTCGTACGTTGCTTTGATCGTTTGAGCAAGAGCCTTCTCCTTCTCCTTCATTTCAGCCTCCTGTTTCATTGCCTCGATTCGGGCTTTTCTAAGCGCCAGGGTCCTCTCCTTGCTCTTCTGCTCCGCGTCTAATACTTCTTTTGAGGGCGTGAATGTTTGAATTGAGCTTGTAGCGGATTCCAAAGCTTTAGGAGCAATTTTGGCGTCAGCCACTGGTCCTCCTTGTTCCTTGCGATTGGCCGATGTGCCCAGGTTTCCTACGGTGAAATTCTCCACGGTGCTGGGTGGCTGCACCTTTTCAATTAGTGACGCTGGTTGCTGGGCCCAAAGTCGATGCCAAAGACTGTTGAGACTCTCCGAAAGCCTCTTACTAGATTTCATGATCGCTTCAGGAAAGACAATGGAAAGACCATCATCGTCTTTTTGACGTAGGTTGAAATCAGTCTCCAGCTTCTGACGTTGGTCTTGTTTAGCCTTCTCGCTGTCCTGCTTACTTCGGCGGGAGGTCCTAGTGGAGGCTCTGATATCGCTGGCTCTCAATAGGTCTAGATCCTCGCTAATGGATTCATGTGCCTCATCTGTGGTTTCCACTTGCTTAGGGGACGTTTGAGCAGTTGTCGGCTTCTTGCTTGATGCTGTCAGACGATCCAGTGATGGCTTCAATCTATCTGAAGGTTGGGGTATGGCTTGTAAGCGATCCAATGAAGGCTGCAGTTTTGCTGATGATGTTGTCTTTGCATTTCCGGCATCTGATATGGTGGTAGGTTGTATAGCGGTAGTTGGTGAACCCTGCTCTGGTCCGAACCCTTCTCTATTGAGCCAATCCTGCTTAGGACTTGCAATTCCTCTAAAAATGTCCTTCGACTTTGCTTCATAAGTGGTACCCGAGAACAAAGGTGCTTCGTCAGTTGTTGACTCGGTAGCGGGTGCCGTTCTTGACCTGTTTTCTGCCTTTTCCGCTGGTGAAACCCATTTGCCATGGTACTCAGCGGTGGTATCAATGCTATTACCTAAAGTCGCCGCCTTTAGTTTACGAAGCTCTGCAAGTCTAGAGGTTTCCGCCTTCAACTCCAATGCTTGTGTATCGGAAGCAGGGTGATCCGAGCAGGCCTTCTTAGAGCTTGATTTGGCCGAATAGCCGAAAACCCGGTGCGGTTTGTAGGGTTTGACAGGTATGTCCATACCCTTTTCTGCAAAGAGCGGGTCAAATAGAGGTTTAAAGGCTTGAACGGGCGGCTGCATCACAGGCTTGGTCTTCAGAACCTTTCGCATGGATATAGGATCATATTCGTATTCATCTTGTTGCTCAGTACTATCGATTGGCCTCGTGGAAGGCTTGGTCGTCGGAGCTGACCGATGATTATCCTTACCTGGTAGCCTCTCATCTGACTGAGATGCAGTGCGTATATTGGAAGAAGAAATGCCACCTGGCGCCGGGGATGGTGGAGTATTGGACATGGCAGATTCTTGCGTCGCCACTTGACTCTCTTTCGAAGATGGGGTTTTCAATATCCAGGAGAAGGAAGACCACGATGTGTTGGTCAGATTCTGCGGGCTTGCCAGACGGCGTCCAAATACAGCACCAAATGGGTCTCTGTCAACGCAAGCCTTGAAATGGGCGAAGTCGTCGAGAGATTGTCGCCCTGTCGTCCTTGGTATCGAACTAGAGTCAGATTGAGATGAATGAGAAGATGAGGCTTGTCCATCATGTGAGTCGGACAAAGCTGTCGTTGACCCAACCCATGATGGCCTCGAGGCGTTGTGTGAAGGATCCCTATCCCATAATTGGCGGCGTCGAATTGCTTTGGAATACTTGTATCTTAGCAGCCTCTCTTTTCGCAACAAATGACGCTGGAAGCTATCGTCCAGATTTGAAGACCAATCAGTTGTTCCACGCTTCCACCACCACGAGAAACTCCGGCGTGAGTTTAATGACAAGGATTGCTTGAGAGCATTGGGACTAGCACACGTGCTGCAAAGAGGCATCGAGCGAACGTAGAGAGAAGTTGACGGCTGTATAGAAGCCATTTGAGATGAGCTTCAGAGCAGTGCCTGGTATCCCTGAAGGGTGAGCGAGAAAGGGAGGCAAAAGTACAGGTTGTTTGAGCAATGCTACCCACTAGAGATCAGCTCTCCGAATCGAGGGTGAGGATTTGATGGACTGCCAACGACTAATCGAGCAGATGGACGAATAGGTAGACGGCAGACTGATGAGGCCTCGGGCGCCTGCAGGGATCGATATGCAACGGCAGAGTGGCGATTAGGAAACGAGGGAGAAAAGAGTGCTAGGGACAAGATGTGCTTCCTGCAGACCTGCTGGCATTGACGAAGGAGTGTTAACAGGTTGCAAGGGTGAGCACAGGCAGAGAACTGTACGGGTAGAAGGAGTAAAGAGTACCAGTAGTAGCAACGTAGCAGTGGTAGCTGTAGCTCTCAACACCATAGGCATGATCCAGGGCATTGGCGGGGTAGATGTGGACAGCCTATTACTTAACTACGTACTACTACGTAAGTAGTAGTAAGTAGTAGTATGGCGCTCGGGACAAGACCATGCCAAGGCCGCTCCCTTCAACCACTGCTAGCAGTAAGTAGTACTGCGTCCAAGTGGATCTCCCATTGCAACTGAAGCTGACTGCGAGTCGTGATACTATCGCATCAAAGAAACAGAGCGCCTGCAACACAAGGGGGAATATGAGAACGGCAAGAAAAGATGGAAGTTTTGTCCAGAAGCGGTAGGCGTCATTTTTGTAAGCCTCGCCTCCGATTGGCCTGCAACAAATCCAAAGGAGAAACACCTGAACCAAGCAACATGATGCATAACCAAATACTAGTAGCCCAGTAAACCCGGGAACTTCGAAGAGTCCATCGAGACCTTGTCCGATATGTTTACTCATCATCCGTCGGCTTCTTTGTCAAAGCGTCCACCACTCTGCTGTAGAACTTCGCAGCGTGATGGCGATTGAACGTAATGTCTTCCTTCAGATAGTAAGGGAGCAGTTCTATCATGTCTTTATCGCGGTTCGAATCAAGCAGAGGCGTGTACAAAAATTCGGTGTCCTCGAAGCTTGTCGTTCGCCCATCGCCTTCGGTTTCAACAACGAGCTTGAAATGGAGTGCTGTGGGAACAATCAGCAGAATTTCAATCTGACTTGCGATAAATGTACTCACTACCATTGCGACCAGTTTGGATACAGTCATAAGCATCGCCTTCATCTGCCCTTTTTACGCTTCGAATGATGAGTCCAGTCAGATCGCTGTACAGGTCTTCTTTCAACTGTGCCGCTTGAGCCGCTTGAGCCGCTTCTGCGCTACCAACCATGATAGTTCTTGCTTGATTGCTATTTTTCATTGCGCTGCCTGGTGTCCTAGCCGTCGCGCTCTCAACCGATGTCGCTGAGCTTCTTGCTGCAGCAAGCTTGGCTTGTAGCGCCTTGATCTCGTTCTGCGCAGCCATAAGAGACGATTCCAAATCGGTCACTTCAGAGCGATACTTGGTGGCTTCCTGCTTGGAATTCTGCAAGTCAATTTGCAGCTGCCGAGCGTCATGCGCCAGAGGCATTTGCATTGCAAGTTCCTTCTTAAGGGACTCAATTAGCTCTGCCGATGCTGATGTGGTGGCTTCGCACTGCTTCCGGAGCTTTTCCATATTGGCATTCGCCTCCACAATACCCACGTCCTTGAGGTTGCGATATTTCAAGTCGATGTTTTCGAACTTTCTTGTTACGTCGCCCAGCTTCCGTCGCAGGTTGGGGTCACCACCACCTCGTTCTGTGTCAGAAGAACCTCCAGCCTTTCTTCGGACTACGTTCTCTTGACGGGATTGGGATGCGCTGCCTACAGATTTCTTCACAGGACGTTGAGGGCTGCATTCTGCGTACGCCTCAACGATATTATCGACCTCCTGCACTATTGGATGTGGATCATCGGCGATAACTTTCTGGGTAACTTTGGGTTTCTTACTGCCCGTCTGCGCTTGAGTGTGTTGCACAGCTAGCGGACCGTGGCCAGAATCATCGCCATGTGCTACCGTGTCCTTCTTTGCTCTTGGCTTCCTCTTTGCTTTTTGACTGACTTCCTGCTTTGGTCTCTCGGGGCCTGTCACTCCATCCAACTCATCATCTGATTGCGCAACAGGAATTCGAGAGATTTTTTTGCTGGCCTGTTGAGATTCCCCATTGACCTGTTCTTCCAGTGCTTTCCGTTTTGTGCCAGTTGCCTTGCCCACAGCTTTCTTCGCACCATCCTCTTTGACTGCTTTCGGTTTTCGAGGCGCCGCCTTCGGCTTGCTGACGCGACTATCTGCGGCCTTAGGCTGAGCGGCTTTCTTTTTTGGTAGCTCACTTTCGGACGCACTGGAGATGATCATATTCTCATCAACGAACCGCGTAGAATCATCCATATCCGTATCAATCAGACTAGAGATACCCCTCATGTCTGTTCAAGGACTCCAAGCTCGCTATGGGTGAATTTGATTGAAAAGAGGGTGTAGTTGATGGTGCCACAGGCGATGATGGTCCCATTAGAATCATCTGCATTAGGAAGCGATGTAAACAACCCTCGGCACGCTAAATTAGTGCAGATCCTAGGCAAAAGCATGGCTTGTGGCTTGTGGCTCGTGCCTCGTGCTGTGCCACAGTTCTACGGATTTGGTACTCGAGCAGTACCGGGGAGGGCATCACACCCGATACTGAATCAACCCTAAATACTATTCACCGCCGACTCCTTGGAGTCCTGGAGATTGCGTCTATATTGACGGTGCTGTTCCTTGCAATACCCAGACCAATCCGCCGCGGCCGCCGCAGCCCCAAGTCCTTACATCATGTCCTCTGCTCGAAGTGAGAAGTGGCAGTGGGTCCTGCAGGAATTGTTCCTTACCGCCAGTCTCGTAAGACCTTACCCACTTGAAGTCGTCTGATTATCTGCCGAGTACTGAGATTGTTTAGGGTGCTTCGGTGTACTATGTAGTCAGATACCTCACAAACAAGATTAATTTCGATCCAGAATCAGAGCAGAAAGAACAAGCCCGAAGAAAGTCGGCGGCGATACTGCGACGGCTTGATCAGCCTACAGACTCGGATGATGAGCGCCAAGGCGCACATGGACGGCCCAGAAAAGAGGATCTTGTACTGTCACAGTACGAACAGGCTATCGCGATGGATGTGGTTGCGCCTGATGATATACCCGTGTCCTTTGATGATATAGGAGGCTTGAAAGATATCATCGAGGAATTGAAAGAGTCGGTCATATACCCTCTTACAATGCCTGGTCTATATTCAAGCTCATCATCCTTATTATCCGCTCCTTCTGGCGTCCTCCTCTACGGTCCGCCAGGGTGCGGAAAGACAATGCTCGCAAAGGCGCTGGCGCACGAGAGCGGGGCATGTTTTATTAATCTGCACATCTCGACATTGACAGAGAAGTGGTATGGTGACTCGAATAAGCTGGTGAATGCCGTTTTTTCATTGGCGAGGAAGCTCGAGCCCACCATTGTCTTTATAGACGAGATTGATGCAGTGCTCGGAACTAGAAGGAGTGGTGAGCACGAGGCAAGCGGTATGGCAAAGGCCGAATTTATGACCCATTGGGATGGTTTAACTTCGGCAAACACAAACGGCCAACCGCAACGCATCATGATACTGGGCGCAACGAATCGAATACAAGACATCGATGAGGCAATACTCCGGCGGATGCCGAAGAAATTTCCAGTCTCGTTGCCTTCTGCCTCCCAAAGATATAAAATTTTAAAGTTGGTGCTGAAGGATACAAAGATTGACGAAGAAAAGCTCGATATGGAATACCTGGTCAAGGTCATGGCAGGAATGTCGGGAAGCGATATCAAGGAAGCATGTCGTGATGCGGCTATGGTACCAGTCCGAGAAATGATCCGCCGTAAGCGGGACAAAGGGGAGCGCATGGAGGCTGACCACGGTCTTGACGTGCGAGGAATCAGGACAGAGGACTTCTTCAAACGTGCCGGAGGTATCCAGACCATCAAGAAGAGCATCAAAGATCACAACAAGACAACGGAGAGTAAAGACTGGAGCACAGAATCGTCTGACTCTGATATGGAAGATGCTGCACAAGTACAGCAGCCGTGATGGTTGGGCGTGAGATTGGAATTTCCATCGAAAAAGCATAGATGATTCCGAGCGTGCCGGGGGAGGACACCAGCACTGCGGAGGACTTTCTACCGAGTAATATATTATTCTAATTCATCCTTTAAGGTGGCTGTTGTGCGATCACGATTTTGTAGCTTCAACATATGATGATGCTTTGGTGTGATGCCCCGCAGAATCCAGATCAGCCCAATTGCCCCCGAAAAGTCCATGTTGGTCACCTGCCACAAGCGGAACACCTTGTCGACCCAAGCAGGCCTTTTAGAGACATGGTCGTGGACGACCACTTCTAGTCTCTGCAACGCTTACAGTTGTCAACATAGCAGCAGCTTGCATCCTGTCATCAACTCCTGTAATTGACGATGAGCGCTGCCACAGAAGATGTGCCTTCGGCGAATGGTCATACAGGTCCAAGCGATACACCTGCTCCTAATTCGCAAACACCAGGCCACCCCAGTTTCCGAAGGTAAATTGATCTTTCCATCGAGTGAAGTGTTGTTTTCTGACATCCTGAATAGACAACGAGCCAGTCGGGCATGCGAGGTACGTTGTTCTTCTGTTATCGCGACAGGCCGAGTACCTCGGCAGCGAGAGGGAGTCCTATCTTTGCGCGATCTGTCATCCATGCTGATTCGAAGTCCGCCATAGACGTGCCATTCTCGGAAGGTATGTTTGCATCGTTCCTCAAGTCAAGCATCGTGCCAGGACTAAGGTGATCAGGTCCGCTGTGATGCAGCGTCCTTAGGGGTACCATGCACAAACTGCGTCGCATTTTCAATCGAGTGCAAGATCCCTGTACCCAAGCGCAAGAAGAATCATACAAGTAAAGCAAAGGAGGGAGATAGGTTAGCTCTCTGTACCAAATGAAGGTATCGACTGACTGCCCTGCAGTGACCGAGACACGACTCAGGACTATTCACCCCTCCCAGATGGACCACACCAGTATCAAGACAACGGTAATCATGGCTATACTCCTTCCGATGAGCCACCAACATATCAGTTGTCTGAAGCGCAGGTGGCGCAGCAAGAGTCTCAGTCGAATGTCCTCACTCAATTTATGAAGCCAAAATTTGCACGCGCTCCAATCAAAGAAGCTGGTCGTGTTGCGTACTTGGGAGAGTCTTCGAACCTCTCCCTCCTTGTTCACGATCGGCATGGCACCACAGATGTTGTCCACTATCCGCTGCCGGAGAACATTAGGGGATCGCGAGCAAGATTGACGGAACCAGATCAGCAAGAGATAGACATCCTACAACAACGAGGAGCCTTCTTACTGCCACCGAGATCGTTGTGTGATGAGCTGGTGGACTCCTTTTTCAAATGGGTTGCTCCCGTGGTGCCCGTAATCAACCGAAGTCGGTTCATGAGAAGATATAAGGACAATAAGAATCCCCCTTCACTCCTGCTTCTGCAAGCTATTTTGCTCGCCGGGTCGCGGGTGTGCAGCAATCCTCAGCTCATGGATGCAAATGGCTCTACTACGCCGGCCGCCATGACCTTTTACAAAAGGGCCAAAGCTCTTTACGATGCTAACTACGAGGATGACCGAATCACCATCGTGCAAGCCCTGATATTGATGGGTTGGTATTGGGAGGGACCTGAAGGTGGGTGTAGAGGACAAAACATCAATGATAGGTACTAATGACTGACCTCGCATTAGATGTCACCAAGAATGTCTTCTACTGGACAAGAGTAGCAATTGTCGTTGCCCAGGGCTCTGGCATGCACCGAAGGTGAGATCTCCTGTGTCATGTGCATGAATGTATGCTAATATTCACAGTGTGGAGAACTCTCAATTGAGCAGGCCCGACAAGCGGTTGTGGAAACGTGTATGGTGGACATTATTTACTCGTGATCGATCGGTGGCTGTCGCTCTTGGGAGACCAGTCTCTATCAACACAGACGACTCTGATGTTGGCATGGTGTCGGAAGACGACTTCATTGAGGATGAGGTAGATTCTCTTGCTGAATACCCTCCAGACCATATCCATGTGCAATTTTTCTTACAGTACGTGAAACTTTGTGAGATCATGGGACTCGTCTTATCACAGCAGTACTCGGTGGCATCCAAAGCACGGAGAACAAACGCCATTGATTTAACTCACAGCGATATGGCTTTGGCCGATTGGCTCCAGAACTGCCCTCGAGAAGTGTACTGGGAGCGTCCAAGGCATCATTTCTGGTCGGCGTTGCTTCATGCCAACTACTAGTACGTCGTTTGAACCTTTCGGGTGGGATTGATGCTAAAACCCTCCCAGCACGACGTTATGCTTATTGCATCGGGCGCACATGCCACCTGCTTCTGCATCGAATGACTATCACGCGATGGACATGGCATACCCTTCCAGAAATATTGCTTTTCAAGCCGCCGGAATGATTACCTCTATTGTCGAAAATCTGCAAGCACATGACGAAATGCGATACACCCCTGCTTTTATGTGAGTTCATTGGCGACAATAGCCATCGCAGTCACTGATACTATTTGAATAGCGTGTACAGTTTGTTCTCTGCATTGATTATGCATGTCTATCAGATGCGGTCCTCGGTTCCTTCAGTAGTCTCTGCGAGCCAAGAGAGAATCAATGTTTGCATGCACGCCATGAAAGAGGTGTCCAAGGTTTGGCTTGTTGCCAGAATGGTCCACACATTATTTGAGTCAATTCTCGGCAATAAGGTACTGGAAGAGCGGCTTCAAAAGACGGCAGGAAAGCGACACCAGAAGAGCAAGACTGGTCCCTCGAACCCTGCTCCGAAAATTCAAGCAATCGGGAAGCGAAAGTTCGATGACATGGAGTTTGGTTACTCGAGCGGACCACCTGCGCCACAACTGTCATATGAGCGTTCACGCCCACAAACGCCTTCTCTCACCCCCAACCGCGATCTAGGCCACCAGCCTGCAGGGGTAGCAGGTCTATCTTCGCCGCCTCCAAGAAACGCAGCAGACCAGTTCTTACCGCCTGGACCATCACGAGGCGGCACACGACCAGCCTCGCCTTTCCCTGGAGGATTTTCCATCCCCGCAACACCTCCAGACCTCTTCCTGGTAACGCGCCATTCGCCGCCAATACCACAATCCTTATGGGAGAATTTCCAGCCTGACCAGCTGTTTCCAGATGGAACGAACATGACCATGTCATTCTCCTCTCCCAACGGCAACCCCGTTGATCCTCAGCTACAGATGCCGACACACTCTCATGATGATGGTAGCTCTAGTCTTCAAGGGATGGCATCTAACATGGCTCTACCGCAGGTCAACATGGGCATGCATACCCAGGGGTGGTCGATGGATGAGATGATGGGTCATGGTATGGAGCATCAACAACAAGACGATAATTGGAGTAATAGCTCGCGGGGTGTGCCTGCTGTGCCGAACGCACTGAATGTGGAAGATTGGTGAGTGAAACACCATTTGGTTTCTGCTTGCAGGCACAGGACCTCTGCTGATCCTCATTGCAGGTTCCAATTCTTTGGAATCAATGGTGACGTGAATGGTATAAGCGTTGACGGTCAGTAATCTGAAGGTGTATGCTGGTGGAACAACCCTGGAGCACATGGGGTTATTGCTGAGGACTGCATCTACGTTCCCATAGAGGTTGCAAAACAACTAGGTTAAGTTAGCTTAGCATAAGATCTGCTGCACGGGCTTAGAGCATAGGATACACGGCACTGTGCATTGACGAAGTACAACGGAATACCCTGTTGTCAGAGTTCAGAATACAGAGCACAGATCGGACAGTACTCCAGTAGAGAACCACTGCAGTTAACCTCAACGCTGACCTGCCAGAAATAGCAGCTGCTTAACTAATACAGTATTAGTCCTCCTCCCACCTCCTGTTTCAGCCTAGCGTGGCCTGACCCTTGCAGTGACGAATGCGCAACGGAGGGACTCCTCGACTCGGTATTACTGTAATCCCACACAAGCATATCTCTCTCTCTCTCTCTTCCTTTCCTCTTCCTCTACCTCTTCTACACCCTGTGAATATGGGCTTTTCACCTTTTTCTGCGCAGTTAGACTCTTCTCAACAATCCTATTCTCATGCAACATCAGACTTCTGAATGTCTGCTCCAGCTCCCACAGATGCTCACTCAGCAGCGCTCCGAGGGCAGCTGCCATGAACCCGGACGGATCCACCTACACATCTACCAGCCCTAAGGATTGCTCTATCAGACCGAGAAACAACAGGCGCCTCATATCCTTCGATGACCACGATGGCTCGACGCTTCAGGATGCCGGCAGCTCAGCCCCCTGGTCTCAACCGAAATTCACGTCTCCCTTCCCGTCACGAGGAGTATCTCCAATTCCTGGCGCACATCCCTCAAGGCCACTCCCGGCTGCGGCCGACCCTAGATCGATAGCGCCTTCCAATTACGACTCGGGGAAAACCGGCCGCGGACAGACGAGTGCAGCTTCTGGCTTGGGATTGTGGGAGTCCTGGTCTTCAATTCAAAGCATTGCCTCAACTCTGCTTGGAAGTGACGCGCAACAACCTCCTAAAGGCAAGGGCGGAGGTACATTCAACGCTTCAGTGCGGAGGAAATTCGGCAACGCCTCTGGTGTAGGGGCTACTACTCCTCAATGGGGCCCGGAAACAAGTACTGGGCAGACACATATAGCGGGTTCGAAGGAAGAGAGGCAGGCCATGGTTCAAGCCAAGAAGCGAGAAACGTTACTCCTGGCGGACGCGAATGGACTTTCCGGTCTGTATACTCCTCATAAACGACGAGACTCCAATCTAAGGCTGCCTGATACTGCTACCCCTGCCGAATATGATGGAGACGCCCTTGTCTACGTACATAAGGTCAAACCACAAGACACCTTAGCAGGGGTGATGATCAGATACCAGTGCCAACCAGCGGTGTTTCGGAAAGTCAACAGACTCTGGCCGAATGACAACATACAGATTCGGGACCACGTCTTTCTTCCTGTTGAAGCTTGTGCCATTCGAGGCAGAAGGATCGACACGAAGGAATCAGTGCCAGACCACAACATCCCCACCTGTGTCGGCCCTAACCAGTCCAAGAACAACTCTAACAATCATTTTCACCTGCCCGCAGATGACACATCTCCATCCTTGACACCAAACACAAACTCGGACCTCGACCCGGAATACAAACACGAATACTTCGTCTCGCTTCCCAACATCCCCGAATCCATCGAGATAGCCCGCATTCCGCGCCGAACTCTCGGCTTCTTCCCTCCCTCCCGCCGAAAATCCCAAACTCTTTCCGATCTAGACCCCTACTCCGACACACCAAAAACATCCCTCGACATGAATTCACGTCTCAACTCGCTATCCTTGAGTACCTCTCCCTCCCGCAACCGCCCGAATCGATCTCAGCGCAGCAACTCCAGGTCAAATACTTCCTCATATTGGGCTGACCGCCTCAAAGGCCCGGGCGGCGTGGGTCCGCTCCGCTCCTCCGGTCCTGGGCTAGCAGGTCCTGGACCAGCCGAGGATAGCTTGAATAAGATGTTTGCACATCATCTTCCCAATGTCGCGCCGAGGGAATCTTTTGACTCGGTGCGTTCGACGGGTTCAAGCGCCACAGCGGGGCTCGAGAATGTCGGAGGCGTGATCGAGGGGTGGGTGAGGAAGGTGGGATCGAAGATTACGGGGAACCCGGAGCCTGAGGAGGTTTATAGACGGCTTGGTGGTGGTGCTGGTAGTGGCGGGAGGAATGGGATGGGGGATCTGATCGAACTGGAGGACAGTAGCGGAGACACAGTTATGGAGGAGCATCACATGGGCGTCCTGGGTGCATCGACATGTGCATCTGTACCTGCATTTGATGGGCCGGCATCCCGTCCAGGTTCTGGATGGAATTCTCGGGATCTACTGACCTTGAAAGGGAAAGGGAGTGCAGGCGTAGGCGTCACGGCCAGCGCTACAGCGAGTGCTATAGAGGAGGAGGCATTACTGAGGGAACGCTTCCCGCCCCGCGGCAGGATGGTCGATGCGCAGACCAATGTAAGCAGTAGGCGCCGATGATCTGGAATGGGAGTATAGTCGTAGCATTTTCAGATACAATGAAAACATGTCATATATTCTGTAGTTTCATCCCAACTTATGTATCTCATGTCCCGAGAAAACAATGCATGTGATGCTGAGAATTCGCTTCTGTGCTATTCTATTCTACTCTACTCCGTGGTGTCATTCATACTGACTGCCACCTGCTGTGAGGAAAGGGTCCTCCGTCTGGAGACGGAGCAGCTGTGCAGGAGGAAAAGGCAACTTTCAGAGTGCAATGGGTGTGAAAGGAGCCTATACTGCGGAGACTGCTGTTGTGCCTGAAAACGGTGATGGAATAAGAACACACATTACAATAACCGGCCATGGCGGCTGCCATAGCTGTAGGTTGTGTGCAAGGGCCCAACGGAACAATGGCCGTATGGAAGGGGTGTCAAGGCCGTGAAAGAGATGGGGGGGTTTTCACGAGGCAGAGCTTAAGAGGGGGCTGGAGTGGTGAGGCAGAGAGGGCTGTCCTTGGAAGGAGACGAGATGATTAAGATCTAATAAGTAACCTACTCTGTGTTATGATTCCTTCTCCGCCCTTCCGATATCAATACCGAATCTTCTCTTCCTGTTCGACGTTGCACCTGGGGTTCAGTCGTTCCACCACCCAAGACTGAATAAGTAGCCTTCAAACACCCCGGCTTTCTTCAACTCCTCATCACTCATCCACTCTGCTCCCTCATGAACCACAGCCCTCGAAGCCATCTCACTACCGGCCAGCAGCGACATGGACCCTGCAAGCGTGCACGGGTTATGCGGTAAGGTTCTTCGCATGTCCGTCAGCAGGTAGGCAAGACTTCCACAGACGAACATGACTGCCAGAAGGATCTGAAGTGTGACTTTACTGCCGTTGTTCATTTTTAGACGAGTGGTTGGCAGGGCGATGGTGGCATTGTATATAGGGTTCGGTTGGAGCGGAGCGCTTTGCATTTCTGTATTGATGACTTAAGCCATGAATTTACTGTATAGATAGTTGGTATGATTAAACAGTTTGGCTGCATTTGCGGGGCCCACAAGTTCCTCTGGTGGAGTAGCGTCGGAGCTGGAGACAAGAGTATGAAAAAAGGAGTGGAAACTATACCTTATATCGGCTACAGGCCGCTAATTTGGTATTAAGTCATACATCTTGTCTATAACATTATTCTTGATGGCGGTGAGCCCACTGGTGCTGTTCTTAAGAAGACGAATTGTACTCTCATCAATGATCGGTGGATGAGACTGATCAAGTGTGAAGTAAGGTAGAGTAAATGTTACTTGAGCCTGTACTTCCTGTATGTGTTCGGAGCAAGTCATGAAGGTGACGTTCTCGTAGGATGTGGTTCTGGCCTTAACGTTACCGAAGATGAAGGCGAAGGAAGGGCAATCAGATAACCGGATTTCCGGAGAGAAAGTGCCGCTGATCGTGCCGACAAAGTACAATGCGTCGGGGCGAAAAATTTGGGGATCCAGGCTGTTCCTCGTAAGGAATATCAAAGTCAAAGCGGTACGGAAAGTATTGACCAAAACAACGTTGTGGTTGACGGAGCTTTGATGAGAGTCTAACCACGGGGTTTCCTTGGAGAAAGAAGAAAGAGAAGACGATGTCTTCCCGTGGTACTAGTTTGCAGTCTAGGAAGGCTCTCAAAGCAGGTAGTTGGAGCGACAATGTCATACTACCGGTTGCGCTCGCAGCCTTGACAAGACCCATCGATTCTTCTGAAAGCTCGATGTGGGGAAATGCTAAATCCTTGTACGTGAAGGCAGGGGAAGACAGATTGAAAATCTCCATCATACTGACTTTCTCCGCGATACTGATTGTCTCTGTGGCATGGAAATAATCAGCGTTGTGTGTATTGATGTTAAATGAGTCGAGTTGTTGGACGGTAACGTTCGAGCTGACACTGAAATTTTCAATGATAAGTAGTCCAGACACGATGATAGCCAGTAGAGGCCCAGCAAGGCCGGCAATATTGGAAAAGAGCGCCCCAAATTGACGATCGATGGCTGCCCTATACAAGGCGACTGGAGGAGGCCTGCTCATAAGCTGACTAAAAATGCTTCTCCGAGCAGCTGAACTTCCGCTTCGCAGAGCACTGAAGGGGGTGAATGTTGTAACAGTAAAATCTAACATGTTGAACAAGGTGGCCAGTAGTAGCACAACAAATGCAGGTATATAGCGTATAAGGATGTTTATAGAACTGGACTCATGGGCGGTGTCTCGCTGTAGAGGCAAGAAGCCATTGTGGTGATCTGAGGCATGTTGCAAGCCTTCAAGAACAGCTATGAAGATCAGCGGTAATGGTAGCACGCCTGCAATGAAGCCTTTTTGGATAGCAATTGGATGATGCCAATGGCTGCTCTTGGATGGTACCTCTGCGATATTTGGCATTGGCTGGGTATCGGATGCTTGAATTCGGAAGCTGGCTTCATTGGGTCCTAGTTAGCTAGTAAAGTAAAACTTGGCTAGTTTATGTCGTATTTTGCCGGTAGGTGACCGTCCTAGGTCTAGGAGAAGGTTCTGTAAGCACTGGCTGTTGGCTATGATTATTGCCATGCCACCTAGAGAATTGGGGTTTCAAGGCACAACGTCATGAGGCCTGTGAAAAAGCAGCATCAGGGTCAAAAGGATGAGAAGCGCCAGACATGATACGATCAAGGCCATTGAAGGGGTCTGAACCTTCAACCTGTCCTCCGTATAGACGAGCCGACCTATGCTGGTCTTTGAAGCTGGCTTGAGCAAGAACTGCTGAGCGTACTGCGAAGCAATCCCACACAATGTCTTTGCAGCAGCACTCTTCATTGTCTCTATGTCAGCCAAGAAAACTTCAAGACTTGATTCTCCCTGCGTCAAAAGCATCAACCTGGAGAGAATATCAGGCCACTCCTCTACAATATCTGTGGAAAGACGACGTTGTTGACCGCCAATTATTCCCTGAGAGTAATCGATTGCATAACATAGAGCAAGGGACAAATCATTCACCGTAGAGTTTTCCAGCCGTTTCCCAGCCGGCACCTCCGGCTTCGAAATGGAATATCGATCGCTCTCGTCCTGCTTGGCAGTATCGTAGGTGACATTTGCCTTGATTATCGAATAAGCTGGTTTACAGATGACTCCATTGGCGCGGTCAAGAGTCACCCAAAATGAATTATCTTCAAAGGAGGTAGAATCTCCATGAGTCTGATAAGCCGGAGTCTGCATGTATCGGTAATCGGCTACAGTAGCCATAAATCCAACGTCATTTTGCCCTTGTAGAAGAGGAGAACCGGTCTCTGTGTAGTATATAGTACCAGATATGCAATCGACCAATAAAAAATGTCCAATGATTTGCCTTGAGGGATAGGTCTGGTTTCCCAAACTCAGGTTGCTAAAGAATACGTTTTTGACAACGCAAGAAGGAGCTTCGAAGGTTGTAAAATTATGATAGTAAGGCCCAGTGCCTGTCTCCGAGTATTGCTCCCCAGGAATAGCTTTCGCGGCTTCGCAGTCAAATTGAGGTAGCATTACATCAGCCTCCACAGATATTTCTGAATTGGGCGGTAACGTTGCTTTAGCTCCAATACTTGGGTAAGCGAGATACTCTTTTGCGCCAACAGGCCATGTTAGATTGTTCGTCAAATGACCGTAGTAAGCGAGGACTGGAGTGCTCTAACCATCTATGGGTAGTGATGTTACATCAAGATCTGTTCTGACTTCAATCGGATATGTCGAGTTTGTCACCACGATAGGACTTAGTACCAAGAGGCCGGTAGAGAAGATTATCTAACAAGATGGTCAGAACATGTGGATGATAGCAAGTTAGAAGACCCATAATCAGTTTTAGGCATGCGAAACCAAGGATGCCTGCAATGACAGATATGCTTCTATGCCTGAATGCCAGCCATAGACTCACAACCTGAAAAGGAGACACGTAGCCAAGAAGGAGACTCCTTGAGGATTCTGCGCCTCGCTTCATCTCATGCCAGGGAGCTAGAACTGAAGAGTAGTACGCTACTTGACGCCAGAGGCCAACGACAATAACGAGCACCGCAGTAGGTCCATAGGTCCAAGTATAGTGGTTTGTGGAGATGCGAGGAGCGAACCCATCTCTATCTCTGGAGAAGTGCCACAACAAAATAACACTCAAGAGCAAAATGATGTAGAGCACAACGAACGCAACCAGTGTTCTCTTCTTCAGCCAGATTGGAGTCCACAGTTGCCTAGTCGGGTAATTGTCTGAGCTCCCTTGAGGTCTGGGTTTTGCAGGTTGAACATCTCTGCCGGAATGATTGTCATCGGTAGGCAGCTCTGAGACGTCTTCGATGTAGCTTGCCTCGTAGGTGGTTCTCGACTCCGTGATTGCTGGATCTGGACTTTGAGACCCGGCTTCAAGTGATGTAGTCCTATTGTAGACATCTAGCAAGCTAACATGGCTTTCTGATCCAGCCGTTACCGGATCCCCACCATAGAGGGTCGTATCCGAAGAGTTGTTGAGTTCTAATCGTAAGTGATGAGAAAGACGGGCTCCATCGCGTTCAGCCGTTTGAGGGTGTGGAGAATCAGGCGCAAAGATAGGTGGAAAATCGCTGGCATAGAAAGCAGATGAGACTGGTTTTCGGCGTATATTAGCCATCCGAGCGGTGACTCCGCGGTCAGCGCTCCCCTCGACAGGCATAACGGCGTAATCTTTGTAATCTTGGGGAAAGAGGAGTATGATCACTGATCAAGCATGCCAATTGCTTATAACTGATATTTTCCATGAGACTCTTCGAACACTGCCTGATCCGAAGAGACACAGATAGACTCCATGTCGCAGGTGGTGAATGACACATGCATGAACATGCTGCTCGTCCTCCGCTGGAATACGCAAGTCACAGCTCCGCAATAAGAGGAAGCTGACCAGGTGAAACGCCAACATCGCAGTGATAGTCCATATCCAAGGCTTTGATGTTAGCGGGGCCTGCTCAAGGAGCACTTTTTCATCCGTGTCCCTGATAGTCTTTTGTGCATGTTTATGCTCCCAGAGTGGTAGAAACTCGAGATAACCTACCCGAGAGATTGCAAGCAAGCAACCACACCGATAGAGTACAGAATTGCATCTAAGCCGACAAGATTGAGTTTCAATGAGTGTGACAAGCTGCACAGCAGAGTGTTGCACAGTAACGTGAATGCAAAAAAAATGATACGTATCCCCAGAATGAGGTTCTCGGCATGATGAAGCCAGGAGCTGCACTCGTCAGGTGGGGAGAGAGTGCCCAATTTCACGTGGGCCAACTGTGCCTATAATAGCAAGGGACACGTTTCGTCCACTCGTAAAGTAAATTAACAGAAGACATTATGCCTACTCACCCGCGTCAAGCTCTCCGCCTTACGTCCATGGAGCAATTCACCCAGCCACCCAAGGCTGAGAGCAAACTGTAAGACGTTTCATCCTATCCAAGGCGACGAGGTAGATGGTTATGTGCCTGGGACCCATTGTGCTCCGATGCGAGGGGCGGTGTTAAGGAGTCGTGGCAGGTTGCACGAAAATGCAAAAGTGGCTTTAGCATTAGAGCGTCCTCCAGGATCATCGGTATCGTTCCAGACATCGTAGCTTTGATTGTGCACTCGCTATTTACCTTCTGCAAGCCATGGACAAACGAGCAATGAAGTGTTACTGCAGTGCTCAGAATCAATCCGAGGGTTGTAAGCTATACTCAATTTGGCTACTATTTCTTGGTAACAGCCTTGCCCATTTTAAGTTTTACAAGGGCATAGATAACGTAATCTCCTCGTAGGTGTGTTTGGCAGAGCCAGCTCAGAAAATTTGAAGGGAGCTACATCTATCCCGTGCGGTGGACCATTTTGCACAGCCAACAGCATAGTCATCCTTCTCGGCTATGTACAGTTGTATCTATAGACCCTATTTCACCTGTACCCAATGCTTCACTGACTCTTCCGTCTCCCCGTCTATCAATCATCGCGAAATGTACTACCTTGAGTAACAGAATACAGTCCGGTGTCCGTAGCATTGGTGATATTTGTCCGCACCACCTCCCCTACCTTGATTGCTCCATTCTCTACAACACCACCCACGGCGGGCGATCCATCAAACCTCTCTAACCGATTCCCACCGTTCAAGACAGTAAAATTAGCCATGCTGATCTCCTCTGGGTTGCGAGTGATAATTGTCGGCAGACCGAAGAAATTAGCATTGAGCTGCTCTTTCGAGACGTGAAGTTCATAGTAGCCACGGTAGTAGGCTTCAGACCATTGAAGCTCGCGGTTATCTCGGATCAAGTAGTCGCTGATGTTATTGGCGCGAGCAATCGTTATGTTTTGACCAAAGGGAGATGGACTGCTGACTGCAGTGCCTGCAAATTCAGCTCCAATAGAACCAGCACCAGTCGCAGGATCATACGGACTCTCGCCTAGCCAGACAAGATCTGAGACCCAGCTTGCAAGATGTCAGTAACTATTGTAGAGCACGCAAGACATGGAAGCTTACTTGGCATGACTATCACCAGCTAGGAAGATATTGTTGCTGATGTTGTTGTTGTACAGAACGGATAGAGTACGATTTCGATTGGCTTGATACCCGTCCCAGGCGTCATAATTTAGGGGCTCGTCAGTCCCACTTAGGACAGACACGTTGACCCTTGAGAAGATGATCTGACTTCCGATGATTCGCCAAGTTGCACCTCGATTCGCTGAATTGATCAGATTCTCGTAGAACCAATTCTCCTGCCGACTGCCCATTAGCGATCTGCTGGCATCGTTCGAGATCTGTCTAATGTAGTCTGTATTCCAATAGAGGTCGGTGATCGAACGATCGTAAACCCGAGTATCAAGCATCAAAAGATCTATCAGATTGCCTATCTGAAAACTTCTCCAGATGCGGAGATTGTCGTCCATGTCCACCTGACTGATTTCTGATCAGTAGAGGTAGCGTTTCGCTGTAGCAGCACTCACCGTATGGGCATCCACTCAAAGTAGGCACGGACAGCATTCATTTTGCGTTGATCAGTGGAGACACCTCCATCTCTGATAAAAGAGTCCTCCGTGTTGTTCAATTCTGAGCTGCCGTCCCGGTAAGTATTGTCGGCGACCTCTACGTAGCATATTAGCTTCGTCTTATAACTTACTAGTCAAGGCCCTACCGTGATCGTCCCAAACAGGTATCCAAGGAAATGTTTGCTGGCTGAGCTGTAGATCAGCATCAGTTTTGTATGTCGCGTGGCGTCTACGATAATCGTATAAACTGTAAATTTCCCGATCAGGCTGCGATATACGGTCGATCGCGTTTCCCCAGCCATAGTCACCATTCCTATATTCGTAAATATAGTCCCCTAGGTGAATGACATAGTCCACGGAATCCTTCCGAGCTGGATTACCGTAGGCATTGAAGAAGCCGAATGGAAAGTTCGAGCAGGAAAACACTGCCAGACCCACTGAGGTCACATCGTCTCTTGCGGCTGGCGTGGTCTTGGTTCGGCCTATTGGGCTCGAGTTTTGTGAATTGCACACGGTGAACCGGTAGTAGTAGTACGTGAAAGCATCAAGACCGGTTGCCTCAACCTTGACCGTGTAATCGACGTCAGAGGACGTATAGACTGTGCCTTGGTTCACAACATCTGAGAGGTCCTCATCTGTTGCCACCACAAAGTTTAGGCAGATGGGCGATCTGGACGGCGGTCTTCCCTCGTCCGTATCATTGTAGATGGGTACGGGGTTGTACAAGGGTACATAACCTGTAGTTGTGCGGTTGTCGTCCACATTGTTCAGCATTGGAGAGCACCGGGTCCACAATATGACTGATGACGGGTACGGATCTCCAGAAGCAACACCGTGAGTGAAATTGAGACTAGCCGGATCATAACTCGCGGAAGGATCGTTCCTCTTGACTACCTTTCGAACGGAAATACCGAGGCCTGGATGGTGGTTAGAAGGACTGCGATAGTTCAGATTCGCGCCATATGAAGCGAGTGAGGTGCCAGCGAGGGCCAGCAAAGGAAGAAGTTGCAACATCCTTTTTCACTCGAGATCTGTGAGTGCTGGCGCTGTCTTTGGCGACCAGCCGGTTGGCAGGAGCTGGGAGTGCTCGCCATCTCTTTGTACTACTCTGGACGGTGTGGCTACATCACAGCTTTCGAACATGCAGGGCCCCCATTCTGGTAGTCGATCGTCATCGCGTTGCCCTGACATAATCCCCTTTTCAGCCATTCGGAGAGCTTCCATATTGCACGCTCTCCAGTGTGGCCGCGTCCGAATGCTGTGCCAGGCAGACTGTTGTGGGCAGCTTCCTCTTTCGTGCAAGACGTGCAGATTTTGCAGATTTGTCATGGGGGGGAAGCTGGTTGTATCCCGCCAACTCGACAAAGCCTGCCTCAGCTACTCTGGCAGCATACGTTCAGTCCCACGCACGTTGAGAACTATCAACGTTCATTTGCTTATCAACGGCGGACGCTAGGAGGCTGCTGGGAATGTCAAGTTAGCTTTGAACAAAGACCGCAGAGCACCCAAAACAATGATTGGCGTGAGGGGGAAACGACTGGTGCCGCTCTTGGCACAGCACGTAGGAACGAAATAAATGAGAATTAGAGCCAGCATACCATACTGTGCACTGTATCAGCTAATCTGTCATTATAAATCATGCCAAGAGCGACACCAATTCTTTCGATGGGCCTCGGGTCCGGGCTCACTACCGTAGTCATGACTTTTACTAACCCTCCACCCTGGGACATCGCTTCACTCCTCCGCTGACTCCTGGGTACTGTGCATAGACGGTGTATTGTTCATACATAGGTATCCTAGGATCCATCTCATCGCTGTCTGATATGAGGAGCTCCAGTACGAGTCACAATGAGGAGAAAGGGCATCGATCTCCATTCTTGTTGCCCTTCACAGCTGTCCGACAAAAGCCAGTTTACAGTCCTCTGAGGGCCGGCGTCCTTTTGGTCCAATAACAGTTCTTTAGATCGCAAAATGACCATTGAGCTAGTGTAACCGTGAAACATGCAGCTTGGTTGCTGAGAAAGATGAAGTTGAGGCCCTTTCTGCAGTTTCTGAAGAGAAGGACCCACTGTTTAGAGATTCTGGTTATGAGATGAACTAATTGAGATCTAGCACGCATCATCGCAATGAAAATGAAGTATGGTATACTGGCGTCTCACACGGGTATCTGTACACCGCAAGGCAGGCATTGTGAAAAAGATGTCGATTCTGGCAAAAAGCTGACTCCTAAGGTCAGTGACGAGAAGCCTACAGGTTGGGAGCCCTCCAGACGGACAACAGTGTTACACCAAGGCAAATTGGTTTCAGTGAGCGCATGTACCTCACCCGGCGGAAGCTGTACTTATCCGCCGTTCTAGCAAACTGTCGAGCTTGAGGCTACAGGGACAGATTCCAAAATCTTGATAAATTCAGCAATCCCGCTCAAGATTCGTGCCTCACCGTGGGCTTCTTTAAGAGCCGTCTCTCCACCTTCTCACCACTCTCGAATGCTTCCATCCGGTCCGTGAAAGCCCTTTGGCTGCCAAGGCTCTGTCTCCTTACTTATCGTTCTTACCATATCCTCATCAATCTCGATACCCAGACCAGGGCCCTTGGGTGCATGTACATATCCATCTTTGATATCCAGAATAGTCTGATCTTTCAAGTAAAAGCCCAAATCAATATCCCCAGCTTCAGTGTTATAATGGATTCCCAAACTCATCTCCTGGATACCAAAATTCGATATCGACAAGTCAACCTGGAGACATGCAGCAAGAGCAAGAGGACCCAGGGGGCAATGAGGCGCAATAGCAACATCATACGGTTCAGCCATGTTGGCAATGCGTTTCAATTCGGAGATGCCTCCGGCGTGAGCAACATCCAGCTGCAGAATGTCTACCGAAGCATCTTCGAGGAAGCGCTTTATGTCCCAGCGGCTGTACAGGCGTTCCCCGAGCGCAATGGGTATGCTGGTCATATCTGAGATCTGCTTTATCCCTTCGGGATGCTCGACCAGTACTGGTTCCTCTATGAAGAGGGGTCGATGTGGTTCTAGAGCTCTAGCCAGCTGCTTCGCCATAGGTCTATGTAGCCGGCCGTGGAAGTCAAGGGCGGCGTCCATGCCAAGCGCCTTCACTTTGGCAAGGCGTTCGATGGCGGAGTCGAGGGCTGCGGGTGAGTCAAGCCAGTCTAGGTCTTCTGTTGCGTTCATTTTGATGCACTTCAGCCCTTGTTCGCTCCGTGCTTTCCTATCAAGATTGTTAATGCTGTGTTCCGGGTTGCGCTGAGGGTCGTTAGAAAATAGACGCACGCAGCGACCTCTATATCCTGAGGTCGATCTCCTCCTATCCAGCAGTACACCCGGCATTTATCCCTCACCTTACCACCCAGAAGTTCGTATATCGGCACGTTTAGATTTCGTGCTTCACAACACCATCAGCTCCAAAAAGATTCAATCACGGAAAGCGTCCTTCCGGCTTCGCAAAGTGGCATTCCAGACCGAATTCTCACCTTTCAAATCCCACAACGCAATATCAATCCCAGCCAGCGCAGACATGAAAACCGCACCTCCACGATAGAACCCTTGTCGGTACGCTGTCTGCCATATACGTTCGATTTCACTTTCTCATACCACCCAACCCCAAGTCAGCACAGATAGCAGCAGAGTAAACACCAGTCTCCCCAGTCTGGTACGGACTTGACGTACTTGGCCTCCATCCCCAGAATCCTGGTCGTCAACTCATCCAAAGCCCCCTCAACCGCCAAACTGTGTCCTTCCAGTGTCGCCTCGCCCCAGCCAGATCTCCCCTCCGCATCGGTGAGTTTGACAAACAGCCAGCGTGGTTTCACGCGGAAATGTTCTATCGTCTGAATTGGCGCCATACCCAACCTTCCTTCATTGGAGGGACTATCAGGGGCAGGAGGAACTATGGAGTTGGTAAGCTCGGAAAACTTTCATGGGTAGAGAAATAGTTGTTGAACGAATCAATTTGAGGTCACAATACTGGATGCAAAAGAATTCAAGGTGATGAAATGACCCACTCACAGGAATAACAATAATGATAACACCCGTCCACGGGCACATATGGAATGAGCCACTAGGCAGTATTACCCTCGCTCCTCTCTCTCTCCGTCTCTCCCTTGACCGCCCTTCCAATCTACTGAACTGGTACTCGTCCCAAGCCCCTTATCCCATTGTAGCTCGTATTGCATAACCTCCTCCTACTCCTCCTCCCGCAAAAGGGGACGCTTCAACACTGCACTCGGCCCAAATGCCAGAGCTAAATGTGCTCCGAACCACGCTTGGTTCGTGTAACCCTTCCCTTCCTGCCGGCGGTACGGAGTATACCGCTACTGGTATGGCACGTGGTACGTAGTACGTAGTATTACGTAGTGTGTGTGGGGAGGGGAGGGGAAAGGGGCAAAAGGAAGTGCCGGAGTGCCACAATGCGGGGAAGACCAGGGGGGAGCTGACTCGCAAAGGGGAAAATCACGGGAGGGGGTGTCTGGGGTCACGCCACATCCCGCATTACTAGCCATCAGGACCTGTTAGGAGTTAGCGGGTATGGTTGGGACCCGATGTCTTCCACACCGACAAGAGCCAAAACGATGATGCTCAGAGGCTCCTTTCGCTCTTTGGACGGGAGGTGCGTAATAAGTATGAAGAAGGCACACGACATTCACACAGCTGCAGGCTAAAAGCTGTGTTATGATGTTATTCCAAGGCCATGGATGTAGACTGTCAAAGCATGACGTAGGCACTTTTTAGCTTCCCTGCTTGTTACCCGCATACACTATTGCGACCACATGGATACCCCCACAGACGAAAAGGAAACCTGCTCAAAGACTCTGCTCCAGCTCCATAATCTCCCGAAACTGCTCTTTGAGCGCCCGAGACGCCTCCTCATCCGGAGCAATACACGGTCGTCTCGGAACGGCGCTATATCCCTCGTACAGTCTCAAAGCACCTTTCACGCCCACAAACCCACCTTTGATGGCGCTCCAATCGCCTCTCGCTACTATTGCTTGCAGCCTTTGCGCTTGAGCGATATCTCCCTTTTTGTATAGTTCCATGACCTTGACGCATGATTTCGGAGCCAGGTTCGCGAGGCCGGAGATGACTCCGTCTCCACCGGCGATCAGTGTAGGGAGGATGAAATCTGCAGAGCCACCTGTGGTGAGGAAATCGCCTTTCGTGCCAGAAGAAATTCTATTTAGTTTGCCCGTATTACCGCACGTGAGCTTCACCCCCACGATGTTAGGGTGTTTGGACAGCGCAAGGATCTGGTCCGAAGTCATGTCTAGACCCCCGGCAACGGCGGGGAAATTGTAGATAAGGAGTGGGATGGGGGAGGCGTCTGCTACAGCGCGGAAGTGGGAGAGAAGGAGATCAGAATTCAGGAGCGAGCCATAGTAGCTTGGTGATATGACGAGGGCGTAGTCGCCGCCGGAGTTCGATGCGTCTATGCAGAGACGGATTGTTTCTCGCGTTGATTGTGCGCCACATCCCACGATGATGGGCATGTCATCGTAGCCAGCCGAGCCCAGAGCTTTACGTGTTGCTTCGGTGATGGCAGCTCGTTCTTCACGGTCGAGGTGGACGGCCTCACCGTTGCTGCCGTGAGTCACGATCCCAGCGACGCCTCTCTCTGCGAGTCGTGCCGCATGCTTCTCGGTTGAGGCGATGTCCACGTCTTCGTTAGAATCAAAGAACGCCACGGTTGGGACATAGATGCCGGGAAGCAACCTTCTGGTAGGGTGTGAGGGTGTTCCATTGTGGCCATTAAATTGGTGGTAGTGTGATATCCCTTTCAGAGTACCATTCGACGAATGGTCAGAAGTGGATATAGCTGAAGGAGCCATGTTTGGTGGTAGTACTTTGCGGGAAAAGGCAACAGTAGGGGGGACTTGATGCAAAACTTACAGATTATTCCGGTAAACGAGGAAACTTGCCTCGCTTTTCTAGCATTGCTGCGCTCAGACAAATCAACTCGTGATGTAACACCTTGCTTGCCGTTATGCCGAAAGACATCCCACTGCCGGGAAGGCGACTCTCCCAACCGGCAGCGTCTGCATCACGGAAGAGATTAGAAGTTGCCATGCCCCGGGATATTCTCGACACCATGGTAGAGGACGGTAAAAAGCAAGGTCAACGCATTGCCTTGGTGCGGAGTTTGTAGGAGTGGGAATGGAATTTTGCTCGCGTCCAGGTGGTTCTAGTACTTTGACAGGAAGCTTAATACCCTGACAGCCCCACGCCAAATACTTGGCCCCTACCTAACAAGGCCTAAACGAGAAGCCCCCGCATTTCATCTCGCGTTTCTCCGCTTCATCCGCTGTCCAAGAAGCCAAACTGACAGGATGCGGCTTTGCTGTCAAGAAGAAAGACGTGGAAGTGCAGAAGGGGTGACAGCCATGAGTGGTCATTGGACAGCATGTAGCAAGCAAGACTACTACGTAGGACTATGTAGTACTACGTAGTACGTGGCTGCTCATTCCTACGTAGTATTGTGAAATCTCCACAAAGGGAAGGGCACAACGTGGGCATCTTCCAAATGACAGGGAGGGCCGAACCACCAATCACACAAGCCAGGAGAATATCATATCCATACCCAAGACAGCTCTCCGTAGGGGAGTCTCAGGTTGACCGTCACGGCCAAAAAGAGAATTTGGCAACATCTTTCATATCATGGGCTGACATGGGCTAAGATCCCAGTTGGCCGGTATCCACATGCTACGTAGCAGGCTGTCAGCCGCTATAAGCGCTCATTGGTTGGATTTTCGACGTGGAACCCCTGCGTTTCGCATGCTTTTGATTGCTCACTCTCTACTGCAATTTGGCAGCTAATTCCGCAGTGGCGTACGGCAAATTTGTACTCACTACGGATATGTGCGCCCTACACAGCTTTTGGAGAGAGAACAGAGCCATTTCTTCATCCTAGTTACTTGATACAGGCAAATGTGCTGATTTTCCATCGTCTACCCTTCTCTACTCCATCTCAGACTCATTGCAAGTTAGATAATTGTCTTCATGTTTGATACTACGCTGGCGGTCACCCAGCGTGAACGTTTTCCATTACACTGAGTTTGCTATGTATAAAAACTAGGGTGAGTCTGCTTAGTAATCCTAATCTTCTCTGTTGGTGACAGTCCACGTGTGGGAAAGGCCCGTATAGAGTCTTTTTCCCCGATTGGTTTCCCCAATTGGTGGTTCCGTTCTTGCCATTCACGGTCATGCATTGTTCGGTATGTCCACATTTGAAAGAAAACTATTGCCTGATCCGGCCCGGTCCAATTTGCCACATATGGCAATACTTCGCTTAATATGTCAGTTTTTTGATTAATTCTCCTTGTGTCCTTGTTGTTAGGATCCCAGGGGAGTGCAAGGGCAATGGAACAGTAGGAGGTCAATGGATTAACTTATTGAGCGCAGAGAACTAGAATCTATCTAGAAGAGATATCTAAATACGAAGAGGCCTTTGTGCGCATAGAAGAACGTAGAACCTTCTTGACAGCTGCCAAACAAGGGAATGATGCAGGCGGTCATAACACTTGTGTACGTAGTACGCTACTACACGGATACTGACATGAAATGTGAAAGCTAGATGTGTAGCATAAGATGGGTATCTGAAAATCGATTTGTACATATGATCTCAATCCACACAAATGATTTCGTCTCAGCTATCCCGATCATCTCCAGAAATATCACCCGGCATCCACCACCTCTTTCTCACAAGTCATACGGTACTCGAACCGCCATCTCAAGCCGACTTCCCCACTGCCGCCTTCTCCACATCATCACTCAAGCTTCCCCCGCCCACACTCTTGCCCCTATCTGCCCCATTCAGTTCCGCACTCCTCCTCTGTTGACTGGGTCGGCGAATCCTCTCCCACTCTAGCCTATCAGCTTCGTCATCCGCTTTGTCCGCAGTGATCTCCACCACTTCATCCTCAATCTCCTCTGGGAGAACTAAGTTTAGGAACAGACTGAGGAATGCTGTAACGGCAAAGCCGGTCTCCATGACCAGCTTTATGGCATTGAAAAATCCAGCAAGGGCGTCGTTATCAGTTGATGAAAAAACATGTTCAAACCACGATGGAACAAGTGTGGCTCCAAATCCGAGTGCCAAAGCGGCGGTGAGGATAAATCGATTTCGGCGCGTGAAGGGCACCGTGCTGATAATGCGGATACCCGAAACAGCAACCGCAGAGAAGAGGAAAGTAGTCATTCCGCCCAATACCGAACTTGGAATGGCTACAAGAGATGCCGCGAATTTCGAAAAAACCCCCATAATGACAAGGAAGAAGCAGGCACAGTATCCAGCCTTGCGATTAGCACACTTGGTCAGCGCAATTACGCCATTGTTCTGAGCGAACGTGGAAACGGGAGTGATAGTACCCAAACAGGCAAGTAGCCCGTTGAGGCCGTCGGCTAAAACGCCGCCCTGGATGCGGGAGTCGAATATACGACCTTCAACCTCAAGGCGAGAGACGTCACAAGAGGCTGTAATGTCACTACAAGCAGGAGAGTTAGCTATCGACCCGGAGGAATGCGCTGAAGACTTGGTTCGGGCTTACCCAATAGCCTCCATCATTAGGACGATGTAGACGGCCAAGAATGGCAAAATCAACGGGGCATATATGGACAAGGGGAAAGTCTTGACCCAGATGAATGACACAGCAGGGGCGCTGTCGATGCCAGCTTTGCTGAAGTAACCACAGGCACCAGCCACGATGCATCCCATCAACAGTCCAACGACGACAGCGCACGATTTCATAATAGGGCTGCCGAATCGTTCGCAGAGGATGATGGTGACGAAAACGAGAAAGCCGAGGCCAATGAATTCTGCTGAACCCCAGGGAAGAGGACGAGGAGCAGTGTTACTAGGACAGAGCTGGAAGGGGCCAGAGGTTGGTCTGGTGGAACAGGTACCCGATCCACCAGCCCAGTTCTGGAAGCCGGATCTGATGAGATTTATACCAATGAGTGCAACAGTAGGACCCGTAACGATTGGCGGAAAGATCTTTTTCAGCCATGTAGGTTTAGTGAAGCTGGCTCCGATTTCGAGCAGAGCGCAAAGTGCAGCTGTACCAATAATTGCACCATAACCCCGCGGACAGGGCAGCCTGGTCCCCACAGCATCTGTTGGGCAGAAACCTGTCTCGTACATCTGCGTCAGAGCACCAGTAGCCACCGGGATGGTTGCAAAGGACGTTCCCACTACAGAAATCAAGCCTGTGCCAATGAAGTACGGTGTGCCGTAGATATGGAAGCGAGTGATCTGGATCGAAGACAGAATACCACAAACGATCAAGGAGGTCGACACTAGATATTGAGCGGTTTCAGCGTCAAGGTTGGCGCCTCCCTGACCTGAGAGAATAATAGGCGGAGTAATAACACCTGCCAGCATGGCCAGAGCATGTTGGAAGCCAAGCACAAGAGCCAGCATGATGGGCAGCTTGTCATTAAGTCCAAAGAACGGTGCAGCTCGTCTTGCGCGTTTGAAGCCTGGGATGTTCGGAGTAAAGAGAAATGCATAATCGTAGTCGCCTAATAGTCCCTCTCTGGTGGTGAATTGCTTGCGCAGGCGACGAGGTATCTCGCTCATCTTTTGTCCAAAAGTTTGCCTGGCACCCGTATTGGGCGCAACAATCTGGTCTGGTCCGTCCGACATTTCGAATGTACTCTTTGCTCGTGCGTTACTGGCAGTTCAACTGGCAGCTCAACGGTGTGAATATATGCTAGAAGAATCACTTTTGGAGGTTATGTGGAACTCTTTCGATCACTTATCAACTACCCATGCAGGGTGGCTAGATGTTCATGTTATTGACGCAAGTGGATCAAGCTGTAGCAGATCGTCGCCGAAATAGGTAGATCTGCGATAAGCAGTCAGATCGACGGGAAGACCTCCAGCTGGTATCAGGCGCGATAGCGATCTTTGATTAGGAGAGTCAATTGGTATGCTATAAGCTTCTGTGGAGGTGCCTGACAACAAGTATAGCAATTGATCGTGTAATCTGTTCGAGTGCAGGGCTAAATCGACCACAGCATTGTTGTTGGGCATCAGGATATATGGTTGATCAACCGCTATATATGCTCTCCAGAACTCATAGGATAGCTTTGGAACGACAGCCCTGTCAAGAGGTTCTCTGTCAGATCTCCGCACAGCTCACCATTCTTCTCCATAGAAACCCGGCGAATCACGAGTGGCCAAAGGCGGGATCCACCGTGAGGGAGTCCCCTTGTGACCATGGTGGCGCGCCAGCAGCAGGAACAGCAGTGTGGCAGATTGGGGAATAGTGGCCCTCCAAGACGCACAAGGATGAATGGTCGAGAGTGACAGCTATCAACGAAGTGGAGGCTAAACAGATAAGCCTGAAGGGCAGCTCGAGACGATTGTAGATGTGTTCCGGTTATGCCCATGGTGGCAAAGTCATGTACCAATTACGTACTACTACTACTAGTTAGTATGTAGTAGTAGGCTCTCGGTAGTTAAGTAACTTAATCTGTAACCAATCATTATGAGCACGGCAATATCCGCATCTTGGTAGGTTTCTCGAGCCATTGTTGCATGCGGACCAGAACAGCCCAGATCCTAGAGAGTGGCTCGTTGCTGTCGGCTTACTACGTAGTAATCCTGAGAACCAATTGGCAAGATGCATGCACAGTGCAGCAAATTCCAAGAAGGTAATCTGGCAAGTTGCAGATGTTGGCGCTTGCACCCCCCCATTGCAACCAGATTAATGGGTTTAGTTTGTATGCTCTGTTGGTATGGCCATGCTGACTGGATAAATCGAGCTCAACAAGATGCAGGAGAGGATAGTTCAAGCAAAGTCAATTGTCTTACGGTTTGAATCTCATCCTAAAGCCCTTATCTCCATCTCCATCAATGGAGGAGGCTATCTGTCTGACCACATAGGTAAACCTAGCCACGACTTCACCCTCACTTACGCTCATGGCGTTGAAGTGTTTACGCACAGCCATGGCGAGCTGCTCTTTGGTGTGCTTGTCACAATCGTTGTTGTCGATGGCAGATGTATCATTAGCGGGGCCGTTGGCAGCCCCTTTCAATCTTGAGCTGCTCCTTTCCTTCAATCCAGCTGCTATGGCTTTCCGACTCTTTTTTAGCTGCCGTTGCCTTCGTCGGGCCGCAACCACACTCGGAGAATGCAGGCCTTTACGTGCTGCGTTGGCAAAGATGAGATGTGCTTGAGGGTTTGTTTGCGAGCTTGGTGTGTTCAAACGATACGCGTGCCGGTAGGTGTGAAGGTCTTTGAGATCCATATCATGCCATGGTATCTGGTCCCACGTTGTCAGTACCGAGGCAGCATACTTGGGAAAGATAATGGCAGAAGATGAGTGATGAGTGCGGGAGTTCATTCGCTGTACGTACTCGTGGAATGTCCGGGTCTACTGGGTCCACCAGTACAGAAGATGTGCCATGCTGAGCGCCTCTGTGCAGTGAAACAGAGACACCATTCTCCCCTGTGTATTGCTGTGATGGGCCACCTTTCTTGCTCTTTGATATCATAGACGTGGTAGACATTGTCACTAGGCGATCTTTGCGCGCAGTAATTGAAGCGTCACACCAGCAGTCTTCCGGGGTGCGAGGCCGGTCTATGTGTGGTAGTGGTGGCACAGCAATGAGATAGACGGTCAATGTTCCCCTCTGCCTTACTATGGATCGGTTCTGGTGATGGTAGCAGTCTTGTTGAACCCTGCGATAGATATGTTTGATACTACTAGTACTGTTGCACACCTCTCGAGATGTTCTTGGGAGGCCAAGCCATCTTCGCGCACTGTTCAAGGTCTCCATCAATGACGCGCCAGCCTCGGCAAGTCTAATTGGACCGACGGGCAAACCCAGCCTAACCTAACCTAACCTGGTGGTCACAAGCGACGTGAGGTGGGATTTGCTGTGGGTTGGCATTGAGGGTAAATCAGATGTGGTCAATGTGGTCTCAGATCTCTGTTGGATCACTTTTATTACAGCGTCATCTGACGGATGATGTGCAAGCTATTCTGTTGTAGGAGTTTCCCCGTTCCCTCCTCGACTCGTTCGGTCTATCCGAGCCATTAAAAATGAGCTTTGTGCTGGTGAAGTAACCAGAAGACGTGAAGGCGTTGCAAGTTCCCTTACTAGTTGGTGTCAAAGAAACGCCAATCGCCAATCGCTATGTTATGCTGTCCATGTCGCATTCGATGCGATCGTCCCTACCAAGTAGTCGTGTTATCCGTCAGACTTCATGTATCCAGACCTGCGGATGAGTGTCAGTGTGAACCGCAAGCAGAGCAAGAAGGAATTGCCAAACCCACCTCCATCTTCCCCATGTCCTGCTTTTCCCGCCTCGCAGCTGACTTTGCGCTCTCAATCAGCATGTCCAAGTCATCTTGATCACCCATCGTGATCATGTCACCATCATCCTGCATCTGCACTCTCAAGCGTCTGCGCAAGCCAAACTTCTCGCGTACCTTGCCCTCGAAATCACCGTATTCGACGGCAGGCCCGATCATAATATATCGCGTTTCCGCATTCGAATGAACCTTGACACGGATCTTCTTGACTTCTGCCAACCGTCTTGTGCTCGATCTGTGATTGCCCGAAGGTCGACGTGCTTGCATACCGGGACGAGCTCCTGCACCTCCCATCATCTCGAAGTCGACACCATCGTCTTGCATAAAGTCGTCATTCTCATAGGCGTCAGACATGTACTCCTCTTCCTCATCGATATATGCCGGCTGTTGTCTGTTGCCACCCATGTTATTGGAAGTACCTCGTCGGACTAGACCTTTCGGCGCTGGTGGGCTTTGATACATATCATAGAGGTCCGTCATCGACTCATCGGTGGTTTCCCGGTATAATGTGGGTCGACTCTGTGATGGACCACGTCGGATGGTTGGTCCTCGTGGTTCTGAAGCGGTTCGCATTGCGCCCATCCTCTGGCGAGGTGAGACCATCGTTTTCGGCTCTTCTGTTATCGGAGGTGGTGCGCGCTCCGTGCTACTCATGCTCATCGGATCGCTCATCGACGACACATTTGTACCTGTTCGTTGCAGGGCTGGTGGGCGGTTCGGCGGGTTGCGCACTGACGCTGCTCTCCCTGTCATGAGAGCGGGACCAGCACTCGAAGGCCCTGCTGGCTTATCGTTCTCAGGCGGAGGTGTTGGAGGGAACATGTTCCTGTTCATGGCAGGCGGCGCACTTTGTTCCCTCCCTCCACGGCTCGTGAGGCCCGGCTGTACCAGATTTGATGCTGCATAACTGATATTCTCAGTTGGTCGATCATCTTTGGCTCGTGGTTCAGCAACTAAAGCTGCTTTCTTCTCCGACCCTGCAAACCCTGTGAAGGCATTGGATCTGTCTGATGCAGCAACCAGACGAGCTTTGCCGAGATAATCTTTGGTTTTGAGATTCTTCACTTTGGCTTCATTCGGTCGATACAAAACGCCAACCGGTATAGAGAACACGGTGTAACCCTGCACATGTCAGCTTCTTGCCACTACGAAATACTTCAAGCTTACCTCTGCCTGCTCCCGAATGGCTTCGTCAATAACTTCGTGGTCTGGAGTGACCTTCTCTTTTACAGCAAATTCGAAGTCTTTCATACCAGCTTCATTCTGTTGCAAATAGATATAACAAAGGCCACGATTGAAGAGTACTTCGCAAGAATATAGCCGAAATTTCAACCCTAATTGCTCGTAATCAATGTATGTATTGCCACGGAGGTAGAGAAGGGTGTCGTTGAAATTGGCCAAGGCCTCCTCGAAGTCGCCAATCAAGAAATTCGAGACGCCTTGTTGGAAATATGCGACGGCTAGATATTTGTCGAGTTGAATGCACCGCTGGTAACATTCGACCTGTGATGGTCAGCGAACCATCTACGTCTTCCCGCGATCTTGCGTACCGCTTTCTCATGCTCGCCCAGCGTAGCATGTATCACACCGCAATTGAATAGGATCTTAGATGTGTCGGAGATATTGTCGAAGACTTTCAGGGATTCCTCGAATTCATTGTTGTCATAGTGGGCCAGTGCCTGTACCCATGTCTCAATTTCCTATTCCGAGTCAGCCAATTGTGTTAAAATCGAATGCCGTGGCTTGATGCTCATACCTGCTTGAGCGACATATCTAGATTGAGCTAAGGATCCTCGGTTGGTCTCAGCTCCACTCTTCTCCAAACCCGTTGTTCACCGCAATTGATCGTGAGACTAAGTTCGACTGCGACAGGTGACCTTGAGGTACTGTGGACCTAAGTCGGATCGGATTTATTGACGCCTTCAAGAGTATGCAAGAAATGTCAGAGCGGGTGGTATGGGGCGGGAAGGAAGGATGCCCACAGGAACGGAAATTGTAGGGTGGTATCGGATCGGCAGAGGCTCACTCTTGAGTCTTCGGGGCTTCGGCGCGTAACTGCAGGGAACGCGGGGTTCTAGATGGGCGGCTATTAAATCAAAGGGCAACCAATAGGTGCTGCTGTTAGAAACACAAGAAAAGACAACACAACTATCGACAAGAAACGTCAAGCCTCTCGTCAATAGTCGGGATTAATATTAATAAGTAAAAGAAATCACCTCGAGACCAGCACGGGAAGAAAGGACAGGTGTTCAAAAACGAACGACACCCAGCAAGTGATGAAAGTATGAATCCAAGGGACAAGGCAGGGTAGAAGTAGCATGTATTGAGTTAGCAGGTTTGACATGATGCATTGACTGAACGTTGAACAGAAGCTGGCAGGGCAAAGAATCAGCCAAGAGGAGGAAACATGTATCAGAAAGGACCCAGTCGGATGTTTCAAGCAGGCCGCTGGAGGAAGACCGGAGTGCTGAAGACAGGACCGGGGCCAAGGCATCACCAGTCCTCTGGATTCAGAGCAATTGGTGTCACAGAGTACCAAATTCGGTATGGTACACTCGACTTCGTCTGCAAGGGACAGTTACTGACAGGATCGGTAACTTGAGAAGTCACGCCTGCTGGTGAGAGAAGTCTGTGGTACATAGGGCCCCGGCTTATTCTTAACCGGGGAAATTCGCAATGTAAAATGAAATGGGTGATCTGGGATCCACCATACTCGTACTGCCTGCTATCCGTGAAAGCGAGACCGTCATAGTGGCGTCCGATCTGCACCATCGCTTCGAGCGTGTGCATCTTTGGTAGTAGTTTGGTTTCAACATCAGCCACCATATTAATAGCTTCATCTATCTCACCTGGGGAGCGTCTACGGCCTTTTCTTTCAATACCACGCATATCTCGGAATCACCGTTATCCGCTAACTAATCTTACAAGAATGATGCATCGCCCATTCGGACTCTTCGCATTGCAGTATGAAGGCGCGAAAAAATGTGATACTCTGCTTGTATGAGATGCTGGTAGAATTGACCCCATCTACTGGCCGGACAATACCGCTGTTCATCGTTCAGTCATTGCCTTGTACTAGCATAACTTCATGAGCTTCATGAAAGCCTTGGCGGATGTCCCGATGCTCTGAAATGGCCATTGTGGCAGGATCGCGCTTAAAATTATGCCCATGCCCAATGCCCATGCCCAATGCCCAATGCCCAAGACGTTGCCCCGCCTAACGACTCAAATTGCCTCTCATGCTTCCGAATGGGAGAGCCTAGCATTGCTACACCTTCTAATCGGACATGTTATCCCACCAGCTTCTGCTCGCCTGAATCGTGCTCATCATGAATCTGTGTAATGCTCTCCTGCTCCTCTGGTTCTCAGTGCTTGAATATTGGGCCACCAGCATAATGTTTCCTGGCACGATTGTTTCAATCCTCCCAGCTTGGTAGTCGGCGAGAACTTGCCATCATCACATTGACCACAATTCATGGATCATTTGGACACATCTCTCAGCTAATAATCAATGGTCAATATGGATGGATGTACTGGACATGCATGCCACGTTGAGACCCACTGAAGCGAGGAATTAGTAATCGAAGCTTTCCCAATCAAACAGCAATGTGAGGCCGAAAGACAGTCTTGACGTACGTGAATGCATTAGTATTATTTTCCATTGTTGACCTTTCCACTTCCGTGGTTGCTCATACCCCCAGTGTGCATCTTGTTTGAGAATTGCTATTATCCCTGTGCAATCTAACTCACTCCCTCATCCTCTTCTAACACACTTTCGAAGCTTCCTGTTCTGTCATGTGTTCCTCCTTCGGAAGGCATATCCGTATTTTGAGCTCGATCTCCTGGGATATTCATACCTCGTAAACCTTCTAAGGCGGTGTCGCGAGCAATCTCTGCCGATGCAGCAGCGTAGTCGCTTCTGCGCCGATATTTCTTCCTCCTCTTACTCCTGCTGCGCATGCTCTCTCTGCTTTCATCTCGTGCCGTCATTCCAGATGTGTCCTCCGTTGCATCCTTATCCTTGGTTTGACCATGCTGACTTCTTCTCTGCCTCTTCACGTTTGAGCTGGGCATGTCTGTCGCACTGCTACTGCAGCTCCGGCTTGGACTACGGCTTCGTCGCCGTCGCATAGTCCTATGTTTCGTCGACTGTGGGCTGACACTCCGGGTGGGACTACGTCCCCTTCGAGTGCCGTCGACGTAGCTTTCTCTGCGGCGTATCCGATGTCGGCCATCACTGTCCAACAGCTGTTCAGCGGCACGAGACCTCTTGGATCGAGCTCGAGAGTGTTCAGGTGATGTTGATGCGGACGGGATCTCTTTCATTTTGTAGATTGGCTGGTCTTGCTTCATGTGGTGCGCGGGTAGATTTGGTTGCGGCTCTTCCATGATCAAACAGACTGATCGGTAACTTATTCTTGCCCGACTCCAGTATGATAAACATAAAATGCTCTAGTCAGCTGCAAGTTTGATGATTTAGGCTGGAGATGCGTTTTCAGGTGACAAGGCTGCGCCAGGCAGACCGATTTCGCGGTGCTCTACGGACCAGTCCTTGCACTGCAGGGATAGAAAAGAGTAACAAAAGACGATCTGCTTGGATCCGACGTAAATGACAAGAAAATGATTTGATCAGCCTTGCGAAGTGAATAGTGGTCCGAGGTTCAAATGATCGTTCGTGGGTGGAAGCAATTTCAGCCCTGTGCATCTCATCATGCAGGGACAGCTGAGAATGCGCCTAACTAACCGGAGATTGCTCAATTTCACACACTAGAAGGCGTACCACGAACAAGGTGAGATGTACGTTTTCGTACGTTTGTAAATGAATCGAAACTCTCGACTTCTAACGAGGTTCCTTGCGGATAGGAAGATAGCTCACAGTTAGGGCTGGATTAGGATAATTACTATTGAAATGCCCAGTAAAGCGTCCATTGCAATCCACTGTAATGAAATTATGTTCATTTTGTTCTTCCGGAGTCCATATGGCCAGTTTTGCCAGTTTTGCCTATTTGCCACGCGTTGTGGGCCCTGATGGATGGCCCTGGTCTCCTCCGCATCCTCTTCTGCGTTTCTGTTCGTGCACAGATCCATTATATTTGATCTCCTTGGCGGACTCCTCATTTTGTGCATTTGAACTCTGCACAACATGAAGTGCCTCCTTCTGTTGGAACTGGCCGTACTTACTAGTACGCGGACAGCCAAATACTTGACATCACGTGACCACACTCTGCGCAGTAGTATCAGCCTCTCTTCCTTCTGGAGATAGATTCTGCAGGTAGATAGAATTCCACTCATCCACTTCATCACTTTCGAGTACTCGTTGATTTATCTGTATAAACAATAGCTTGTTTATGCGCTCAGGGGTAGGCTTATTGCCAGTAGTTTACCCTGTACTCCGTATAAGTAGCCTTCATAGCAGAAAATGGACACTTAGAAGCGTACGAATTCGCAAGCGTTGTTGGCGTTGAAGTGTTGAATTTGTATTTATTTTTGGGTATATTCACTTTGGAGTACAGAGTAATACCGTCAGCCTGCCTGCAACTATGAAGCCCGCCATTTCCTAACTTGGATCAGGGCTTCCCATATCAAGATTAGGGCCTACTATATTGGGACTAAAGCAAGTACTTGTATGGTAAGTTATTCAAGATTTTAGTCGTGTATTACGAAGAAATGATCATTGACAGACCCATGTGGCTGGAATGGGGCGAGGTCAAAAGAGCTCCTCGTCGGTAATCCAGCAGGAATGCACAAAGTACAGGAATGATGATACCAGTACTCCCAATGGATGGTCGCCGGCTTTCGGGGGTTTTGTTCATTGGTACCTTCGGACTAAGTAGTTAATGGGAACCGAGATCCCGTATTGAGTGGAAATGTCACGTGCATGTTCCGTTAGCCTGCTTGGCGGCTAGCTCTTAGATTAACTCTTGCTGCTGCTCAGCAGCTTCTTCTCCTCTATCCTCACTAGAATCAATCAAATTGCTCCTATCCATTGCAGGAAACTTGCAACTTGCGATGTGTAGACAGCATTGCATCCTAGATAGTACCACACTATCCAAGCCCAAAAGATTCTGTCCAGAAAGAAGATACTTATCATACATGAGGAACGGGCTATCAATCATAATGAGCCTCCGCTACTTCACGGCTCCGACTTCGTCGCGAGGGCTGGGTGGAACTGCTTCTGACGCATCCGCGACAACATAAACTCTATCATAAGTCGGATCTTGGTCTTGAGGAGCTTAAAACACTTTTGCCAAATCTTCGCTCTCCCTCTCCCCCTCGTGTAGAACTTCCGGAGCTCTGGGGATATCGTACTATTAGAGGGGTTTCGCTGGATCAATTGTTTAAGCAAGCTGCCGAAAAGGTTTGCTACTACTAGTAGTAGTTCATGGGTCGTCAGATCCTTTTGATCAAGGCAGAGGGATGTATAACGGGCTTATTTTCGGGTTCGAACTTCTGCTGAAGATGGTCTACGACGATGGAGGAAAGTACCGTCTCATATCACCATTCAAATCTAGCGCACGCAGCTCATCTGGCTCCGTGAACTCGTACCTTGCCCGATCCCTGCTCGCCATGATATCCAAGATACCAGGGTCGGCCACCGGTCTCCCAACTTCTGAATATCTCGTCTTGTAGGGACCACTGTCCCACGAACTTAAAACAATTCGAGATGCAGCTGTCTTGTCTTTCTCCAAGACCACATGGGGATAGCCACTCCTGGATGGCTTCAGTTTCTGATACCTGCCCACTTTGGTAGTATGAATTCTCTGAGCCAGACGGATCAGACTTTGCATATTTGTCGATGGTATACAAACTCATGGTAAGATACATTCCCGTAGATGTTCCCTTGTATCACACTCCCATCACGGGTAGAGGCGTTGCCGCTCTAGCTCTGGTCCAGAACCAATAGGGTTTATGAAGAGTACAAACGAAAGCTCTGGAATTTCGTACCTCCAAAATGCATCCGACTCTTTGCTGGGACAAATCAAATCCGAATTGGGGTTGGTGAGATGTGGGTCAGAGGAGTTATTCTTCAGTGTAGCATGGGATGCACGTACAAGCGAAGAGTGACGATATTGGAATAGAGGAGCCGATAGCTGCTCAAGCCGTGCAAGCGAGGAGGGATGGGATGAGAAGGGATCGAGTATTGACGAAGACAGGAGCAGTATGTCCATTTGAATTAAATTGGGTCGAATAAATCAAATCAAGTGCCTAGTAAATAAACTAAATCCGTGCTTTCATTAGAATCTGATAAATTACTATTTAAATGAGAGTCTTGACCCAGAAGGTATTTTATTTTGAAATGTTCAAGATTATTTTTAAATGGAAATGGTCTTGGCGGACTCTGTTCTGAGACGAAAATCCTTAACAGCCCTTCTAGTTAAACTTCTAAGATCATTTCACAAATGAGTCAAACCAAGTCAAGTCGACCTCTAGGATTAGTAGTTGGGCAAACCAAATGGGGGTCATGATTTGGTTTGTTTGACTTCATGGATACCACTGAACAGGAGGGATATCTTAGAAGAACCCAGGGAAGGAATCTGATGCTCAGTCACCTCTCCCCGTTGTTACTTTTCCAGTACATACACGCTCAAAGGCCGAGGTTAGAAGAAACGTAATGTAGTTGATCTCCTTTCGTGATACCAAAACATGCAAATCAGGCAGCACCTCACCCATTTTGAGAGGGTCGGCTCTGATGACAGATTTCGTGGCAGTCTGGGCCAAATCCGTGTTTGATTAGATTGCAAGGCCCGGCCCCAGCTCCAGCTCTATGCTACGTTAATGTGTTCTCGTCCTTTATGTCACTCAGATGACAGCCAAGATTGTAGTCCAATGATCGTGGATTTAGTTTCCAAATTTACATCTGCCACGACCATATAGAACATCCTTCCTCGTTCGTCATTGAACCCAGCACAATGCCATCCACATATAAAAAAGATAAGCCGTGGGATACAGATGATATCGACAAGTGGAAGGTCCGTCATGGCGTATTCTTAGGCAATTGCAAGCTAATCTAAGGTCAGATCGAAGAATTCAAAAGCACAGACAATGCTGGTGGCACTTTCGCAGAAGAGTCCTCATTCGCTACCCTCTTTCCCAAATACCGAGAAATATATCTCAAGCAATCATGGTCGATGATCACAAAGAGCCTAGAGAAGCATGGTATCGCCTGCACACTAGACTTGGTGGAGGGAAGCATGACTGTTAAAACTACTCGAAAGACATGGGACCCGGCGGCAATTTTGAAGGCCCGTGATCTGATCAAGTTGCTCTCTCGAAGTGTGCCTGCCCCTCAAGCTGTCAAGATCCTCGAGGATGAAATGGCTTGCGACATCATTAAAATTCGCAACCTGGTGCGGAACAAGGAGCGTTTTGTCAAACGGCGGCAGCGCATTCTAGGCCCCTCGGGTTCGACTCTTAAAGCTCTGGAGCTTCTTACGAATACGTACATTCTCGTGCAGGGAAATACTGTCAGTTCTATGGGTGGTTACAAGGGGTTGAAAGAAGTGCGGAGGGTCGTGGAAGACTGCATGGCCAACATACATCCAATTTATCACATTAAAGAGCTGATGATCAAGAGAGAGCTTGCGAAAGATCCCGAGCTCGTCAACGAGAACTGGGAACGATTTTTGCCACACTTCAAGCGAAGGACTCTGAACAAGCGTCGCAGGCCATTCAAGATCACGGACAAATCCAAGAAGGTGTACACTCCCTTTCCACCACCACAAGAGAAGAGCAAGGTTGATCTTCAGATTGAAAGCGGAGAGTATTTTCTTGGGAAACATGCGAAAGACAGAGCGAGGAAGGAGGAACGACTGGAGAAGCAGAAGGAGAAAAGAGAGGAGAAGCAGAAGCAGCGTGAACAGGCTTTCATCCCACCAATAGAGGGCGGTGCAGGGAAAAGGAAGAGGAAGAGGAAACAGGATGATGGGGAAGAGCCCAGCGTGATAGAAAAGAAACCAAAGAAGGACAAGATGCCGACCTGAGAACCGTGATACAACGTCTACTCCCAAGCAGAACCACACCGGACATAAGCATATCGTACCACCAACCATAAGCTCTTTCGCAGTTAGGAATCAAGCCCGCTGCGGCATCTCGGGAACGGAACTTATCCCTCTGACCGACTCCAGTAATTCATTGAGTAATAATTCAAGGTCACAGGACATGGTTTTCCGTTGAATGCTTCTGAGGAACATTCAGACGAGTGAACTACCACTGGTGACTGAACCAACCTTGGATCATTACTGTATGTTTTCAATATCAGAAATGGCTGCCTTTTCGCAGAACACTTCTTTCAATGTCGATTCCACCTGTTCTTACAACATCAAACTCGCCACTGGAATATGGGGGCACCTTGACATAAGGGCCTGGACACCCACAGTCAGGTGACTGGCACAAACAATAATATCGGAATTTGTCGCAAAGAAGGAGAAGAGGCATTTTGTGTTCGTTAAACATCAGCTCTTCAAAAGGCGCTGCAAGCTTTTCAAAGATCAATAAGTTTCGAAGACCTAAGCACCCAACAATTTATTGTATCCTAGGAGCAACGACCACAAAAAGCGTGCTTTGAAAAGGAGATCTGTAGTAGGGTTTTTTGGGTTTTTTGGTTCGATCAGCTTTCTCGCACGAAAGCTCGTTGGCTACAAGGCAGTCAGCTCCAGCTTCATAGCAGCCATCGCCGGCTGTTCTCTCCTTCGAGAATCTTGAAGGCAGCTTGAGATTTTTGGAGATACTTTAGTGCCCTGCCATTGCCTCTTCTGGTACTGATGGACGGTCCCAGCAATGCCTCCGCCAGACAAGGCACTCAACGTAACGGAAGGACACATGCACCAGCGGCCACCGAGGCTACAGATCAAATCAATCATGACCCCAACAATAACAATATAACAGAGAATGTGCGCGCTATCATTGCTGAGGACGGGCTGCTGGGTGTTATCATGCTTCTCATCTTCACACCACTGTTGGTTCTGATTATGCTATTCGGCGTACTATTGGAGCTGAATAAGTGCATGGGAAACATCGCTCCTCCATGGTACAAGATGTACATGGATGCATGCAGAAAATGTTCGGCGCCGGTGCTCGATTTCATCATCTCCGTGGTTTTGATGTTGCTGGACGCTCTGTGTGTCATCTTCAACCGAGCGCTGCTTACGAAGCTCTTTCTTATTGTCCCTCTCACGACTGTCATCCTACATGGAAGGAGTTTTCTTCGTGGTGAGAGTGGCGTACTTGCTACCCTAGTTGCAAACGACCTCATCTACTTGGTGATAGATGTTATGATCAGAGGAATCGGCCGGTTTGAGCACTCCGGGATCGCAATCTTCATACTTATAGAACTTGTATTTGGGATGGGAAGCGGTAATCTGATCAAGCGGGATTGAGGTTTCTGAGAGAGAAACGGGGAGGTGTTGAAACCTGAGCATGCTGATGACCATACTGGGCATGCAGGGGATTGGCTCAAGGGAGATTGCTGCAGTTCTTGAGCGGTGACTGGAGGAAATAAATGTACAGAGGGGCAATGTTGAGCCTTATCGTTGCACCACAATATGAAAGCTCTCATGTTCTGGTGGAGCAAATTTGAATTGGAGACTCTGGGCCAATGCTGGCAATTACTGAGTGGCTACCTTCGGTGTGTGGCCAAGCACAATCCCATGTTTGTCCTCATTTTCATCGATGTGCATTGTTCTCTGTCCCACCTCTCTGCCATTCTTTCTGATCTCTTTCCTGCTCTCACCTATCTGGGCGATTTCTTTCACACACCTGCCGGGAATACAGTGCATTCAGTCCTGGGGAACAACAATGCCTCTGAAAGCCACCATGCAGTAATGTCACGGTACACTGGCAACCATGCACATGTAAGCCTCACCACGACGAGCCTTTGCAGTTCGTTGAGACGCAGCCCTTGCAGTTCGTTGAGACGTAAGTTAGCCCTTGCAGTTCGTTGAGACTCGAATAGTGTCCAGATGTGGACCTCCCTCCAAGCAGTGAGACATTTTTCATCGAGCGGGTCAACGTTTTTCCAGTCCGGGGCCTTTTTGAAGGTCTAGACTTTCTAGGCCATTTCTAGCGTGGAAAATTAGAGTGCGGCTGCTGGCAAGGTTTCACTACGTACATGCGACACCTCGACTACTCATAGTTACTACGTTACAACAGAGTAATCTTAACCAGGTGGAGCTGTTGCGTGCACCTGACCTCTTCCTGCCACCATTTTGGTCTGACATGGCTGCCGGTAGATCTTCGCTCTCCGCACTCCAGACTCCTTGCGTAGCCGAACGGTTCATTGCATCACGGTGCAGCTTGTTCTCTGGCCCACCTCGTTCCTTGCTACGTGTAATGCAGGTCCGCCAAGGGTTTACGAAATCGTGGCCCAAAAGTAGTTAAAATCCGCCAAGTGACTCTTCGCCAGGATACCAGTACGTTAAGGGAATAAATCTGCCTTGACACTTGTTCTTGTACAGTACTGGACGTAGTGTCATTCTAAACATTCCAAGGGCTGAACGCCACAAGAAATGTCACTACTAAGTCGCTTAAGCAACTACTACTCGTAGGATGCACTGATCCTGAAATCAGACAGCTGGTGGCTAAGGGTCATCCAAAGCCTCACTGCTTAGGGTCTATACAGGTCTGAAGCTCATGGAGAAGCATTCAAATGACACAGTTGCTAAGAGTATACCTCTTGGCACATATACCTTAGCGTATTTCAACTACTAGTACTACTAACTTAGTACTTAGTACTGAGGGGGCACGACTCTTGACAGAGCAGATGGCGCTAGCCACTGGGACCTCTCATGATTCATGTGCTGCCTGCATAACAAGCAACCGGGTCGGGCGGTTACGAAGATAAGACCTACAATGACTCAGGAAGCTTTACCACACGCAAGGTCGCCATCGAAATGCATTTCGCTGGTTATACAATATCGACTATATTGCCACTGTCCTTGCCTAGTGCCTAGCCGCAAGAGCTAAAACCTCAAAACTATGTAGTAATCTTATCACCAAAGTCGTAAGTACTATTGGCTCATGTGTTATGGTTATGGGTTTGTGATAGTACTTCGGCATGGCAGTTGACAAGCACAGACTGCGCTGGAGTACGGTGGACAGACGATACTGCTGTGATACAATCAAAGGTGGCTTCAGCGCTGCTGTTCTCAACCAGAGATTTTAGACAGGCCCACAGATGTGGTTCCATTACAGCATCTCGCTCAAATATTCGCAAGCAAACGTCGAGTGGCAAAGCATCTGAGTGGATGAAAAAAAAGAGCGCATCACGAAATCCAGGCGGATAATCAGTTTTTCCGAGACGATCGAACCAGCTAGCTCGACGTGGTAATTGCTACATCGGTCAAGGCTTAGCAGAGGGTAAGCCCCGGCAAAGTTCTCAACCAACGCTTGGGGCCACACAGAAAACTCTAAATTCCGAGGTCACGAGCTTTGGTGGCATCTGCGCACCATACAGCAAGCTGGACTGGTCCTTTGACGGAATGGTTCGATGATCCTCCACCTTTTGATGTGGGGAAGACATGACGGGTCAACGCTTTCTTTCTCAGCTATGCTACTTGCATATGCTCAGGCCCCCGCCACGACTAGGTTAGGCTCTTGGCCTGGAGTCGAGATGGGGTGATGACATCTGTTCAGGCAATAAGAGACGACCAGGCAATCTCCGTGAGGAGGAAATGTCTATATAACCGTGGTGGGCGCGCATGAAATATGGAGATCAGCAGTACGATATTCTCGCTACAGGGATAGTCATCTTGTCGATCTGTTGCACGGCATATATTTTCTGCCTTTACCCCTCTCGGTCCTTGGTACATGCATGAGCTTTCCATTGAGAGGAATATCCCAGCACCGAAACTACCCTTTCTTCCCCAGAGAAGCTCCTTGCATCCTAGGTTCACCATGGGGTACAAAGAAGAGCCTGAGATTGCGGACGTCCTGCAGCAGAGACGCCCATCCAATGTGGAGGCCATGCAGCAATTGCATCGCAAGAGTGTGTCCAACAAGGGATTGACCGGCGCCTCCGCCCTCACGGTCAAACAATCCATCGTTCCAATCACCCTGGTCACCGTTCTCTTCTTCCTGTGGGGGTTCGCATATGGTCTCCTGGATGTGCTCAACGCCAAATTCCAAACCTCACTCAACATCACCGCCGCCCGAGCTGGTGGTCTCCAGGGCGCATATTTCGGGGCTTACTTCATTGGACCCCTCACCTATTCTGGCTGGATTGTGCGAAAATTTGGCTACAGGTGGACCTTCATCGCCGGGCTCAGCATCTATGGTGTTGGTGCTCTGATGTTCTGGCCTTCAGCGGTATACCGATCATTCGGTGGCTTCTGCGGCGCTCTCTTCATTGTCGGCTCTGGTCTCTCCACCCTCGAGACCTCCGCCAACCCCTTCATCGCAACCTGCGGCCCGCCCAGACTCTCCGAGTTCCGTCTCGAGCTCTCCCAGTCCTTCCAAGCCGTCGGCTCCGTCATCGCCCCCCTTCTCGCTTCGCGCGTCTTCTTCAAGAGAGTAGGGGATACCGACCTCAGTAACGTACAATGGACCTACCTCGGCATCGCCGTCTTCGTCTTCCTCCTCGCCGTCGTCTTCTTCTTCGCCCCAATCCCCGAAGTCACCGACGCCGACATGGCCCTCCAAGCCGAGCAATGCTCCGACCTGACCGGCTACGTCGACAAGCCCCTCCGCAAGCAATACAAGCTCTTCTTCGGTGTCGCCGCGCAGTTCTGCTATGTAGGGGCCCAGGTCGGCGTCGCTTCACAGTTCATCCGCTACTCGGAGGAATCAGCCGGCATCACCGAATCACAAGCCTCAGACCGTTACGCCATCGGCCAAGCTCTCTTCGCCATAGGTCGGTTCGCCGCCGCCGGACTCTTCATGTTCATCAAACCCCGCTGGGTGCTGCTTGTCTTCATGAGCGCAATCATGATCTTCATCGCGCTGTCCATGGGCATCTTCGGCGAAGCGGGCGTGGCCATGCTCTCGCTCGTCCTCTTCTTCGAGTCCTGCATCTTCCCCACCATCTTCACCCTCGCCATCCGCGGCCTCGGTCGTCACACGAAGCGTGGCTCTTCGTGGATAGTTGCCTCTGTCTGCGGCGGCGCTTTCTTCCCCGCCATGACGGGCCTTGCGGCCGATGCGTCCGATTACCACAAGGCGATGGGTGTGCCATTGGCCGGGTTTGCGGTAGCGTTTGCCTATCCCATATATCTGAATACGATGTGTGCTAGGGAGTTGGATGGATTCCGTGATACCAAGATTGGGTATCATGATGAGAGGAGGGGCACTGTGATTGGTGATATTAATGATGAGGCGGAGATTGAGGCCATGGAGAAGCGTGCGGCGAGTCGCGATATGGGCAAAGTTTGAGTGTAGGGAAAATCGGGGTTGGTGGAGCTAATTGGCCTTTTGGGGGGAATTGATGCGATACGTGTTTGATGAGTTCTATAATTGTACAGTAAGGCAGTACCATGTTACGCTGTCATATACTACCCAATCGATCGTTGCAAGAACAAATACTGAAATTCCACCGATGATCATTTCGAACTCTTGGACTTCTTCCCTCTTTCTTCTGCTATCCCCCCCGTTAGAACTGCTAAAGGGTTTTTTAATCTCCTTTTCTCCCTCCTCTTAGCGTTCAGCATGCTTTTTTTTACCTTGCCCACTCAATGCTTCCACGTCATCCTTTCGCTTGTTAGATCATATTCCAACTCTGGGCATTTTGCGGGATAGTACTTCCAGGACGGAGTGAGGAGATTGCCTTGAACTATAAGTTGAGTGGCCACGAGATCAGTGTTCAATGGTCGACACTGGCGCTATGTCACGAGACCCTAAGTTCCCGAGTCATGGGCGTAGGTTCTTAAGTGAGGGGAGAGAAGGGAAGACAAAGGAGTATTAGGGAAAGGATAGAATCTTGCCGATATGGGTGTCTGAGAAATTGGAGTATTTGGTGTCGAAACAGATTGCCTGTACAAACATTGAACTGTCCCTGTCCCGATGCTTTTTCCGCTATCTCGTACTCCGTATAATAGTCAACTCATGTTCCGTTTCTCATCACCCTGTCCGACCTTTCTCGATCGACGTTTAGAGCTGCATACCTAAAGCAGCAGCAGCTCATGGGGCTCACTTTGCTGAAACCGACCAGTCTTGAGAGTCGGTCAGCGGACAGCATCTTTCCTTTTTCGTGACGCGTAGGCTCCTCGGTTACGGGTAAGATTCTTGAACGGTACTTGGCGAGTAGCGGTGTTCTATTTCGGTAAAGGATGTCTGGTGCCGGTGTGTCGGGTTCATGCGAACGCTGGCAGACGGTAGAGGGAGTAGCCTGTGGGAGAAGGTATCGGATGACACAGAAGGAGCAAATAAAGGTCGGACATGTAGAACATACCTTCCTTGTCGTCTCGATCCCGCACAGGATATTCAATCTCTCAACCAGCTCCAGACAAGCCTTCAAGTTTGTGGTGAGATGGATAAGTGATTTAAGGTCAATGTCTGGTCGCCACTCAAGGTGTCACAGCCCCCTCAGGGTGTTATGAGCAGCTGGAGCAAAGCAGTTGTCGCACTGTATCCAATCAAATGCTTAGCAAACATCTAAGGATATTTTCAATAGAATAACAATGGTCTTGGCGGACACTCAATCTGGACGAGAATTCAAGTAAATCCCTAGAAACATGTTGCTTACTGGGATCTGACTCGATTTGAAAAAACAGTTAAACAAAGCAAGTCCCAGCCGGGTTTTAATCAAATAGTCAAAGCAAACCAGGGCCTCGGTTTGCTTTATTTGATTTGATGGATATCCTGCGTTGTCGAGAACGCGGAACTGGATTCCTCTGGCTACCAAGACTAAGCTTCCTACCCGCCAAAGGGAGATTCATGAGGGCCGTATGAAACCGAGCAAATTTCAGCTACCTGTGGATTTCGCTCTTCTGCGGCGAGGCGGTGGGGAGTAATCTGGAGGAGCGCTGGGAGCGCTGGGAGCAGATACTGCTTGCATGTTCCGTACCGGCGAAAACCGACCTGGAACAGCAGAGACGTTGTGCACGATATCCATCGGCCGCGAGCGAGGGCTTTCGTCTTGAGGATCATCCAATCTCCTCTTCGTGAGAAAGGGGTCTTCCAGTGGCTGGTCCCATTTTGCCGTCCTGTTGTTTATGCCAGCTATGTACCTGCAAATATCAGGCGATAACTCGAGTCTACGTCCATCTGGATCTCTCGCCTCGCTATGTCGGTGTCATCGATTGGTCTGAAGTGGACACAGTGGTAATACGAACCTAAGTAAAGCCGCCTCTTCATTATACCTTTGTTGCAGCTGAGCTCTACTCTCGTTCAGCTGTTCTTTGCGACTCCTTTTACGACTTTGGATAATAAAATCCTTATAGCTTCCGGCGCGCAAGAGCCCTCGATGGAACCCTGATCTTTCTACCCCCAGACGAAAAAGTTTCTCATATCTATCATTAAGATTCTTGTCGCCCACGCAACCATGTATGTTATCTCGAGCAACCTGGTCATATTCTTTCTGGGCATTTAATCGACCGTCTGGGTAGGAATTCTTCATGATAGAACAGACGAACAATAACCTTGTGGGGAGGACTATGTCAAGAAAACCGAAGAACTGGGGATATTGCGAAGACAACAAAGGCCAGGACCAAATCACGTAGTATCTACAACGGTCTGACGTTGATGTCCTAACCTACGGCGACAGCAGCATGAGAGACTTGTACGCATTGAAACACATGAGACAGAACTGAAGCATGCCGGCATTACAGGAGTGATGACTATGCATACACTTCCGCGTCGTTTGGTTAGTAGCCAATCAGATGAATGCCAGGCCACATAGCATTGACAGCATCAGTATGAACGGTGTCGACGATATCAGACCCTACTTGGGAGCAAAGAAGTCATGGAGTAGTTATTTAAATTTTTGGGTTCCAAAACTTCAAGTGCTTTGGCTGACTAAATAAGCCTTCCGGAGAGCCCGGAAAAACAAGATACTCCGGAAGAAGAACTTCGCACTAATACTCTCTAGTCTGCTTAGACATGTGCCCTGGCCCTTTTTCCCCCCCGGGACAGACATACTTCCGTGGGCCAAAATATCCCCAAATCCCCTATAAGTTGGGAAGGAAGTGGCAAATCCTGCGACTGCCCCCAAGGCCAGGGGAGGAAGTGAAAAGGGGCATTGAATTCGACGCAGGAGTAACAGATTGAGCGAGATGAGAGAATGAATGGATGCATATAAATGAGAATGTATATCACATTATGCAGGCTGACTACTCTTAATTGAGTCAGTAAGTAGTGACCACACACGATGCTAAACCTGAGAACATTACTATTTTCATCAACGTATCCATCAAATCAGATAAAAAAATCTCGTACCCCATTTGATTTGTCTACCTACTACTAATTCCAGAGGCCGATTTGATTTGACTCATTTGACAAATGAGTCAAATGTTACTAGTAGTAAGCAATGTTTTGTCAAGAGGACTGCCTTTTCGTAAATATTCATCTCACAAAAAAAGTCACATCAAAAACAACCCCGAATATTTGAAATAATTTACTTGTCCGCCAAGACTGAATTGATCCGACAAAAGCACGGATTTAGGTCACCTGCCAAGCATTTGATATGGTTTAATTGATTCAATTTGATTCAAATGCACACACTGGTTTTTATGCCAACAGACTACAGTAATGCACGCACAGTCAGTGCGGGAACACCATGGTACTTTGCACCAGAATTTCTTGAAGGAAGGCGTCGAGAACTAAGCGGTAGCTGGGCGTCAAGGGTTGACCGTGTCTGACAGTCTCCGGAGACGTCTCTACACGCTGAGGTGCTAAAGCACTGCAGCATACCGTCCAGATCAAAATTCCAGGCTTTAGTTAAGCGGCTCAATCAGCGCTAAGCTCTGACTGAGGCAGCTTGAGTTCTACACAGGAAACAACTCCCTCCATACCCATGGAAGCAATCATCTAACCGAGTATATCAAGTGAAGATGTCCACCGGCCCTTCCGCTAAAGACCTGTCATCCAGGTAAATATCTTTGTATCACTCCGTGGGAAAGCGGCTGTTCGTCGTCCCATTTGCCTTTCTGACTATAGCCATTCTCGTTTTTTCTTTCCGAATCTAAAACGAAGATCTGGGGGAATATATCTGTTCTTACAGGGCGCCTCTCTGGTGTATGCCTTGCTCTTCAAGGTTGAGCTCCCTAGAGATGGTCCCCCCGGGACCAGCGTGGTTGTTCCAATATATCGGAGTGATATAGTGCTCCTGTGCCCACTCCTTATAGCTGTGCATATGGAAGATAATGAAAAAGAAAGCAGCCAAGCAACAACGCCTTGACTGCCTCTTATAAAAAAGAAGTTCTTCGATCCGGAAAGATCGGATTCCTCAAACTGTTGGTCTACTGAGAATCAATCCTCTCGCTCTTCCTTGGCTCCAATACTGATTTCCTCATTCAAAGCGCCAGCATCTTTCAACATCTGTACTATCTTGTTATGACCTCTTTCTGATGCCACCATGAACGCGCTATCACTATACCAATAATGAGCATTTACATCAGCTCCCGCGTCTATCAATATCTGCACCGTCTTGTCATGACCTCCTGCTGCTGCTGCTCGTAATGCGCCTCGAGCGTTTATATCAGCTCCTGCATCTATTAATACCCGTACTATCTTGTCGTGACCTCCTGCTGATGCAGCTTGTAATGCATTGTTACGATAGCTGCTTGGAATATATGCACCACCTCCTGCACCTATCAGCATCTGTACTATCCTGTCATGACCTCCCGCTGATGCTGCCCGTAATACACCATAAACATTTGCATCAGCTCCAGCCTCTATCAATATCTGCACCGTCTTGTCATGACCTCCCGCTGATGCCGCCCGTAATACACCGTGAGCATTTACATCAGCTCCAGCCTCTATCAGTATCTGCACTATCCTGTTGTGGCCTTCTGCTGATGCCACCTGTAATGCACCGTGAGCATTTGCGTCAGCTCCCGCATCTATCAACATCTGTACTATCTTGTCATGACCTTCTGCTGATGCCGCTCGTAGTGCACTTTTATGATATCCACTTTGAATATTTGCATCACCTCCTGCATCTAGCAGTATCTGTACCGTCTTGTCATAACCTCTTAATGATGCCCCCCGTAATGGGCTACCAAATAATTCATGTTGACTGTTCACGTCGGCTCCCGCATCCACCAATATCTGCACTATCTTGTCATGACCTTTCATTGATGCCGCCTGCAGTGCGTTGCCATCTGACCCACCTCGAGCATTGATCAAATCTCTTATCTCGCTTCCGTGTTCTTCACAGATATTGATTAGCTTATACAGAACCTCATCAAGCCCCAGCAATGACGCGTAGTACACTGGAGATGCAATGTGGCTTCGGTCACGCGAAAACTGTACCACTGTATCCCATGGCTTATCCAAATCGTGAAGTTGCATGCAAGTGTAAAAGGAGTCTTGCCGGTGTCGAAACATCATAAAGATCAGATCGTCGAGTCGTGACTTCATGGCCCCAGCGTTGATGTAGTGGTGATACCAAAACCTGGCGGGATGTGTTGGGAGCGGTGCATTCGCGGCGGTATATTCGGCGAGCGGTGCATTCGGCGTTTGGGTCTTGGCGGGTTTTACGTCATACAAATTACTAGTAGATTTGCCCATCATGACCATTTGAATAACATGAAGATTTCGCACAGAAATGTACACTATTTTTATTAATACTGATATGACTTCCCTATAAGGAAATGGATATACAAAACGTGGTGTTGCAGAAATAGCTCTATCGCTCTGCCTCTCTGCCTGCTCTGCCCCTGCCCCTGCCCTTGCCCTGCCCTGTACCCCGTTTTGGCGCCTTTTCGGCCTCTAATGCTTTCATTGTGGGCGCTCTCTTGCGGCCAGCTCTCGATTGCGTCATCACTGCTGGCGCCGTTGAGAGAGGGGGTATAAATGCCTCATCTAGAGCTTCTTCTTCCTCTTCTTCTTTTTCTTCATCGTCAGGAGTTGGGAAGGACCGATCAACCGTTGTGGTGGTGGTGGCGATGGTGACGGCGCCGGCGGCAGATCCACGAGGAGGGGTATCAAGGACGCTCTCCACGTTAACAGGAGCTGTAGACGGAGGAGGAGGAGGAGGAGAATAAGCAGGAGCAGGAGGCCTTGTAAAGGGTATTAGCCCTGTTATTAATAAAGCTTTAAGGGCTATATTAGCCTCTTAGTGTGCCTCCTGAGCAGCAGCCTGCTCTCTATTATTAGCGTCACGCTCTGCTACCTTAGCTTCTGTTATAAGTCACTTATTAACCCTATCATGACTCTTGAATTACCTATTTTATCCTGACCTTTTAACAGCATCAGGCATTCGAGTATTAAGGTCATCCTTCTTAAGCTTATCAGCAAAATCAACAAGGCCTTTCTGTGCGTTTATAGCTGCTTGATCATAACGCGTATAAGCGTAGCTAGTAAGAGCCTCCCTAGCCTTAAGGATTTGCAGACCAAGCCTTGTAATCTGATTCCTATTAGGAGAAATATAAGGGTGCTGTAAGTAGGAAGCAGAATTTTGTAAAGGAGACGTTAGTAAGGCAAAAGTATGATATATTAGTATCTATTTAGTAATATAAATAGGGCTCACTATTAATTTACCAACAAGGGTGTACTAAGGATTAAGGGATAAGAGCCCCCTATCTTTGAATAATTATGCAAGATAATGCTTGTAAAGGAGGCTAAAACAAACAAGTAACTCACATTCAGAGCAGAAGGGCGTAGGGCGTAAAGAGCCATTATTTATCTCCTCTTTTATAGCCTCCTATTTAGGGGATATCTTCGAAATAGTGAAAAACGATATAGTATCTGCTAGAAGAATAAATGCTTTCGAATTAAGTATATAAGGTAATCTACCTTTATTTTGAGCCTCTTCCTTAGATAGCTACTTTAATTTCGACTATATCGTCTTACTAAGTCAACGACTAGCCTTCTATACTTAGTTGCTTATTAAGAATATCTGTAGTACTTGAATAAAGACTCTTAGAATGTTGATTCAAATAAGCGCCCAAATTCGGATACTTATGTGTATAGATTCATAGAAATTGCGTCTCTTTAAGGCCCTAGAAATTGTGTAAATACTTGATTTTGTCTAGTCTTAATTTCGAGAGTAGATTTCAGCTCTATTAGCCTCTAAATCAGCATAAGTATTACTTTTAATAAAGGTCTATAATAATAACTTTATTTCTTTCTGAATCTCCTTAAGATAACCCTTATTAGTAAGCCTTTTTTCAATATTCTTAATTGTATGCTAGTTACAAAACTAGAGAATCATATTTAGAAGAGATATTAGTATTAATGCTCTTATTCTAGCAGCTTAGTCACTAACAATAACGCGTGATATAGGTATCAGAGGCGTAAAAACGTGCTTTTTGAGGCTATTAAAGATGAAGTCAAGGAGAGCTATGATTCTGAGTAAGCGAATAATAATAAGCTTACGAACGTTAAGTTACAATTAATTATATTAGTAGTAATAATAAGTACAAGATTTAGAGCGTTTATTTAAAAGGTACCATCAACAAATAAAGTCTAATCTACTATAAAGCGTTAAGCATACTGAATTTGCTTAGGATGAGCAAACTAGACTTGTTATAACTGCCTATTAACAACAGTATCAGTTTAAGAATCAATCTCCTCTTTAATTCAGCATTCAAAGATGAATCTAGCCTCCTCAAGAGCAACAATAAGGCCAGCGAATTCGGTATGCTTAGCAGAAACAGCACAAGATCGAATGTTATAGTAGGTATTACGATCCAGAGGAAAACTTATCTGCTTAAGCACTCTAAGGGCTACAGAATATGAGATATTAGCCGTACGAAGAGACCTACCTAGCGTCAAAGCAGGCAGAAATACAGGCAGCGTTTTAACATGCTCTTTTCTGTATCTTAACGGATTCGCAGCCATTAAATGGCTATAAGAATCGCTAAAGATCCCTAGAACAAGGCCATATATGCCAGATCCACGCTTGCCAACTTGTTTATACGCAAGATAGACCATGTAAGGACAGCTGTAAGCGTTAATACTAGTCGCTTCTTGCTTGCGACAGCTAGTAATTCGATTCTCCTCGTCTCTCTCCACATGTTGCTCTAAATGACGAGTATCTAGGGTATTATCTCCGTGATGAATACAGCGAAATTCGAACCGCAGGCGCGCTTGCTTCATGCTACCACTTTTGCGTACAATAGCAAAACCCTGCAATAATGCCCAGCCCTGGAGCCGCTCTTGACAGATATCTGGGTTCTCAAAGACCTCGCCGTCGACAGGGGCGAGCAGGAAGGAGGAGGGGAAGGACCGTACGCGCGCTTCGAGCTGCGCTTTTACATGCTCTGGGCACTCAGGATGAGCAGTCCATAAAGGGGTGGCCATGGCAACGACGATAGCAAGATACTACACCAAGAATATCTATCTCAATACCTATTTAGGAAGTAACAGATAGCTCAGAATCGTTTTGGCAATGAGGGAAAAAATTATTGAGAACTATCAGGAACACTTCATACAAATTACTATGGTGAATTCCCGCCAAGACCCAAACGCCGAATGCACCGCTCGCCGAATATACCGCCGCGAATGCACCGCTCCCAACACATCCCGAAAACCTGGCAGCAAAGCGAGCTAATGGAAACTCCTCAAGCGCGGTTTGGTCTAGGGTTCCGCTGGACAGCCCCGGTTCCAGTAAGTATACAAGACATATTTCCGCTATCTCTGCATGTGCTGAGGCACTTTCTAAGGCAAATGCGTCTGCTTGTTGCTCACGGATGCGATCAGATTCGAGGTATTCTTGTACCGAAAAGTGAGCGATACGTAGTGTCGGCACTATCCGTTCTATTTCCTTGCTTCCATCAGAATCAACATGTGTCTCATTGTTTACCTTGGCGCCTACATCGATCAGCCCGGGACATAACAGGCGGAAATCGTCAGCATCGTGTAGTCGACGTCGGAGATTCAGGCCTGCCGGCTCGTGAAGCTGGATGGCGACTGCATCTATGAGTTCTTGGACTGCCAATGGTCGGGATGAGAAGCACAATAGAGTCAGAATTCGTCGGGCGTCTTCAATCCAGCTCTTGTTTATGCTACACAAGATTCGCTCGTATGTCTCGTCCAAAGTCCGTGGTAATGATTGCAGGCACTGATCAAGATAATATTCACTCTGTGGACATTCCATGAGAGACTTGAGTTGGCACTCAACCCAACGAAATCTATGTTTTCGTCAGTCAATGTCTGCCGATATCTAATACAAATACAGTGCTCGATGACGTACACTCCTTGAGATCGTTCAGCCAATAATTTTTGGATCCGGTCATGATACGCACGTAACTTTCGGAGCTTCCGGTTAGTATTCAATTGATCCGAGATAAAGTAGCTGATATCCTGGTCAATTTCGGCATTCCTCATGGTTACATCTTCATCCTCTAAAGGACTCAGAGAGTCACGAATATCAGGCTCGTCTCGGCTAGTCACCAGTACGTGCAGCCTTGTCAAGGACCAGTTTAGCATAGTTTCTATCGCATCCAGAACCTGCTCTCGTTGACTCTCGTCCAGTGCGTCAAGCAGGATATACACCTGATTGAACTTCTGAACGAGTTGTCGGAGATGCGATATCAGAAGTGTTACCGGAGGGACGCTCGTGCTGTAGGAACCATGTAGACGAGCTAGGTCTGTCTGGGGATCGGACAGTTGACCTGATAGCTGTAAGATCAGTGCTCGTAGCATAGCAGACTCGTCTTGTTTAGACTCATCGTTAAATGTGAAATAGAAAAACGCAATGCCAACGCCGGGATCAGACCGTTTGTGACGAAAGGTGTACTGGATGGCAGTCGAACATAAGACCGATTTCCCACATCCTGCAAATCCGTTGAGCCAGAGAAAAGAGTTATCCCGAGTCAACCAGTTCTTGAAGGCGGATCCCTTGACGAACCAGATGCCTCTCCCTGGATGGCGTTTAGCGCACGCGGCGTTATGATTGATCGTTACGTCTGGGGCGTTGAACCAGGTACGGATTGTCGCTGAGACCTGAGTCGCTCTCACGACCTCGAGAAGCGACTTGAGTTCGGCGATATCGTCCTGGATGTTTTTGTGGTCTCGGAGCTGTAGTACGTCTAGCGCTAGTGATAAAATCTGAAGTATCTCGCCAATGGCTTCATCAAGTTTCTGCAGGGTACTTTGACGGAACGGGTACGCTGCTCGGCGGCCAGTGGCTCTGATAGTGGCATTGATGCTGGTGGCAGATGCCTTCTCACATTTCTTACACTCTTCTTCGAGTTCGTGGATAAGCTCGTCGCATTGGTGGATGGAAGATTCGATATTCTTAATCAGATCCTGTTCATTTGGCTGAAAGGTGCGACTCTGGAGTGTAGCCTGAATAAGTTGGAACGTGCTCAAGAGGGTTTGAAGTTTCGCTGTCGTTCGAGTCGCGTCAATCTCTTGGCCTTTGTAAGAAGTATAAAACTTGACGAGAGATCCTGTCACTTGGACCCCTAACGAGATCAACCCCGCGATGCCAGCCGCAGCGGAAAACGGGTCCATCATCGCATGAGCTCCGGTATTTCCAGTGAGACTATCAACAACTAGTTTTCGATACAAGGGCCTGGCGTCCCCCAAAGCGCCAGTAAGTCTTGACCCCTCGGTGATGATAATGACTGGCACTGGCCTAGGAGCCAGATAGACTAATGCTCTTTTAGTAAGATCTACATTCCTCAATCCTGCATCACCTACCAAATTCCTAGCTTTGAGCCAACAACACTATGCTCCTACCGTAGTAAGGAATCAGCTTGTAGAAGGTGAGCACTTTGAACAGGTTCTGGGTTGCTGCTCAATAAATGGAAGAGTCGACTGAGGACTCGATGATAAGTCTCTCCAAGGATGGACAGAGTTAGGTCGTATGTGGACTAGACCAAGGACTACCCCATAGAAGGACAGGGGTAAAGAGAGCGCACGCTTCTTACGCAGTAGGCTTTCATCAAACGCCGAAGAGCTTTGCTTTGATTGATTATGTAGTCGGAATCCGTGATTTGCAATTGTTTGGCTGATTTGTCAAATCGAGTCAAATCTCAAACTTGCATTCTCGTCCGGATCAAGTGTCCGCCAAGACTATTTTTATTCTGACGAAAATATTTCAAAATACCAAGAGACTTTTCTGCCGAGACTTCAATTTGACTAATCTGTCAAATCTAGGGAGGCCAATTTGCTTTGATGAAAGCATCAATTTGATTTGATTTATTTGACTATTTTAATGCGATGAACACTCTGGTGTCACCCCAACACTTACATTTATTACTTATGACTAGAAACAGGGTACGAAAAGCAGCGTCTGATTGAAACCCGATTTGTACGTCCCCATCGCTCTCAATCTCCATTGCACCGTAGCTGAGTGAGGTTGGAAAGGGACTGTACTATAGTATGTATCAGGCTGTACAGAGAGTACCTATCGACCAGATTCGAAAGTCTGGCCAGCCTCGTACGGGTGCTCCGCCCTTGCTGCTAGCAATACCACGGCAAATTTGGACATGCTCTTGCGATTATGTTCCGAGGCTTCAGCGCAAGCAGTGGCCTCTTTGGGTGGAGCGGGGCTCATCAGCATTTAGCAACCTCCTTCGCAAACTCACTATTGCCGGCATCAAGCCTGATTCAAGCATCAAGAAGAAAGCTATGGGTTGTCCGGGACAGGAAGAAGTTTCATGAGCTCCTCACCGAAGTGAAAGATCTGATTGACGGATTGCATCTCGACCGCTATGCGACAAGAGAGGACCTTCATTCATCGAATACAGCAGGTTGAAGATGTCGATACTCTGCACTTTGTTTCCAGCGTTGGCACCAATCTAGAGGCAGCAACACTTACACTGCTGAACATCCCCACAAACACTTGCTAAAAAAATATTTCATATCGACGTTCAAACCCCCTAGCAGGCGTGCATGGCACTGGTGATCTCTACGAAGCACCAAAGCCCGAGCTGGTGCCAACGAGTCATTTCCTACCCCTACCACCTGAGATTTGAAGAATCCTCTGTTATATGCTCTATTTCAGGCTGAAGGTCTAGCCATGGGGAGTATGTATGTAGTATGATTGGAGGTTGTGGAATATCATGCGCACATGGCGATTATGCTACATATAGTCCAGTGCGATGTTTTATGAGTCAGCCATCTTCAAGATGTATGCCGGGGCAATGATCTACTCGCTACTAAGCATTAAGACACAAAACATGGCTCTAATCGGCCGAACAACGATTAGAGTAGTATGTTTCAAGATGACTGGCAGGGTCGGGATGGCATCAAAATTGTTACCCAACTCACTCGAGACGCTCGATTTAACATGGAAAGATGGAACAAGCTTGTATGTAGACACGATCTCGTGAGTCCTCTGAGTGACGGCAAGGATCACGGATGCACTTGACAAGAGTATATCGCGATCCCCTGAACCTCTGACCTAGGGGAAGTTTGGACGAAAACTTAATCTTGGAACACACTTAACCGCACGTTTTGGAGACGCTCATGGAGAGGATTTTCGTTCCATCGAATGATGCTATCGGCTTTGAGACCTGCTACTTTACTAGCATAGCGAGGTATATACGCCCGCGGCCTATCTTACCGGGCATCGGACGCTACCTAGTCATCAAGATCGAGCTACTCTGTGGACCTACAGGGCAGCCATTTTCTCAGGGCCAGATTACAAGGATAGAAGACAGATCAGTGCTGGAAAGGCTTGACAAGGTCAAAGGAGCGAACAAATGATGGACCAGTGGGTGAAGAAGAAGCAGATTGATGTCGCCTGAACCCTCGCAGACACCGTCAACAAGTACACGCTTCATCGTGTACGAAGATTGTTGCTCCATGGTGGGAGATGCTCGTTTTCATTGAAATCTCCTCGGTTGGGGGAAGCTTCGTGCTTGACATGGCTAAACCGACCGGCACTCTCAGGTCAAGGTATCTCAAATATATCCCTCCACTTAGACAATGTCTGATACCCTCCTTCGTCTCTTCAAATTCCTAAACATCCTCCTCCCTCCTCAGGTCGGTTTTCACCGTCGCTACTGTTGGTCATCTATGCCTCTTCCAGCAGCGGGAGCATCTTCTTCATCTATACTGCGACTGGCAGCGTATGGCTTGTCCACCTCGGGGATGCACTCTTGGCGATTATGACTGCGTCTTCTGCTTCCCATTTTATCTACGCGTTTTGCGCGAGGTCGTTACACATGATTGACTGTGTTTCGAGCGGTGCTGCATAATGTATCTGGATATAGTAATGGGTGCGGAGGTCCTAGAAGGGTGTCATTGGTTGCTATCTGGCCCAAAAAAGGCTCCTGAGTCTCTCGGACCGCCATCAAAGTTAGTAATCATGGCGTTCCTGTGCGAGACTTGGCGGACGCTTGAAAAGTCACTTCTTGCTGATACTAGCATGCTCTCTGTTAGTTATTCAACTAGGTGTAACTTTTTTTTAGAAAAAACAAAAGGATAGAAGGATAGAAATATTATTTTGTGCGCTCTTTCTGCACATTCTGCGTGCGAATTCTGTGCATTTTGTGTGCATTTTCTGCAAATTCTGTGTGCATTCTGTGTGTGCATTCTGTTTTTTGATGGGGTACAGCTTGGCAAGATCCTGCAGCTTTGGCAGGCTAAAGCATTGCTTATTTTCCACCGTGAACTCAAGAGGCAGGAAAGGGGAACTTTATCCAATTAGAAAGATGATTCCCGCGGGCGGCATTTCTAAACTTACTGCACTTTGTAGCCAGTTGATCGAGCTTGGCGGTGCTCTCACATTGGAGAGATGAGATGATAAATTATATATTTTTAAACCTAGTTAGTTATTTATTGAAAAGATACAAAGAGTCAGTTCGAAAATAATACACAAAATGGTTAAATAATTCCAAATTTAAGGTTTCAAGATTTACATATAACTAACCCTTTTTAAAATATCCCTTTTCAAGAATTCTATTGAATCCACTTCACCATACTTCAACCCACCTTCAACACACTTAAACGCACTTGAATAGCATTTGAAACGTTTGCCCATCTAAGAAATGCGCTAGCAATACATCAAGTGCGTTCCAACGCTCAGAGCGCGTTCAGAGCGTACTCAAACGTACTCCAAACGCACTCCGAATACCCTCTGAGCGCCCTCCGAACGCACCCTGAACGCACTCTGAATATGCTTGGAATATACTTGAATTCATATTGAGTATCTGGTAGTGAGCATGGTAGCATCTCTAGGATGCTGGCGTCTCAACCATGCCTAAGATCTCACGAAGTCCCTGTTCCATTTCTTCCAACAGGCAATACACTTGACGGTAAACAGCTTCCTGTAATACCGAGTCTTTAAGGTCATTACACAGGCGAAGTCGCATTGTAGGCATTTCTTGGCAATGGAAGAATACTTCATACCAAGTGTCTGAGAGGCAATCGCCGTGAGTCTATATGCTTCGTCTCGGATTCGCATAATTTTGGATAATCGTACCGGTGCTGGTAAATTCCCTTTTGTGAGAGATATATATCGTCCACCTGTATTTCCACGATACGTCTACACAAGCAATCAACGAACGAATGTGTATCCGTGGCAGAGATTTGGTTTCAAAAAGCGGACACATCCCCCTCCGCCGTCCACAATCCAGCTCAACCTACAAGAATCTCTTCTTCCCCCACCTCTTATAATGCATCACCTCCCTATCAGTAGCCTGTAACTCCACATGTACGAACCTAACCAGCGCCTCATCATCGCCATACTGACCGATGACCTGTATCCCCACGTTTGCGAAATCTGTGTCTCTCGACTCCGGGGCCACCGGGGCTGGCACGCTGATTGCCGGCAGGCCAGCCAAACTGGCGGGCACGGTAAGGACGTCGTTCATGTAGGCGTCGAAGGGGGTTGAGGATTTCAAGTCAATCAGCCGAGGGGGCGGAGTGGGCGCGGTGGGGCATATGATATAGTCTACGCCCGTTTCGGTTGGGGGAGTGAGGGTAGGTGTACGGAGGGGGTTTGGAAACCTGAAGACCGAGTCGAACTCGCGTTGGACAAGGCGGCGGATCTTCTGGGCTTGGATGAAGTAGTTGTTTATCCCTGCGGAGGAGAGGGAGTAGGTTCCTAGCAGGATGCGGCGTTTGACCTCGTCACCGAAGCCGGCGCCGCGGGTGTGGGAGTAGAGGGGCGAGGTTGGGGTTTGGTCGGGCTGAGTCTCTGAATTGGAGCAGCGGACGCCGTAGCGGACGCCGTCGTATTTGGCGAGGTTAGAGGAGGCTTCGGCAGGCGCGAGCACGTAGTAGGCGGAGAGGGCGGCTTTGGTGGTGGGGAGGGAGATGGGCACGATGGTGCAGAAAGACCCTGTAGCCCTACCGTTTT